TGGTGCTGATGATGTTGTTGTTGTTGATGGTGATGATAATTATAATGCTTGTGGTGATGTAAGAACTATTCAAATGTTGGTAATATGCTAAAGCTACAATTGCCGTGTAATTCATTCTTAGTATCAGTTCTACCAATATACATATATCGTCAAGTCATAACAACATTTCTGTATCTATATCTAATCTACTGTCATACATTAGACAAAAATCTTAAATGCATAAGCAAACACAAATGACGACAATTTCTACAGCAAAATTTCAAAAGTTGAAAATATGATAAACGCTACCTGTTATTCAGCCGGTAAATTCCATCTTTATTTGTCAATCACTGATGTTTTTACGAAATGATGCGACTTATACACATGCCAGCTACACTTTAATCTATACCGTACAATCTAGTTTCATATTTACAATTGGTCATGCATCGTAGATCTCTTTTACTTGAGAAAATAACGAAGTGTTTAAACTTTGTAATGACATATAAAATGGTAAAGTGGCGTTCTGATTTATGTTTATGTATATTCATTTATTTTTTTACCAGTCATATGTTTACATGTGAATCACAAAACGATTTTTTTAATAAGTAAGCTTGCTCAAAAGTGACGTCCTCGGACAATTTGCTACTAAGGCGATCCCGAGTTTCTTCCCTTGTATTCAGTAGAAACAGAAAATCGATGTCCATAATTGACAATGTAAATATTACACTTAATAAATCAAATATTTGTTAATCATCTCATTATATTTAACATGTTTATTCATCTTTGATTTACAAACAGGGCGTGCAACTTTGTATTGTTAACATATTGGTCGAATAATAAAAAAGAAAAACGTTGTAAACTTTGTATTGCAACATGAAGTAACTTAGTTTTCTTTTTTTTCCCGAAATGTTAAACTATCCAATTTCGTTAGGGATATTTGGTTAAGTTATCCGTCGAAAAAATAACCTTTAGAACCAATACAAAATGTACATAAAAAGAAGTAAAATGATATATATTGAAAACACCTTTCAAGCTTTAAAAATCACGATGCGTTATAATTATTATATTAGTTCAGCATATGTTGCACACACTAAATTTCGGGATGAAAAGTGTCACAAAAAGACGGATGTCAAAATAATATGCGGTCCCGATTCATATTGAAAAGAAAGAAAACGAACGAACATTTATTACACTTGGAAATTGATTTTCCGTGAAATAAAATTATATATTATTAAGATAGGGTATAGTTTTCCTTATTAGATTATTTTAAGATTTTAGGTACAGAATTATCTATATTTTTTCTAATTTGAAAACAATTTTATCCAGTATGTTTATTATGTACGTTACTTACCGAAAGACTTTCTCCTTTTTGGCTACAATGTATGATCTAATTTTTTAGTTTACAGTCTTTCCAAACATATATAAACATTCATTTATCCATTGTTTATATGTTTCTCACTTGCTAAACATGAGTTTATCCATTTTCCTCCTTACTTGTCAGATTATTTAAAAAGTTTCGCGACTGTTTTCAGATGTCGATCTTATAAACAAATTGTTTAACTATGTTTCTTAGGCAAACTAAAATTTGCATAATCATTTATCGCATATGACATTGTATAAAATATAAATTAGAAAATACTCAAATTATCACAAATAAAAACCAGCCATTCATTTCTTAAAGTAAAGCAGACGACAATTTCTATGCACTTTTCGAACAGACTATAGTCTATTGCATCAAGTTTGTAAGCCGATACCTGATTGGTCTGTTGATCTGTATCTGGATAGTTACATGATCAGTGTCGAGTAGACGCTCTTTGCGCTTGAGTGCACAGTTACAGACCATCTTCTTTTTGAGTATTTGGTAAGATATTTATATCTAAATTATCAAGGATTGGTCGGGAAACAATTTTACAGTCCTTATTTTTATCTTATTTGAAAGGAAAATTGCCATATATGTTTTATTACTGTCACCATGGTACGGCCCTTTTTACCAGATACAATTTCAAAACTTTTAACAACGCGTCCGGTATGCATATTTTTCACGTGGGCATTCTATACCAAATTTTGTTTTAGCTATACATTAAATAAAATTTGATTTTAAAATGCTGCTTTATTTTATTACAATTAAATTAGGATTGAAATTCGTAATATATCGAGCGTGTAAATGGAAGTATACTTTAAAAGATAGGTATTAAAATTTACGTCTTGTAAGTCAATATTGGACGCCAAAATACTCACAAAAATAACTTTAAACCTCCATTAAATCCTCTGTATTCCCTTTTGATGACCTAACAAAAACAGTTACAAACAGACAAAATATTTTATTTTCTTCTGGCAATTAATTTTAAAATGGACACGGTTTTTCTTTGAGTTGATATTTCAAACATTGATTACGAAAGCAACAATATTTATTCAGATTTAGCATTTATTTAAAGCATTATAAAAAGATACTATTCTATAATCAAAAGATAAATAAAATATTTATTTTTTTAAATCTTGTGTAAAAATGGATTATTTTAGTAGAATATATAGTGTCACACACGATGCAATAAGGGAAACTACTGTGGCAAAACTCCACATTAGTACCTATACGAGTTATCTGTCAAAAGTTGGATATACAAATCTCAGGTCAAATCCTACAGATTTTTTTTCAAGAAAAATTAACTCAAGTTACTTGGTCTACAACTTATATACAAACTTATATACATTAATGTCTCCACAGTATAACGTAACTGTCTACTTCTTGCCAAACATTAATAAGCCCTTATCCGAATCTTAAAGGAAAGGGCCGAAAAATTGCGAGTTTACATTTCACAGTACACTTGCCTTTTTAACCTATTCAAATAAATCTTCCCCAACTTTTTCCAAACTTTTATCTTGTTTTTGTTTTTAAGTATCTTTTTAAACCTAAGATCTTTTGAACAATCGTCAATTTCACTATGAATTAATTCGCAGCTTGATTCATTTTTTTTTCTTTTCACAAACTGTAAAGATACTAAGTACTTTAGTATACATAGATAGGAGATCACCGTTTACAAGCTTTATAGCTTTCGGCAATGACCAGACAGGCCTGGAAATAATTTTCTGATATAAACGTTCCATTTGACGAAGACTTATAACTTGTGTGCAAAATTTCATTTCTATCGCTCACTCTATTTTTTCCAGAATAAATAATTCTAATTAAAAAAATCACCCAAAATTGAAAAACGTTGCAACGCAATTTACACAAACAAAATTATGGTTTTTAAGTTCCCTAGCAGATTTTTGTAAGAACTACAACTTTCATGTGTTTGAGGCGATCGAACTTCAGTGGAGCTCCTTTAAAGGAACTCAGTGGGAACCTCAGTGGAGCTCCTTTAAAGGAACTCCACTGAGGTCCAAGGGCATAAAAAACCCATAAAATTTTAAAATTTGGATTTTTTTTACATCGATCACCTAGGGTACTGAAGACAGAAAGATATGCAAAACATAATTAAGAAATATACTCGAAAAAAATCAAAAGCGTATTTTTGTGCTATACTTAGCCCGTTTCGAGTGAAAAGCGTTTAAACGCTTTTCAATTTAGTGTCATTCGTATACAATCAAAATAATTATTCTGGAAAAACAGAGAAAGCGAATGCACAGAAGTTATTGGTCTAGACCTTAATCAAATTATATAATAATTAAGAATAAGAATATTTATCTCGGAAGCTTATTTCCAGTCCCGTCATGTCAAAAAATCTCAGGGCAGTCCCTTTAAGACATCTTTATATGCGTTTAAGCTGCTTAAAAGATATACTATGCTCAAATTTGATATAAGAAAATAATGATAACTGCTACACGGTCTCTTTTTAAATATAAAAAATATGTCTTGACTTTACACAATGTAGATATATTATTTTTAAAATTCTAAACACTATTGGTGGTCACAAAATATAAATATTAGTTATTTGAAAAAACAAAACTGGCAGTTTTCCTTTTTAGAAAAGATCAAATTTACTTACCTGTAATAGAGAACGCAGCTTCCCATACATAGTTTATTCATTCATTCATTTATTTTTTCAAATTAGACATAATTTAGTAAGAATTTCATAGATTTCAAAACATTTCGTGATTAAAATATTTTACCTAAGGATGAGCAAAGCATTTCTTTAATAGATGTTATCCGGAACTCGGCAAATGTTTTTTTCCCCAAGCTAAGTCTGTTACTACAATATGATAAAGAAGAAGTGTTCGCAGGACACTATTATAAAGATGAAGTGTTCGCAGGACACTATTATAAAGAAGAAGTGTTCGCAGGACACTATTATAAAGAAGAAGTGTTCGCAGGACACTATCATAAAGAAGAAGTATTCGCAGGACACTATCATAAAGAAGAAGTGTTCGCAGGACACTATTATAAAGAAGAAGTGTTTTACAGGCACTATCATAAAGAAGAAGTGTTCTCAGGACACTATTATAAAGAAGAAGTGTTCGCAGGGACACAATTATAAAGAAGAAGTGTTCGCAGGACACTATTATAAAGAAGAAGTGTTCGCAGGACACTATTATAAAGAAGAAGTGTTCGCAGGACACTATTATAAAGAAGAAGTGTTCGCTTTAGCTGATAGTTGGTTATTCGCAATGCCTTACTATTTAACAGCTGCATGGTAGTTGGTACTTCAATCCACTATCACCAGCACGAAAATGTTCGAACATATACATTTTTTAAACACAAAATAAAGGAGGGAACCTAGTTGGTTGTTCGCGTAAATCCCAAACGTAGTTGTTTATTAGAACATTACCCACAGGTATATAGCTTTATACACTTTAATATGGAAGTCAAAAAAACTACTCTGTGAACATTTAGTTACCATTATAAGATCTACACATTATTTAACATTCAGCGCTACATTCAGCGCTATTTTCTTCATTATCATAAAATACGCGAACCCAACGTTTCTGAGCATTAACAAAGAAAAACGCCACTCTCGCGTTAGAAATCCAATACATGTGAATTGTCCCAGTTTTTAACCTATTACAGCAGCGTGTGTACGTCAATATATCTGGACATATACGAAGCAAATTGAAGGATTAGGTTGACATACATAGACTAACATTCATACGTATACACATATATTTTAATATAAATATATATTTGTGTAAGAATAATACGTTACATCAAAGGATATTCTTTATTTTTTGGTGTTAAAGGTAATAGATTTAGGTTTTCTTTTTCCTTAGATTCTAAAATAGATTTTTCAGTACTTAGTCTTTAGATTTTTTCAGTATTACATGTATAGATTTTTCAGTATTATAGTAATGCTATAAATGCATGTTACTCATTAGATATTCATTAACGCTCTTAGACATGGTTAATTGTTCAGAAATGGTAAATACGAGTTTCATAACGTTAAAATTATTAGATATAAGATGCTTGTCACATAAGGAAAGTAGCAATGAACGTGAAATAATTTGTCATAAAAGTAGCAAAATGTAAACAAAGAAGTATTTTGACTTCGATACAAAATACTTAATAATCACTATAACTGTTATAATTGCCAAAAAGGCAACAGAAGCAAAATAAGTGATTGACCTTGTAGCTATAACGGCACACCAAAGGAAACGCTTTTTAGAATTTCACAAAGATTTAAGGATCAGGATCAAGATCAGGATCATATTTAAAAACTCGAATATTATCCGTTGTTTATCTAGTTATTATTGACATGGTAAAACTGGACTCGGAAAATCATGTTTATGAAATTTAGAATAAATTTATTGTTATTTTTGCAAGATACCGGCATTTTACAGTTCATCCAAATATTGATATTGATCCTAAAATTGATCCTTATTTTGATCCGATTAATTTTGTATTTGTTTTGTTATTTGTTGATTTTATCGTAAAATAGGTTGGTTTCTTTGCAAATCAGCAATGTCTTACATTTAACCATATGTGCCATATATTGTAGTAAAAACGATCAATTTTAGTTTTATAAAACAATGAAAATAAAGTCAGGATCATTTGATCTTTTCTTTGTGAGTAGAGGGCCAGTATATTAAACGATGAATTACTATATCATTTATCAATAACGTAGGTAATGTATATCATATAAAATCAAAAATGTGTTAACGACCACCCTTGCACAAAGGCAACTTTCTTATTACCATTGACGGATAAAAAATGACTAAAGAAACCCCCAAAATATAACTTAAGTAATGAATATTCATTTAATTATAATAGCCAACCCTGTGTTAACGACCATACCTGCACAAAGGCTACTATCTTATTACCATTGACTGATAAAAATGACTAAAGAAACTCCCCAAATAAAGAACACTTGTCTTTATAGACCACAATTTGTCTCTCCCTTTGGTGGTCGTTGTTTACAGGTTGGTTTGACTGTTTACTGTACCCTCGTGTAAACCGAAATGAAACATGTTTAACTATCTACTGTAATATTTCCAGTTTTCTAATATTCATAACTATTCTGTATTTATCTATTCTAATATTCATAAATATAATTTTTCCAACTAAATACATATAATACTAATTGTATTCCTATTATATGAGTATAAACTATATAGGAAACTAGCGTCATGTCCAGATTAAATCTAAATGCTCATAGTCACGTTCGTCATTGAGGTTAAGGAGAACGTGACGACTGATAAAAAATTAACCGAGTCTGAAACATTTTCAATTTTGTCGTTTTAGGCCTTCTTTAGGGAATCTGTTTTTTTTTTATTAGATATCCACGCACAGTTCAATATGTAATAGTTATAGTATATGAAACGAGTTAGTTACGAGGGTATAACACTGGCTGGGGCGACATCAAGGGGTGTTTCTGCTAAGAAATGGCGAGGCCGTTAGGCCGAGACAATTTTTTTGCAGAAACATCCCGAGATGTCGCCCCAGCCAGTGTTATACCCCCGTAACTAACGAGTTTCATATACTATAACTGTTTTATCGCAATGGCATAATGTTTTCTTTTTTGTATAGAAACAAATAAATAAATTCATCGTTAGCTACATTACAGTTATTTTATCATAAGCCAGTTTTTCAAGTTGTTTTCGCTGCCGCAAAAAAAAAAATATACAAAAGACATCCAATATAAGAGGCGGATTGTATACTGTTACCAAGATTGATTTAAGATTAAAGGGCTTTTTTCATTTCATTAACTATCTTTGTTTATATTTTTCATTGTATTTATATATTTATTTTATTTTATTGATTTCATTTTTTTATTATTTTATGTTGGTTTTTTTTTTTGCTACTGGGAATGGTCGTTACCACTGCCCCATTGGAGCCTCTATGAAAAAACTGTATTGATATATACAAGGTGCGAAAAAAAACTCGACCGATATATAACAGTCCAGTTTTTTTACTATATGAATCAATGAAAAAACTGTACTGTTATATATCAATACAGTTTTGAAATGCTCATTGAAGTGTACTGAGTATAATGGGTTAGAAAGAACAAAGGAAAAGCTCACAGTCATGCGATAATATATGAAAGAAAACAATATATACAAGGTGAACATGTCCTGAGTTTTAATACATTTCAGGGAGAATTTTAATGCCGATCTAAATGTAACATTCCTGTTGATATTGGTTTCGAATAACTTAAACATAATTATTAAACCAGATAGATAGATAGATAGATATTCTTTATTTCCTCCATTTAGAAGAGCATATCATATGTACAAATATAATATAATCGTGACATATTTACAAATATTACAGTTACATATATAACAGTTTTATATGATATTAACATTGTTTCAAACATATTCATACATCCTGTAATCGTATAAGGTTTAAGAAGCGGATATTTACAACCATTACAAACAAATGATAGATGTAATTACTATACGTAATTCATATTTGTAATCATTACAAAATGAGTTTTAACAAAGATAATCACCACATTCGTAATTATACCAAACGCAAAACTTTTACAATTGTTATAAATAAAATGCATTAAATTGTCACCATCATATAACATTTAAATGTTACAAAGTATTTCAAGTGTGCGTTGTTGTCGTTTCAAATTCTTTAAAGCTATGTATTGCAGGCACCTTCTATCAAATATATCTAAAACACAAGCCTTATCATCCGTATACTGTATGTAATGGAACAGACATGTAATGTATTGATCTAGCTACAGTTTTAAAAAGTGCCACCCTGTTGCTATCTTCCATGTTGAAGGATGGAAACCCAGATAATAGTTCAATAGTTTGTTCATGGTAGTTTAATGAGCAATAATAAGTATAGTTTTCGTAGCCCAAGAAATTGTGAATCTTTTTCCACAATTGTTGTCTATAAATGTCATTTATTGGGCAGAATAACAATACATGATGCACCACAGACTGTAAGAGTCGTCTACATACTGGACATATCCTAATATAATCATGAGAAAACAACTGACTTAATACTAATACAATTGTTCTACAATAGATAATTATAACATTTTTTTCTCATTTTTATCTGTCACTTGTTTAACAGAAAATATGGAGTGGAAAAGTTTCGTGATCAGAGATGAAAATGGCACAGAGCTTGAATTAATACAACACGAGGAAATGATTATGCCGGCAAAGTATCTACAAATGGAACCCGAGAAAAAGCTCAAACTTATTCGTGAATATAAATACAAGAAAGACGATATTTTGCTTTGCAGCTACCCTAAAACGGGTATGTACGTTTAGCATTTTTTTGATGGGAACTAAAGCGTTCAATGCATTCAGCCATTTAACTTAACGCATATGCTAGTTAACAGGTTCAATTAAACCGAGCCTGCAACATTTACGATTTTGCCGTGTTGGGCTTTCTTTAGGGACTCTGTTTTTCTCTATTCTGTATTACACAGTAAATGATATGCAGCACTGAAGATGGTCGGTAACAAAATATGAAAAACAAGATCAACAAGGAGCCGTTCCTTGTGCAATGAGCCCAACCCTCACACGACCAAGCAGCACTGGCAAGGAGCACAGCAGAACACGGCTTCTTGCTGGCGAATACTTATCTCATTAAGGTTTCATTAAGCTAAAATCACATTGAAACAATGTCCTTAATTTATAAAAATTGTGTTAATTCCTAATGATAAGTCTAAGGTCGAAACAGCAATCCAAAAGTCGTATAAATTGTACAGTTGTCTTTTTTTCTGTGGCCTTCATTCCTGTAAATGAAGCTGCTCATTTAGGTAGGGCGTTTACTTCTCTTTTTAAAATGAGAACATCAAACTTCATTTAGTTGTCGTATAAGCTCAATAAAAGGTTTGGGGGTCATGAGATGAACGCCACCCTCTTTTGTTGATCTTGTTTTTCATTTTTTTGACAACCCTTACATAATTATTATATAGCTTTTTATAAACCCTTTCCTTGTTGATCTTGTTTATCATATTCTAAAGGCTCTTTTTTGCTGTAACATTAGCTATAAATAATATTTTCTTTGCGTGCCCTGTAAACTGTATTCAAATGCAGTTGCAACGCGGATTGGCACATTCATTGAATTATGTTCAACTTAATAAAAATAATTATATTGTATTGAACTATATTGTTATATTTTTATTCCATAGGCACGCACTGGATATCGAATCTTGTCTACTTTCTGACAACACCGGGACATGTAGAGTCTATGACAACGGTTCCCCCTATGTTAATGGATATGATTCCACTGGACAAATGGGATGCTGTAGAGAAGAGTCATGTCATTAATTCCCATTTAAGGGTCAACCGAGTTCCCCGTGAACATTTAGAGCAAGACGGAAAGGTTATCATCATAACCCGTGACCCGAGGGACACCATGGTTTCTTTAAAGTATCATTTCCAAAAACATGACTTGGTGAACCGTGCAAACTTCTCTTGGAATTTTTTCTTTGACCAGTGGTTGGAAGGCAGTGGTAAGTTTCTGACATGTTATTGAAACTAATTAAGTTAAGGACATTATATTGTCACGCAAACATGTCATGATTCTGTTCTGTTTGATTAAGCGATAATTAAAACTGATGTACCCAGCCCATCACCGGACCAATATTTACCCTATTGACTGATCTGACTTTCATTTTTGGAACTTATTTTATGGGGATATCAAGATACAACTTCTCTAAAACCCGGCAACACAGGACCATCGACAGGGAGCCGAGCAAAGACACCAAACAAAAGCAGACCAGAGCACAAGGCACATTTTACTAAGAATGTTTTTTAAGCGTCCACCCTAACGTTAATGAAACCATGTCATAGTCACTTATTCTGGTTCACGGTACCTACACCATGTAACTTTATTTAAAAGTAGGACAGAAACCAAGAAAAGCCAGACCAGGATAAATTTTCCTCACTTACTATTTTTAAAATTCCATTATTTTTATAGGATATAGGACATGTATTAGACATCTAAAAGAACAATTTCATAAAAGTAAAAAGCGGCAAAAAAGATGTGCAGTGTTACCCAATCCCATTTGTTTGTTTATAAAGAATATAACCGTAAAACCTAAAAGATATCTAGCTACCCTACGGAACGCTGGTGGTTCTACTCTAGATTACCGTTCGCGTGATGCTCCTTTTTTGATTGGTTTATAATGACATCTCGTCTGTTTCCTGTCCTGTTTAGTGTTCTGCTGGGCTCCTTGCCGGTGGTCCTGTGTTGAAGGATGCGTTCATTGAATGCCGCGCTTCCTTGTTGATCTTGATGTTTTTTTCCATATTTTAGGATTTCCTCCATCAGTAAAGCTAGAAATCACCATTTGACCATTACAGTGACCGTGAAGCTCAACCCAAATAGTTACTTGTTACTGAAATACCGCATATACCCTAAAGGAATATACTTCACATTTTTCTTTTATTTTCTTTAGTGCCATTCGGTTCATTCTTTGACTATTACAACACATGGGAAACTGCAATGAAAGAAAATAAAAACCTGAATGCTCTTATTGTTCATTTTGAGAGTCTAAAAACTGTAAGTAAAGAAGATTATTCAAAAAGATGTCAGAGTTAAAAAATATATTTGATTATACGTTAGTTATCATGAACAAAATTTATATATGTTTCACATGATTAATGCTTTTATTTTTCACTGACATTTACTTTTTGTAATGAAATGTAAATAAATGATTATTTACTTATATTCAAAACTGTATATACCTGTTTATTAATAAATTATCGAGCAATACCGAATACTATCGAAAGGCGGCAAACACACCAACTATATTACACACCAACTATAATTTATTTTCCAAATCTTTGCGCATTGTCAGCATTTCTCTTTGATGAATACGTAGATCAATGTCAAAATTTCATATTTGTTCTTATGTCCATTTGGACATTTCAAGTAATAAGGTAATATATTTTATAGGAAACACATATAACGATCTGATGGACCTAAGGGAATAACCGTGTCATATTCATCTTAGTCCATCTGATGAGTTATTTGGACACAAAGACCCAGTTGAATATGCCAATGAGCAGAAATTCTTCCAAATATCTAGAGTATAAGCTTTAAGTCATTTAAGACTACGGTTCAATATGCTTTTCAAATAATATGATAACACATTATTCTGTTGGATGGTTTATGTATGTAACAGGATGGCTTAAAAGAATTGCGAAGAATTCAAAAATTTCTTCAAGTAAACAATACAGACGAGCGCCTGCAGCAAATTCTAGAGAGATGCTCAATCACGAAAATGAAGTCAGACATAGATACCGGGAAACTCGGAGCCGCTCTTGTAGATAAGGATGGCAAATCGTTCATTTACCGTAAAGGTAATAACTATTTTCCCATTACTTTTTTGAAGAAAAAACAAACATACAAAATAAAACACATCTTCGTAACACATGTTTTACAGATACAGCAAAATAAAATAGTATATTCAAAATGGAAACCTTAGTTCGACCTGGCAAATGGTTTTATGTTTGATTTGATTTAGCCTGTTCTTAGATGGCATTAAGAAAAGAATGTATAGCCTATGGGTTCGTTATTCTCAAAATGAAAATAAGAGATACAGAGATACACGTAAAAATAACTTTTGAAACCAGTTAAGGTCTTCTGATGATAACGTATTGATAATGTGTTTAGGTTTAAGTGATTAAACTACACATGTTCTGTCTTGTGCCCTGTCCTGTTTTTGTTTGGGGTCCTCCTGGGCTCCTTGCCACTGGCTCTTGTTGCTGGATCGTGTGGGGGTTGCGTTCATTGAACGCCGCCTTTCCTTGTTGACCTTCTTTATCATATTTTATTGTTTGTATTTATTGGCATCACTACTCTATGATTTTGTGTTTATTTAATACCAATTCTTCTCTTATGTTATTTTTTTTTATCAAATACCAATTAAGCCTTGTTTATTTTAATATCCTAACTTACTTTTGATCTCATTTGATCATTTTGATCTCATTAATATAATTATTGTTTTACGCTCTGATTAACATGTCATGTAAATGACCCATGATTTGTGGAAAAAAACTATATTCAATTCTATTCTTCCTTATCATACAAATACATAGATTAAATGTAATAAAAAAAATAAAATCAATGTGTCTTTTACGCATACGTCAACTGCCATTACTGATCAAATATAGTTAAGATTTTAATAGAGACGCTTAATATAGTAACAGCAAACAACAATAAAAGAGAAGAAGACAATAAATAAAGAACGATCAAAACGGCAAAATTTAAAATGCTACATGCTCGGTTTAATTGAGCCTGTTCATGAACTGCAAGCTGTCGTTCGTTTTTGGTAGACGTTTGCAAATAACATATTTATTTCTAAAATATATTCAATCTAAATTATGTTATATGTTAGTGGCACTTGTTACTTTGTTGATATAGTAATTATGTCTTATTTCAGGGGATATTGGTGAATGGAAAACCCATTTTACAGTAGCACAAAGTGAACGTTTTGATCAGGTGTTTGAGGAGAAGTTTAAAAACAGTATTTTCAAGAAGTAATGTCTTGTTGTTTATGTCTAACTCTGATAAACAAAACAAACTTGGTGTTGAATGTTAATGACAATTACATATTGTTAATAAACTGGTAGCGTATCTAAAAGGTTAAATGTTTCTTATATATGTATGTACATCGCATTGTGAGATATATTTCGGACGTAAATATTGGGAGTACATAACCATTAGGATTTTAAATTGTTACTATCTCACATATCTTCACTTGTAATCAGGATAAAACAAATCCTCACGTTTCAATGAAATTTTCAAAGTTATTACTTATCTAAAAGCGAACAGTATAGACCACTATCAGACAGAGGGTCGTCGAACTTTGTCAGGACTTCTTGCATCCTCTTTGGCTCCTTTCTACTAGTTCTTGTTGCTGGGTCGTGTGAGGGTTACGTTCATTGAACGCCACCTTTCCTTGTTGATTTTGTTTATCATATTTTCGGTTTTATCACGTAAGAACATGTTTCATAAACTGGAATCACGTGTGAGACATGCGCGAAGTTTGTGACATCATCGACCCTTTAGTCACTTTGGAATTTCTGTATATATACGCGTTAATTCAATGTGGTTTATTTTCTTAAATATTTGATTGTATCCATATATTTACTTATTAAATGGTATTTTGGGTAATTTGATTTCTATATGAGTTTCACATTGAAGGTTCCATGATAACCGCCGTATGAACACATCTGCGGATGTTTCTAAATTCAAAATTTTACTATTTCACGTTTAAATGTTGAATTCTGCTTGGGCCGGTGCTAGGGGGCGTGGACGGTAACTTGCACTTTCCAGTACCGTCCATGAACAGGCTCAATCAAACCGAGCCTGCAACATTTTCAATTTTGCTGTGTTGGGCTTTCTTTAGGGATTCTATATTTATCTATTTTATTTGTCGCGAGTTAATTTGCCAAACTAGCTATAAAATCAACAAAATATGAACTGTTTGTAATTTCTCCGATGTAAACATTAAACATGATTAAAAACAGACAGGGTCCTAAGAAAAAATCATTCGTTCAAATTAAACCGTCATACAGATAATTGATCAGATTTTGGCTTACCTAGCTGTCATTTTATTAAAAACTGACAATATATCTAGATCCGATAAGCTCTAGATCTAGTTACATGATCTTAAATTTCAGTACACTTATTCACATTCTAAACTGTCTTTTCTATAATTTTGGTCTAGCATGAATCTGATTTTTTATCGATTTGCAAAATTGAAAATAGATAAAATATTGAATATTAAAGTGTCTCATTACGTTAATTACTCTTGATATGTTTATCATTATATTGTTTAAATTGGACATTATAATAAAAATAATTTATATTTTTACTTATCTTAATGTCATGTCTCTATAATAAGATGTTAATTTCAAATGAAAAAATGAATAGTAAGAATTCTGTTTGTGGTTAACGTCACTGTCAAACCTTCTGTTTAATGTACATTATAACAATATAGTCCTAAACAGTTTTTGGCTTGTCTTTTATTAAATATTACGTTGCGTTCACCAGCAGCCCACAAAGTAAAAGGACACAGGGAAAGGGGACTACAGTGCGGGGAAGGGGAGAGGCAAAAGGAAGATACTTCCTGTAGACGAGAAAAAGAACAAGAAGGGATACAAAATTTTCACCATAATAGTATGAAAAAACAAAGACATACATCTAACTAACACAGTGGGGCTCCGCCTAAAAACTGTCAGCAGCATAAGAAATACTGGGAAGCTTAAACTGGTTAATTGTTCTCCAAACCTCACTCTCACTCTTTGCCACACCCTGTTACTGTTACACGAGACAATGTAAGTAAAATGAATCTACACCAAATGAAATTCTAACACTTGTCATGTTTACAAAAGGTAAAATAAGTAAAAGACGAAAGTAAAGATAAAAATGCAAAGGCAACGTTCACAGGACACAACCCCTGACAAACCACAACACACCTAAGTAACACGAAGAAATGATCATAGAAATATTTATAAATGTAAACCCAATGACCATAACAAAAGTAATATATGACTTAATGGATGACAGAGCAACAAGAAAATCACCAACAAGGACACGACTAAGCAATTCAGAAAACGAAAATTAAGACGATTCAGTCCCGATGGGTTTAAAAAACTGTCGATCATTGAGTATCCCACTTGGTCTGTCAGATGTAATCAAAAGAGGAAAGCGTAACGTGCAACTGTAAAAGAGTTGGTCACATAGCATGCCATATGTTTTAGGATTCTTATTTTCTCTATTTTGGTATAGTTGGGTCATAACTTCTTCTTATAAAACGTAAAGACAACAGAAAAAGTACCATGACCCAAGATCTTACGAAGTTTGAAAATCACATTCCTATTGAAATCAAGCTTGCTAATCCCTTGTCACAGGGGTGTTTTAAAAGAATGAGAATAAAGATCAACAAGACAAAGCAACCCTGCCCGACCAATCCAGGAACACAAAGAAGGCACCGAACTAAAGATTTGGAGAAGACACAAGGGCGGTGGGATTTGTAATATTAAGTAAAATAATAAGAACTTAAAGGGGCTTTGTTCACTATTGAATTTTATATTTATTTGAATTATCATTTTGTGGATGTTTCTAAATTCAAACTTTCACCATTTTCTCGTTTAAATGTTGAATTCTGCTTCAGCAAAGAAAAACGTCACCCAGAAAGTTGTCAATATTGTGAGACTTGGCTTTTCTTGATTTAATTGTCGGTTACTATTATTTCTTTTAAATATCATGTAACAAGTGAATATTCTGTCTTATTTTTATTTTGGCTCTCCCTGGACACCTTGTCGCTGGTTTTTGTTGCTGGGTCTGTAAATGTTGCAGGCTCGGTTTGATTGAGCCTGTTCATGGAGGTAATGGAAAGTGCAAGTTACCGTCCACGCCCCCTAGCACCAGCTTAAGCAGAATTACGATGATGGTGAAACCGACAAAGTATATAAGGTAAGGTTACGGCTTTTTACTGAATGGGCCTTCACTACGACCAAGGTGTTTTTCTTTTTCAAGTTTATCTCTTAAAGTTTAACAGAAAACAGATTTTGAATTTATTGAATATACATGTAAAGGAAGACTTAGACCAGATTATTGGAGCTTAAAATATGATAAACAATATCAACAAGAAAGGTCGACGTTCAATGAACGCAACCCAAACACGACCCAGCTACACATAATCACCGGCAAGGAGTCCAACAGGACCCAAATTAAAACAGGGCAGGGCATTAGGCAAACAAAAAGTAAAACCATCAAGTTAATGCTTAAGTAAGAAGAAAATACTAGAGTAAGTAAAACATCAGACTGAAATTTATACTTGAGATGTTGTAATTTTAATATTTCATTGCTTACTGATGTATGGCCTAAAGCCCACAGTTTTCTGTGGAGCAACAAATCTTCTTTGACTAGCTTGTCCTCGAAACTGATTTTTATACAATATACAGATGGATGATATTGAAATATCTATGTTGGTAGAGACATTTTACCTTTGGACCAAAGCCTAAGTTATTAAATTCAATTCAAAGTTACTGGCTGAAGTGTTTCATTGACTTGTTAAGTCAATCATAGCATCCATAATCCAATGTCTATAATTGGCCTTCATTGAACGCCGCCTTTCCTTGTTGATCTTGTTTATCATATTTTGAAGATGGATTTTTTATGCTCCCCTGAAGATGAGCATATAGTCGCCGCTTTGTCAGTCTGTCCGACCGCTTTGTCTTGTCCGGAACAATGATGTGAAAGACTGAAATCTCAAGAGACGTTTTACTTAAAGGGAGAAAACTAGGATAACCAATAAATATTAGAGAATATGACATGATTATCTCCCTTCTAATGTAGCATTAATGGAATACATGATTTCGTATAATAATAATTATAACTCCGGCAATGGGAAGCGTCAAACAAATATATACAAACAAACAGCTCATTTAACATACATTGAAAATAACTGTCAAGTAAAGTTGCAAAAAATGTAACTAACAGAACAAAAAATATACAATGTATTAACAAGGTGAATATCACCACGTAATCTTTTGCAATAAATAAATTAATTTAGATGCACTATGAACTGATGAAATAAAAAACACCTGTTCTTGCTTTTGATGAAATAGATGTGCCTTTTCTCACAGTTTGAGACTAATTCACAAGCTTATATAAGTCATGCGGAAACAGTGTAAAATAATGATAATGTTCCTCTCACTTCCTTATACCGTACGTCTTGAACCTGAATAGGACGTTCAAATTATGTCTAACTCTTATCTTTAGTCTTAAGACCTAACTTTTTAAACCCTGGCTCGTCTTTTTGGTCTAACTATCGTTACATGTTGGAATGAACGAACCAATTTGTGCCGTTTTAATTTTTTTCGTTAGAGTCGGTGAGTAGTGCTACATATTTAAATGAATAGTTAATACAATTGTTAACTGTTTAAAATCCCGACAATTAGATTCCCAGTTGTATCGTTGACTGTTTTATAATCGAAGCAATTTTTTTCTTCAAGTCTAAGCATATGATTCAGCAAGTTCAGACTTAGTTTGAAAAGGCCCCTAGATTCGTGTTTGTCCAGATTAAAACATTGAATTGATCTTTTAAGCTGTATGGTGTGGTTAGGGGTTATATTAATCGCCACACGCTTGGATGAATGTAATTTTTAGAAAAAAATATTGCATTAGTGTAATAATAATATTGCAAAGTGACGCCAATTGCGTTTTACAAAAATAACGTTTATGAGCTTTTATGTTAGGATCGTCAATGATTCTATTTAGTATGAATTGTTCTTATTTCGGATATGTGAATGATAGAATTATTATAATTTATATTCGTGTAGGCTCAAAACAAAAATATTTGACTCGTTCAATTTAACAATATTATGCACACCAGAGCCTAGCGTTATATAATTTTATTAAAGTCGTTCAATAAATTTCGTATTGAACCTATAAATTCAGTACTTGTATCTCATCTAATGTCCTCAGTGAATGAAATATTTTAGTTAGTGAGACTGTGTTTCCTTGTGGTCTTTCTTCAGTGTTTGGTGACCCTTGCAATACATTCGCATTGCTAGACGACAGTCGACGAAGTGTTGACTACGTTATAGCAGACCCTGTGAATGATGTGCCACTATGTGACCGGTCAATAAATCAAACATGGTACAAATTTGGAAATCAAGGTGAAATTTTATCTTGTCGATATCGGGTTTACATACAATATACTTAACTATTCGTCATAAATTAATCTATACAACTTTTTAACCACCAGGAATCAATCAAAATATAAATAGTATTTACTCAGTGAAAAAAACAGATTATTCAGGTCTTCCGAAACATTTTTAAAATTAAAAAAAAAAAAACAAACAAAAACAAATGTACAGTTCCCAAACTGATGAATATTAACTGAGAACAGAATGTAAAAGTGTCGTTCTATAATTGATTGTTGGATGTAATTGCAATCTTATATGACATTATTTGCAGTCTTATATTACATTTATTTATGATTTTAAGTAGTAAATAATTTGTTTTTTATGCAAAGTGTTATAAAATCAAGAACATACCAAAATAATGTTATTTTGATAGTATAAAACTATTAACAGATACTTCCTACTTATTAAGCATTTAATGAGCATGATAATGTATTCATTGAAGGTAAATCCATGCCCACCAGTTGTGTACGCACGAACCACTGTGGTACGCACATACCTCTATGGATGGCAGGAACAAATCCGTCCCAGGCGGATGGAATAGTCGTTAGAAGGGTAACTTTGTTTAATCATGTTTTATTCTGTTTTGGTTGATTTGTTTTTATTGATTCTTTTATATAAATAATGTTATTCTTAAAGAAATTAAGGTGACAATCTGCTCATATTTTCATTTGCAAGTTGAGCTGAACTTACCATATATTTCAAAATATTGACTGTTGAAATGGTGATTAACCAACAGTTCATATTGGTAAAATTTAGATCTGCCTAAAATATAAAAAGACTGCCCAACTCTTGTTATGAACTGAACGTTACAGGTAAATTCTAATTGATATTTTACGAAGAAAATCATTTAGATCCACGCGTTGTTTATTGTTCATGTGATATTAAAAGGAATTATAGCAAAATGAAAACATATTTTGACTTTCACCTGTTCACTCATTTATACCCTTGGATGGGCATAATGTAACTAATCAAGTGAACAAAAACTCAAACATCAGATTGTGTGCAAGATCTATCACCCTATACAGGTATTTATTATTTAACGAAATCTTAATATCAAAGATCATCATCAGCTTAAGCTTAATTATGAGATGCGTCTGATGATATTTTGAGAAATATTACAAACAATTATTGTGTATGTTCACAAAATATATGAAAAAAATGAAATATTTCCAAGTATTGAGAGCATGGCATAAATGAGAAAAACATAGCTACAACAAATTGTGCAAACATTTGAAACAATTTCATGTATATCTTCCCTCTAATAATTGTTTAAATTGACTTAAACTGAAACTTGGCACTTTGTTTGACTTGATAATGGTTAAATGAACATAACTATCAGACGTACATTTAATGTTGTCAAAAGAGAATGAAATTTAATTCATTTAAAAAATAAATTCGGAATTTAAGAAATACCGTAAGAATATTACTAGACCCTGGAAATTCCATGTACATTTTGATATAAGAGTACTTCATGTATGTTTTGTTATATATAAACAGCAATTAAAACTCCATGTGTTAAATGATTTTTGTTCTGATAATTATTTGCATTTCGTCACGTTATGAGTGCAAAATTGTGAAACAGTTGCTTAATGTTTAGGTTTGTGGAACAAAGTATGATAACAGTGACTGTTGTAGTTTTAGTGGTACAATTAGAGTCAAGAATTGCGGGTCATTTTTGGTGTACGAGTTGAAACCAGCCACTGGATGCTCCACCGCTTACTGTGCAGGTACAAACAACATAAACCAGTCATCTTATGTATGAAAGTCTTTAAATTTAGCAAATCGATGTATAATTTGTAACCTAAACTAAAAAATGATAACATAAACACATAAGGTTTCCCCCTTTTTTAATTAAGAATTTATCTGTGTCTTGAACTGTTTCAGTAACTATGTCATGTATGCCAGCAAACAATATTTCTAATGTAATAAACTTTTTAAGAGGGTATATTTTAAACAATCTACTCATTCGAGTAAAAGTATTTCATTTAATGAAGTTTTCGTACGTGTACACCTTTTCTCATTACTACAACATGTACTAAGTAAATAATGGACATATAATAAGAAATACATCTGAATTCTCAGTGCGTCTTGGTATGTTTAAGCAAGGTGGTAGGTCTGGGTGTTCAATTTCAAACGGCTGCTTGGCAAATCGCTTTATAAGCATTATCACTGCTCAAATGTTAGGGTTGGGCGAAGAAGGGGGATTAAACATTGCTAGGTCTGGGTTTTCAATTTCAAACAGCAACGTGGCAAACCGCTTTACAAGTATTATCACTGCGCAAATGTTAGGGTTGGGCGAAGAAGGGGATTAAACATTGCTAATTTAAAGGATATTACAATTTATAGAAGAAAACACAAACTGTTGTAACAGTTCTTCATCTACCACATTTGGTGTATTACAAGTTAGATTCAATTAGATATTACACAACTTATTTCAGGAATGGTAAGTGATCATCTCTTTTACATGCTGTAATTAACGTTCAAGGGGGTGGGCGGCGGAGAGCGGAAGTTTGTTGATGTAAATTAGAATTAATATTTAAATACGAATTTCTGGTTAGCCGGGACAGAGAGTTGTCACATTAGTTTGCTGTTATGAACAGGTTTAGTTAAACCAAACCTTTCAAAAGTCTCAAATCTTTCTTTTTTACGCCTACTTTTTTGACTTCCGTTGAGATGATATCTATGTACCATTTTCCCCTAAATGTTTAATGCTATCGAATATGACCATCCTCGGTTACCTATGAATGCCAATTACTTAATTATACACTTCATCCGTTAGATGACTGAGTGCAGGCGAATCAGTGTTGTCCGACGATGTACAGTCTGTCAAATTATCATCAACAATTTTGTGTAATTTTTTATCAGGTACAGGAAAGTCATGTCCTCCTGGCCAATGGTCTCCTACTGGTCATCAACCCGGGTGTAGAGGTAGTTTAGTTTTTCTTTTCTTTTTTGTTTTAATATAACAATATAATTTACTTTATATATAATCACATGCTAAATTCGATCAAATTGAATTTAAAGCATGATTCTTTAGACCTTGAAGCAAAGATAGTGTAACATGACCTCAGACCTTGTATCTTAATTGTTTGTAACTTTAATGTGCATTAAATTATAATTTTAAAAAGTAAAAATGCAAAATTGAGAATCTATAATAATGAATTGACGATATTTGTGAATTGCGTTTTTGTTATGTTAAAATTCTAAACTTACATTTTGAAACTAATAGTCAATATGCTTACAGAGTGTAAACAAAAATAAAGGTTAGAAAGGTAATATTTGAAAGTACTGGTGCTTAAAAATAGATTCAAGACATTGAAACACTAAGCCTTGCTATATATTTACATATGGATTATAAACGAAGTCATTTTGTTCGTTTAATGAAATCTTAAACAAGGTCAAATATTTAAAATTTGAAAAAGTTCTTATCTTATCCGAATTTTCTCTAGTTTTTATATAATATATACCAGTTTATGCCTTGCCGTTAAATATTATACTAGGCGATACATGTCACAAGTGAAGGTTAAATTGCACCTATGCTACGAAACGGTAGCGATGCAACATTTTGCAGAAAGAAGAAGCGATACCATTGGAGACTATTTCGCGATATTTAGCGGCGTTGTCGGCATGCATTAGTGCCATTATGTCATGTGTCTCACAACTCAACGCTATTAATTGACCAAGATCGTGTGGTGTTTGTAAATGTTATCATTGCCTATTATCAGATATACATTTTGTTTCAAATGACCGGCTGGTGAGCAGAAGATTTTACAACTTGTCCGAATGTTTTTATCAAAAATAGTTTAAATAACATTCGTACATATTTAAACTTCCAGGAATTTCTAATTCGCCACCAATATCTTATTACCTCTTATAAAAAGTAAAAATAAAAAATATCCAAATATGCGTCTAATTTCACTTTGTTGCATTTTATTCAATGGAACATGTAAAACCAGAATGCTTAAACATGGTCGCCCTTAACAACAGACTATATTAAATTGTATTTTACTTCAATACTGTGTATTTCAAGTTGATACGGAAGTTACAGCAAAGCACATTGTCCTTAATTGTGGGAGTATTTTGTATCTTTCAACTTATTTTAGAAGATACCGTAAGGGGATGGGTGGCCACATCATATAATAAGGAATAACACCACTAAGATCTCTGCGCTTTGGTAGAAGCTTGTGGGCAGGAACTTAACGGGTCCGAGTCTGATATTTCGCGAAAATTACCCCCAGGTTTTACTACACCCAAATAACCATGCATTTAATTTAGATTAATTGATTACATAGCTTGCAAAATATCATACTTTACATAGTAGCCAAATAGAAATCTGTAAATGTAGTTAAAGTTTTGGTCCAGAATTTTAAACTATACACGTTCAACTGAATGAAAAGAGAAATATTTCAGTATTCTTTTTCATTTAAGCTATGAGTCCTTCGATGTCACAATCGCCAACACTTTCCAATCCTATTGTCACATCTTCAACGTTCAAGTTCAACTGTCATATCAATTATGATCCCTCAAAATCTGATGTTGGATTTCAAGTCAAATGGATGTTTGATAACCAAACGGACCCTGCCACGCCTGTTACGACAGTACGCGGTTCAGATCGAGATGCCGAGCTAGATCAAAAGTATTTACAGAACCATCTCGGAAAAACGGTTTACAATATATTTATAATACAATTGAATCACGTTATTTCTTTGTAATGTTCAAAATTTCCTTTTTCGTTTTTGCATTAATGATTTTTTTAACTTAATCGGTACGAAAAGTTTAATTTTAATCGAAGCTAAGGTAAAAATATATTTGACTTTGAATTTTTACAAAACATAAGCAGTTGCATTTAACAGAAAAAACATTTGAGATGTGCGCAGAATATAGAAATATATCAATTAACAGAAATCACCAATCTTTGGTCATTTCCCTGAAAAAAGACCACCATTATGGCATTCCTTGGTCATCTATGAGTTAGCCTTTTATAATATCACTTATACTCTTAACTTTCTAAGTAAGCCCTAAACAAAATCACCAATATTTGGTAATCTCTGAGCAAGTTTTTAAAAAGTTCAGCAATCCTGGACTATCTCTAAGTAAGTAAGTCTTTACCTACATAAACAATCCCTGATAATCATTACGTAAATAAGCCTTTAACAAGATCACCAATATTTTATGATTTCTAAGAAGTAAGCCTTATAAAATCAAGACTTTTACAAGATCACCAGTTATTTAAAATCTCTAAGTAACGCTTTATCAAGTTCAACAATCCTTGATAATCTCCATGTATACTTTTATCAAGATCATCACTCAATGATAATCCCGAACTAAGCCTTTCTTTAACAGAACCGCCAGTACATAAAGTGAACCTTTAACAATATTACAAATCCTTAGTTAATTACAATATCACATTCTTGTAATGTCTGAAAGATAGTCGTTACCATGATCACCATTCTTTGATAGTTATTAGTCCTTTATCAATATCCCAAATTACCGATTATCTATAATAGTGGCCGTTATCACGATCACTAATCTTTGAAATCTTTAAGTAAGTAATCCTGTGAACAAAATCACCAATCATTAGTTTTATTTTTACAAACATGTATCCATTGCTAAAAATGTTGATTAAGCGTTGTTGATAATTTATAATTTTCAGACAAAATTGAATTGTTTACCTGTATCATTTTAATATTTTATTAACTTAAAAGATGTCTTGATAACTATAAGCGATTTATAATTTGTTCCATACCTGTTATGTCTAATCTAGACAGACTATGAATTTATCTTACCATTTTAAGCATATATATAGTTCTACAATTCAAAAAATCTTCTGCAAATCAAGATAATGTGTGTCCAACGTTTTCAAATTATTCTTAAAGAGACGTAAGGTAAAACTTTTTTCTGAGAAATTATTATTAATAAAATCTTTAAGAACTTTGTTTCATAGCTTAGCTGTGTCGTCAAACCCTTCTATCTGAACAGTCCGTTCACAATGGGACCATCTCAGACGAGCAACGGATATTGGTGTGGAATAAAAGTAAGTTGGTAATAAGATACTTTCGAAAAGTATAGGAGAAAAATGAATATAAAATTGAAACAGAGATTTTTCACGTAAACATGCTTAATGCACAGTGCTTTGAAAAGGAAACAGTTTTTTCCGAATTTTATAGGAAATTCTAATTAAAATTTAAAATAAATTCAGCCTAGAAAGACCGCACATATTGGTTGCTCTTATCTGGTGGCTAAGGCTTACGACATTCAGTTATTGGTTGGCATATAAACTTTCCTATTCTTAGAATATTCATTCCAATTGTTCTAAACATTGTACACAGTAAATTATATTATACTACTAGTTTTTCTTCGTAAATGAAAACTTAAGTTCTAAATAATATTACTTCTTTGATATTTACGAGCTTAATTGTAAGAAATTCTGGTATATTTATGTTTTTTGTCATGACATTTTAGTATTCGAATGCTAGTTTGACAGTTGGTGAAAATGAGCCAGCGAAGAAGATCAAAATAATATCAACTATACCAATTGTATGTCCGCCTGCAGCACAGCTGTTTTGCAAGCTCGACATCTACTTAGAAAATAAAGACGGTTCGTTCGTATTTTGTATTTGTAAAAAGTACTAAATTAACTTTAATTATTTTATGCTTTTGAGTTGATTTCTGATTTATCCTTGAACATTATATTTGATAATTTCACAGTGAAAATTATCATCATATAATTTCACATTTTTCAAAGAAAAGACTACCTTTGAAAGATTTTCCCCATGCGGTACCTCACTTTTATTTATGCCTACAATTTCGACCAATCTAGGGCTGTTTAGAGCAAAGCAAAGCTGAAATTGATAATAACATAAATTTCAAAAGAAATCATAAAGATAAAATTTACTTCAATTCATTCAATTTACCGATCACCAAATTTGTCTCTACTGATCGATTCGTATCTACGGTTTGATTCCTTCCTACAATCTGATAGGTACATTTCCTTCTTCATTCAAAACTGCTCTTGATGACATTTGGGCATATTCAAATATCCTACGAGCAATAAAAGTTGAAACTGTGCAAAAGCTGTAACAATAATCTGCCCTAAGATTAAGTAAATAACCCAGCATTCGTAAGACAGCCTTTCAAAGGATACCATATTTTCAATCTTGAATGTACTGTATATGCATATGTCAACAATTAATTATTGTCTGTAGCAATCCACTAGTAAGTATTATTTCTTATGATAGATGAACAATTATTAAATCAAAATCATATCCCTTCGAATCAAGCACATTTTGTTCTTTCCTCGCATATAATTAACAACTTTTGGTATCCTGCCGCTTTATAAGTGTATATTAAATTTTTAAGTTAGGCAAGGTGTAACATTTTTATCATTTTCAAATGTTAATCTTTATGATAAAAGTAAGCAATCATTAATATATTTGTTTTAAAAATAATGATATCATCGCCTTTAAACGTTATTTAAGAACTTATTTTTCAGCTCAAATTTTCTTGTACTTGTTAGAAATTCCTCATAAATTGAGGCTACCAGTGGGGAAAGCAGATTTTAATATTTAAGTTAATATTGAGAGAAAAAACCATTTAAACTTGTTATTAAGCTGAAATTAAAGTTACATTATGCTCATATTTTCATAGTCAAGTTGAGCTGAATTGACTTTATATTTCTCAAGATTGACGGTTAAAATGGTGCCTGACCAACCGTTGATATTGGAAAATGTTCAGGATAAAATTATAAATCTGCCTTAAATATAAAAAGACTGCCCCACTTTTGTTATAAACTGAGCGTTATAGGTAAATTCTAATGAATATTTACAGAAATTTTGTTTGGATCTGTGCATTATTTATTGTTTATGGGGAGTAAATTATTGAATTAAAATGTATTATGGAAAAATGAGAACTTATTTTGATATTCACCTATTCACTCACTATATACCCTTGGATGGGCATAATGTCACTTTAAAAGAAAATGTGTTTGTTTGTTTGTTGTGTAAGATGTAATTTTATTTCATCTCGTGAAATTGTAAAAACAGTATTCTAACGAGTGAGAATACTGTTTTTAAAGCTCACTCGATTAAGTAAAATTTCATCTAATACACAAATAAACAAGTATCCTCTATATGTTTCATAATGGATGAATCTAGAAAACAGGATGTCTTAATTTTAGAACATTTTGTAAAAAAGATTTGCATATTTATTAAATTTCTTCTAATGAAAGAAAATTGACTGCCTAAAAAAAGAACTATTTGTAAAAACTGATGCATATAAAAATGCTTCAAGATTTCGAGAGTTGTTTTACATGTTTAATTCAGTTAGTAATCATTGTCCTTGTATGAATCACTTACAGATTGAATAGGCTTTATTCCTTATAGTTAATTATTATCACCAGGTGACGCACGTTTCACACAATGCACGCAAACACTAAAGCCTTCGGACTGGAATTCAAGGACACACGAAGCTGTCACAGAGTTTGAAGTTTTGGCTGAACGGGATTCAAAAAACGATAGAGACAAAACATTAGCAGTTCACTTTGCAACTATTCAGTCTTTAGATGCACCAGAAGTTTTTAAAAATTACACTCTGCCTTACCTTCCCGTAAGTAACATTGTTTGAAATAGATTAATTGGTTTTGAATAAAACAAATAAGCACAACTTGATTATAAGTTTAATAACAGATTGTCATATGATTAAGGTCGTTGACTTTGAATCAGTTCTCCATTATCGCTATGGTTCGGATCCCACCAGTGCTATTGAATACTTTCATGTTAAGAAGTTATCCAGCTAGCTTATAGAACGGTGTTTCTATTAAGTCTTCCTCCACTAGTAATGTTTAATAGTCGCCTTATGTTCATGCGAAGTTAATCTAAAAATAAAGGAACATCTTCAATATTCGAGTCTTCCGTTATAAAGTAAAGAAGATTATTCTTATCTGAAAAGGCGAGAATCTCGAGAGAGAGATAAAGAGAAATTTGCTTTTTATATTATTATCGAGTCTGTTCTTAGAAGAATTGGGCATTATTCTAACATTTTTGTCCGAATTTTGATGAATAATACTAAAACTATAATATATACATAAAGGCTCATAATGTACTGTTTCAATTTGTAATCAAGCTCATGATCAAAAGAAAAAGAAAGAATTTCTAAAATAAAATAGTCAATTGCTTTTGTCGCCTTTGTTAAAATGCATTGCCCATAATTTTTAATTAAACGTTGTCTTGTTATGTATGAGTTAAGAAAACACTTTAAAAGTTCAATAGATTTATCAATTCTAAACTGCTTGTTCCATTGTATATATTTTTCTGACCAACTATGATAAAACTAATCTTAATTGAATTAAATGTTGTAGGTTCACACTATTGACAAAGACACAGCCACTTGCCTATGCACAAATGACCCTTGGTGTACTACATTTGATGCCCCACACCGACGGACTGGCGTTCGGTTTTTATTTTAAACATATATTAATGTTCCTTTGTTAAAATCAACGCATGGTTAGGGTGCTTAATGCTAAAATAACCAATTAAGTAGCGAAAAGTTGAAACCACAAAGAACACCCAAATTGACAAAGTTAAATAACAGTACGCTCAGCGCGGCTTTTGCAAAACCCGCGTGACCCCGCGGATGAGGTTTACCGCGGCGAAAATTTGCACAGATATTGTCCGCGTGACCCCGCGGACAGAAAAGTTTCACCACCGCGGACATAAATCGGCGGCTGAAACCGTTTCCCCCGCGGAATGCAGTGGTAAATTGCGGAGGAACGCGGCGGTCAAACACCGGTAAACGCGGTGGAAACCTTAAATTTCAAAAATTAATTATTGTATTTAAACATCAGTATACGTACGTACTGTAACATGTACTGTACATATAACTGTATATAAAATTTGTTTGTTTGTTTTCTTTTTTGTTGTAATAAAAGTACATGTACAAATGCAGTGTATTTCTTGTTCTTCTTCTTGTTATTGTGTTGGGTAGTGTATAATATGTATTCGACATCAAGATAAATCATTGTCGTCGCAACTTCATGGTAGTGAGAAACTTGAAGTCAAATAATGAAAAATTCGGCATATGACATTTATGAAAAAGATACTGCAACAATTTATATGCCAGCTTTTGTTTCTTATTTAAAAACTTTGAAAACGTAACCCTCAACAATTTATTCAGGCAATATTCCAGGACGTCTCTTTCAATTGTCAGATGCGTTTTACTGTTTTTGTTTATTTGCATGTTGATCATAAAGTCTTATATTTTATTTGGAACATTAAAAGAAAGCGTTTATTTCACATATACATTAAATGATATTCTTGACTTATCTAATTACAGGTGTGAGCGTAATGTATATGTTTTGAAGTTTGTATCAACTGTTGAAGTTTATTTTCATTTTTGTTTTAGTAGTTTGTTTGTTTGTTCTTTTTTATTTTTTTTATAGATTTTTTTGCAGAATTTTGTTAAACTTGACGTTATACTTTTTGTTATTTTATTATGAACAGTATGCATGTACATACATGTATATAAGGCAAACAAGCACATGGCAGTTATTTTCTAAGAACTTCCATCGACCGATTTTCAAGTTAAAAATATTTCATTTTATTTTTATCTTAAGATATTATTGTTCATAGGAATAATAGTATTTGTAGACAACATGTAGTTTTAAGTACATACAATTGAATATTAAAAACAACAACAAAAACAGGTACAGCTGTAATTATTTTTATTTCAAATTCCGTTCAAATAATTTAACGTATAATAACATTTAAGGAGACGATGTGGTCAATTTTCAAGTCATTGTGTAAAAAAGATGACGTTAAAAAATAATAAAACGTCTATTATTTTTGGAGGTTAATTTATACTGACCAACTGACCATGGCGTTCCCCCGCGGGAAACGGGTGACTGATTTTATCGATGAATGCAGAACGGTCGTCAGAATTTTGTCCGCGGTGGAAACAACTGAACACCGGGGATCGCGGGGAAATTCATCGCGGACGAACCCCCGCGTTTGTCCGCGATAAAAAAAATCGTCCGCGGTGGTATCGCGGAAAAAAGCAAAGCCCGCGGTGAGCGTTACATGTACAAGAAACGGTACGATTGTGCCTGTGTCTGAACTGAAGTGGAAATTGCAAATAACTTCCAGAATTCTGTAACGTAAAATTTAACATGACCACTTTTTTAATCGATTCAAAATGCACAGAAATTGTTTCACTATACAAATTTAGGTTAATTAATTTTAATTAATATTAAGTACATCATTTTAATTGATGAATATAATAGAAACACTTGTTCAGTGTTTAAAAGTTAACTTGCTACCATTTATTGTAGGCACTACACTGTTCAAGAGATTGGAGAATTTACCATGTATGAAAGTACCGCTAAAAACCGTCTCTTCAAGGTCAGTGACGATGAGTCCAATTTCAAATCAATTGCATGGAACAGTCAATCTGATAATAATAAATTCATTTTATATATCAATTTATAAACAAACTGACAGATGTAATAATTTTAGACGTCGTTGATAATACTTTGACAAATAAGTTGTCTTTTTTACAGAGTTTGATACAATTTATAAAAATATATAGCATATTAAGTAAAATAATAGGTATTCTATTCAAGGTGTATTGGCTGGTAGGCGTAAAAAACAATAATCTTAGCTGCAATCAATCTTGAAGAGCTTAAAGTAAACGATTACAAAGAATAAGAAAAGCAATATAATGCAATGAAGAAGTTAAAGACAAAACATTCCACCTGCTATTCAGTTCATATAACAAAGTTGTACATATCTGGTGTAGTGCCATAAGAGCAATGACTACAATAATACAAATATTGTATGTTATCTTGTATGTTATCAGACAGAAGTCCGAACTGGTACATGTGGTTTGGACACAGGATCATGTATTTGTGCTGTTGCAGCTCAGGAAGGAAACGACGTCATCGTTATAGATATGTGCCACACACATTACGGACACGTTTATCCTCAAGTCACTATTCCGAATAGCAAAAATCAGGGAATGGTGGTTAACAGGGATACATCTGGGGATAATTATTTGGTGAAGTCAATTATACCATTTTTTCTTCTCAGACTAATGTGTTAAATATATTTCCGTTAAATTAATGCTCAATTTTCTTCAGACACATGAACTATACAAGGGCTTGCCAGGAAATGGATGTGTTTTAATAATGAATAAGTAGAGTTTTAGTAAAAACAATTGAACAACTGAATGTCAAATGTAGTTTAAATTCAGGGGCATCCCTTGCCGAATGATTAAGGTCATTGACATCAAAATTTATGTCTCTTACCGTTCTAGGTTTGGACCGCGACAGGCATCTTTGGATTATTTCAAATGAAAAGCTATCAAACTAGCTTACGTAACGCCGATGGTTCTACTTAAAAGTCCGTTTATGTTTGATATAATCCACAGCGAGGCACCTAAGATCTTCCATCAATAAAGCTAGAAAGTCGCCATATGACCTATACCGTGTTGTTGCAACGTAAGAACCTACAAAAAGGAATATATAAAAGTCAACATTTAAGCAGGTCTTTAAACATTACATCAATCACCTGGCTATATAAGATAAACACTTTTTATATCAAAATACGAAATTCTGCAAATCAAAAAATTGAAAATTTCATACTTGTTTGTGGAATATTATTGGAACGAATCAAAATAAAATATGCTGGTTAAGATTCGTGTATATTTCTTATTTGTCTCGGTGATTTAGGTTGATTTTCCATCGGGAGCTCAAGTTCATGTTGAAGTTTACAATCGTCAGTCACTAACTGTGACGGTGATTGCACCAGAAAGTGATTTTGGTGCAACAGCTGGGTTGTGTGGTACTTTTGACAACAACTTAAATAACGATCTGCAGCATAAATCAGGTCATATAGAAACCTTTAATCATATGCCGCATGCTTTTATTGAGTCATGGAGGTTAGTTATGATAAATAACATACATTTATTTGCACAGGCTGTATTTAGCTTGTGTACGCTTTATGCTTTTACCTAAACAATTACTGTTAAATTATTTCATAAAGCAAGCAATAATTTCATTAGTACAAAAGAAGGAAAAGATATATAATTGTTATTAAATTTGCGTCCTATACATAGTACTCTTAATTATGGACTAGAATGGTATGAAAAAGGTATTATATATTTACATAAAAAAGACTTTTACTCATTTGTGTATTAAAGAAATATATAATTTAGGAAATAATGGATTTCAAAAATACTACCAACTCATTACAAGCATAAATGTTTACAGCTACTATTCATACCAAAATGAGAATTTTTTAGTATAAATGTAGACGTGAAAAATTCAATCAAATAAATATCTATTCAAAATGAAATTATTGACAACAAAATTGTGTGATTTCTATCAAATGCAGTCTAGAAGTCTGGAACATCTATTCTGGGAATGTCATTACGTTCAAATAATGTGAAATAGATTAGGAAAATTTTTAACACTTAACACTTAAACGGATCAGCTTTATAGGATTTTGGTACGTCCGGGGCCAATAAGATAAGGTTTTTTTTTTTTTTTTTTAAATGAGCTGTTGTTTCTCTTATGGGTATGAGGTTGATAGACATTTAATTTTAGTATTAAAATGTTATTATTTTATCAATATTAGTTTATCAGATATAATTTTGTCTGTATATAAGGATTCCCCTGCAGGCATGAGTCAAGAGTATTTCGCAAAGGCAAAAGTTGATAAACAGAGAAGCCAATTTTATGGATCATTAAATAGGATGTTTGTTTATAAATAATAGTTTAGTCTGCTTGTAAATTTGGGTCATGATGTTAAATGTGTTTCATGGAAATGATTTTAAAAAAATGGACATACGATTACAATACATAGTTACTGAAGACTTATTCAACGTATTCAACTGGAAAACCCAATTTGTTATTGAAGCATCACTCTTGAACAACTCTCACTCGTCCAAATTTTATTCAAAGAATATGCGTTAACAAAGTTATTGTTAGTTATTTGTTGCAGATTATTTACTTTAAATGATGATTTGTATGCTGCTTAGAAATATCTGTTAAATCGAAGGGTTATTTGAAGCATGATCATACGATTTTCTGAAATATATTAAATCAACTATAGAAAACTAAATGAACCGGCCATTAGAAAAGCAATTTTCAGAGACTGACTGGTGGGGTTAACAACAATTTATTTGTGTGACAGAATTGCAAGCAATATTTATGTCGAATAAACACATCGACTTTGTAGGATTCCGATCGGGTCGTCAATATTTGACAATATATGCAATCTCCCCATCGATCCAAAATATAACAAAGACATTTATTACTGCGACTGCACCAACAACACTAAGCACCAGGTTGACTGTCACTTAACCAAAGGTGCGCAACCAGCTGTAAAGGTATGACTTCCTCTACATATCTCAAGTCTCTCTTATACTGGGCAATTGGAAAACTGAAATAGAATACTTTACATTTTATCGAATTCACAACAGCTAATTTTACGATTATATTTATTGATGCTTTTGTTTTACATGATGTAGAAGGTTGTTTTATTAACCCTTTACCTCATATATACGCGATTTAACGAACTTTCGACACCCTTTGATGCCTCAAATAGTGAAAAATTGTCATATTTAGGCCCCAAACACTTGTTTTCGATTGAGAAACATTGTGTAAAAAGTGATCAATTTTTTTCGGCACCGCCCTCTATCAAAATATTCATCAAGGGTTGCCAGAGTGGGGACGTGTCCTCGTATGCTTGGGGGTTTGAAGGGAGGCTTCCGACCCCTAAACACCATGAACATTTTAGACTTGTAAGAGGCTAAAAATGGCATCAGGTCGGTCTTAAGGTGAAGTGTTAACAACACTGAATAGCCTTTGACTGTATTTCAATCCATTGAGAAGTTGCAGCACTTTGAACTCAGTTTTAATGGAAAGAATCAATGCAAAATAGTGATTTTTGGCAATTTTGAGATGTCCCCTCGTTGCCATTGTAGCAAACGATGTCAGATTGTGTATGCCGTTACAGATGCTATGGTCCAGTAAACATTTGTGCCAAGATTGATCAGTATTAAAGCATATTTTTTTTAGTTTTATACCAATTTGAACTTGTAACAGGAGGCTTTTTAATGAAAAAAGCCATTTTTCACGAAATGCTAATGGTAATGGGTTAATTGCATCTGTGTATATAGAATGTTTCTTTATACTATTTTATCGACAAAGAAATGCATATGAATGTAATTATTTGAACTTTAATTATATATATTAATTATTATCAATAAATTATATAAAAACAATATAAATACATTAAAATTTAACACTTTAAGGCTCGTTGTCCAACATGTTCAACTACAATGACGTCCACACATTGTAATGCGCAAGGAGGCATAGGAAAACGAGCAGCGAATCCCTTAGCAGATAACTCGCCTGTATATTATACCTTTGATTACGGTCTTGGTAAATTTAAAATCTTTGAATTATTTTATCCGTTGAATTTATGTTATGGACATGCCCTGCTTTGAATTTGGAACAGTCTATTTATAGTATAGGGGAATTCAATATTGGTATACAAAATGTGAGTTACCAACTGTATAGGGCCTTTACTGGTAGCAGAGCCTGATCACTTTCGGTACCTGAATGTTATGGTTAATAAATACTATATCAAATGCTATAAGCTATTGGTAGGTTAAGTTTTTTGTATTTTCTTTTTGTATTTTTAAATCCCACAATCTACAGATGGGCTGTTTTAAAGCAGAGTCAATTCATTAAACAACTAAGCTGGTTAAGGGTAAATGATTTCATATCATATTTTATTATAGACTTTGTGATCTTTTTTTTATTCATATGTTATAAGAGTTTTAAGACAATGTAATAATGAAATTGATAATACCTCCACGTTTATGATATATATTTTATAGAGTTTAGTTTAAATATAAATACATGTGTAATAAATACGAGATATCATAAAAATTGTGCTGATATATTAAACAATAATTCCTTTGCTCGATTGCACTGATAAAAAACAATGTCATGTGACATACATATAACTTCATCTCATTACAAATCACCTCCTTTGGGCTTTGACTGTTTTTTGTTTTTTTTTTTTGTTTTTTTTTTTTTTGTAATGCTTGCACTATTACTTTTATACATGTATGTTAAAAGGTCATCAAGCCAAAGAAAAGTTTTTCCCTACACCTAGCGGTATTTCACGTCAAGATGCAGAGACTGCTTGCAAACTGGCATTCGGCCAAAGTTCTCCAATCCAAAGGTGTAAGACATACGCCGGGGTCAAATCGGATGATTACATTGACATGTGTATAGAAGACTTAAAAGTAACATCTTTTCACCAACTTTTGTTGATTATTTTACTTATTATGTTATATTGATGAGCTTTTGTCAGTATTTTTCGTATTTCATTTTCAATTTTCTACAAAATGCTTTTTTTTTTTGTTTTTGCTTTGGTATGCCACAAAGTAATCTATTATATTATTCGTACTGAATATTCAATTTTCTGCTGCATTTAATTAACAGTAACTTGTCTTACACAGCTTTACCTACAAAACATATTTTAACAGTAAGAATACATAACACAATAAGACACACCAAATTTGTGTTGAAATTTAATTTCCGTTCAAGAAATGACAAATCCTATTTAATTTTCGTGTAATATTTGATTTATTTAGTATTTTGATGACAAATCCTTATTTGATTTCCGTGTAATGTTTGATTTATTTAGTACTCTGATGACAAATCCTTATTTGATTCATGTGTAATATTTGATTTATATAGTACTCCGATGACAAATCCTAATTTGATGTCCGTGTAATATTTGATTTATTTAGTACTCCGATGACAAATCCTTATTTGATGTCTGTGTAATATTTGATTTATTATGTACTCCGAATTTTTTCTGTGTAATATTTGATTTTCTAGTACTCCGATTGATTTACGTGTAATATTTGATTTATTTAGTACTCTGATGACAAATCGTTTATCGGGATGGCTGTGAATGCAGCAGTGACATCATGTCGCTATGAAATACTGAAGAACGTTTCTACTTACGATAATAATGGTCAACCACCTGCCTTCATTACCACTGACATTTGCCCAAAAGATTGCTCTGGACACGGAAAGTGCCAGCGTGGGACATGCATTTGTGATTTTGGTTACTATGGCGGCGACTGTAACATTGATACACGCGTTCCGCCACAATTATACTTCTATGCTAGGTAATATTATGTTAAATGATATATAATTATATAAAATTAGATGTGGAGAAATTGTCACTGTAGTACAATGGTCCAGTTGTAAACGGTTGTAGGCTTATTTGGACAAGGCTTATCGTGTGCATTACCAATTATATCCGACCATATAATATGACAAAAGCGTTTATTACATATCAAAACTTAATATGTAAAAGAAAAATGAAAATTCTGATGAAAACTTAGAATATATATGTTTAATTAAATTTCACGGTGATTTAATAAAATGGACGATAATAGAAACATGCAGTACGTATTATAAATGTTGGCCAATGTAAATGAGGTGTTATTTTATATCTAAGTGTAATACTATCTTTACAACAAAGTTTAGATTAACAGCCCCTGTCATATCACGTTCGGGTTTCCTCGATTACTGTTCTACACATATGAACATTTTTAATAGAAATAGATAACATTACTTGCACATGTCATACAAAACGAATATCCGATTAAAAGTATTTTAACACTTTAGTTTATGTAATAATATAAAGATACTCCTACCTTATTTCAGCATAAATTTAAGATGAATTTATGTTCTTTTTGCATAATCATTATTTTCGCGCTAAAATTTTAATAAGTATGTGCTGCTTTCAAAGGACATGCTTTTGTTTTATATTATTTCATATGCATTAATATATAGATAAAAGTTCGGCTAATGCAATTTTTACCTTTCTATATTTCCTTCAACAAAATTATTGATTATTTTTTTAAAAATGAATGAAAGCGCTGTTGCTGATGACTCTGTTTTGTGTGACGTCACTATGAACCAGTGTAAAGTGGCATTTGTGGCAGGAAATAACTTGTTCAACAATTCACGTTTATCATGCAAAATTAGAGAATTGGAGGTAATTAAATTTGCAAATTTATTCATAAACCGTTGATAGAAAATGTAAAATGTTAAAATATTATATGTTTAAATGATATTAAGAAGTGTTAATCTTGTCTTTTATTTCATTTTGGCAATCGTATCTCGTTTAGGACACACACACACACACTGTTTAACTTAGGGTTCATACGCCGCTTTACGGTATGGCACAACATGTCAAAATTCAAAATTTCACTATGTTCATGTTCAAATGTTGAATTCTCTTAAAACCGGTGCTATGTGGCATGAACGGTAGATGCACATTCCAGTGCCGTCCATGAACAGGATTATTTAAACAGAGTCTACATCATTTTCAGTTGTGTCGATTTAGGCGATCTTTATGGCTTCTGTTAGATTGATAATATTATTTTTTGTTATTCTTTAAAGATATACTTTGTTTAAATTAGATCTTCATAAATATTGATAATTGTTACACAGTCCCTTTGTAGATATAAAATAAACATGTTTTGACTTCGCACAAAGAAAATAAGTTACGTTTTGAATTCAACACACTGTCGATGGTATAAAGATGTATATACAAAGTCAATAAAAAACTGGCAGTATTTTTTAAAGAAAAAACCAACATTAAATGGTCTGTAATTGTGAACGCTGCCTACCAAACATAGTTTGTTCATTCTTTTATTCAAATTAGATATTTCAATACGAATTTCATAGATTTCAATAAATTTCTGTGATTAAAATATTTTTTCTCAAAGATGAGCATAGTATATCTTTAAAACAAATGTATATCAAAACATATTTAACATTTCCATTTCTTCTATATTATTGTCAATAAATAAATTTTCGATCAGTTTTATAATAAAATTTCCTAGATGTAAATTTTCTCACGCGTATATACAAACTTTCAGAAAGGTACTGCGTCATAATATTTCGTCATATATGTCTATTTACAGTTTGATGGTTCGTCATTTGTATCAACAGGCCAACATTACACAACAGGGGTTGTGTATAACACTAGAGGCAGTGTGGGATGTAAACTACCAGTACAAACCTCAGGTAGGACAAAAATAGTAGAGTTCACTCACGACATCTTTTTATTTATAACCTTTTAAAACAACCCAGAAATAACACAAAATAATAATGATAATGAATCTACACAAAATTGAAGAAACATTATGAAGTATGACTTTTGTGGTTAGTAACAACGAGCCATGCCTGAACAATCTCGCCGATTGTTTCTAAAGGATACACTTGTTTTACAAATTTCATTTGCCATTTTATACGTAGTTCCTTCATTATATATTAAGTTAAGTCAATAGTGAAACTTACTTATATCAATAGGTCAGTCTGTTGTTGGTTACAATATTTCAATTTCTAATGATGGACGACTCTATAGTAACGAGTTGAACGTCATAAAGATTGACTCCACATGCATGGATTGTGACGACATGGGTGCGTCTTGTCAAATTATGGTAATATTTTACAAATATTAATAAAAGTAGATTTAAGAGGATGTTTACGTTTTTGGCAAGATATTTCAAGATAATTGCAACTTACTTTGTAATAATTTTGAGTGGATAATTACTTAAAAACAAAAGAAAGATAATTGAAAATTATCAAACTATCCAATAACTAAAGTTACAATGCTTATTAAATAAAACTATCTTAAATTCAATAAATTCATTGATTACTAAACATCTCTTTAATTTTTGATAAGGTTCTTGATAGTCTGGTGATTACACTTTATTCCACATGTAAACCTGATATTTTTTAATTTTGTTTTCTTAAAACGTCATATTTCAGGATCACACTTGTATGATTAATGGCAAGTGCTATCTGGCAGGGGAATCTGATACTGTTGACCAGAACCACAAATGCGACCCATCTAAAAGCAAAATGACTTGGACAAGTAAGGGCTTTTCAAATAAAAACTACAACTAAGTCGATGATTGACACCTTTTAAATTAGTTCCTTTAAAGTAAAATAGTTACTTTTTCAAAATTTATGTTAAAAGAAACGTTGTGTACCCGTTTTTTATTATTAGATTAATATGATTTTGAACAAAGCATTATATAGAATTATGTTAATTTAGATAATTATAGTGAATGTAATATATTGTCAACATTTTCAGATGCAAACGGCGACTTGCACATTGTACAAAAACCAGATACATTACCAACTGCACCTCTTGGAGGTACTCGACTGAAACGGTTCGACATTTGGACAACGTAAGTAAATACATTTTACACAATTACACAAATAATTAATGTACTCCTTTTAAACAATTAGTCTCGAAAGGTGTTTTTAATCATTATTTGACTTTAGTCTTGATAGCTTAGGTTATACTTTACAGCAGCAGGTGTCAAGTGCCGTGTGGCAGCTGTAAAAATATGCCCCGTAGTTCACTTCAGTGTTGTCATATTTGTATGGTCTTTCGGCATCAATGATGCCAGCACAGCAAGCTAGCTTTAAAAGTCTAATCAGCTAATCGCTAGCTTTATTGTATGACATAGAACTCAGACCGGGTGTAAATGTGGCCATGATGCAACACAAACCAACTGTGCATGTTGTGATGCTGGTGGATGTCAATGCCCGGCTCCAAACCAAAACCAGTGTGCTGTATGTGGTAATATGACAACCTGTGGAACTCGTGAGTTGACTTACAAGTTCATTTAAATACATTCTCACTCACTAACTCAACTTACTTAGGTAAACATACTTACTTAATTACTTACTCCTCCCCTTATTAACGTACCTAGTTTCTTGTCTGCCTATCTACCTACCTACCTATCTACCTAACTACTTACTTGTTAACTTACATACTTGCTTACATACTTATCTGCCTACTGAATTACTTATTGGATAAATTAACTTCATAATTACGTATGAACTTACTGACATTCTTACCTACTTACTTACGTACTTGCACAGCTGATTTATCATTCAATAAATTAGTAATTAAGTAATTCATTTCTCAATAACAAAGTAATGTTTGTAATAATTTGACTATGTTTTGGTGTTTAACGTTTTCCTTTCTTCTGCTATAAAATGGTAATGGTTGGAGTTCTGTTTTGTTTAAATATTATGATCAAGTAATATGTTTACTTTCTAAATATATATCTGTAATTGAAAAATATCGAATACTGATTAACCATAACACTATTGGACCTGGAGGTGATTAACCGTTTCAATGAGTAAAAATGTAGGTAAGTCTGCACGTCCGCTTAAGCTTTTAACTTTTTGCTGGCCAACTTCAAACTTTTGAATTAAAAACAATCAGAGTTAGGGAAATCCCTTTAAAATGTATAAAGTAGATTAATGCAGGATTTAATAATCTATCGTTGTACAGCTCAGCCTGCACCGGAAATGGGTCTGGATGGTTACACAATAGCTCTAGCAGACTGCACTTGTCTATTTGATAACACACGATACAACTGTGCGTGTTGTATGAATCGTCAAAGCTGTCAATGTGGATTGGAGCACAGAAACCAGTGTGTCGATTGCAAGCACATGGATCAATGCGGAAAGAAACCATGGATCTTTGGACCAGCCATGCCATTACATGATTAGACGCTTCTAGATATTTTCTTTCTATTTCAACTTCAGTATTGTTGCCTTTTTAATTATTAAATATAATATTGAACCGATCGTTTTTGTTTTCGTTGCCGACTTTGGCATAGATATTATAAAAAAATACTGTTATTTTAAGCTGGAGCACAACTTAGACAACTATACACGTTGTGTATTTTATTTCCCGTCGTATTATTCACTTTCGGTTCGAAAGCTGCTTATCTGTATTGCTGTAACTAAACTAAAATAATACAAGAACCTTGGGTATTCTTAACCTATAAGGACACTAAGGTCACTGGTGTCTTTTGTGCTATAGATTATAAAAGAAAATATCTACGTTAAACTTTTTTATATATGAATGTTAATTCAATGGGTAAAATAACAGTTTGTATTTTGTGAAGTGCATTGTTTAAGTGACAGCAGAGTCGTACTTCTTGAATTAGCACAAGGTATTGATTTTAAGACTTTTGGTGTATAATGATGTGCTATGATGCAATAAACCACAACACACTTGCGACAAAAGATCTCCATTATCCGAATGAAAGTTAAATAAGTCTAAGGGAACTTCAGATATCATGTCCACCTTATTGATTCCAATCTATTTTTTCATCGAATCCTTTTTTAAGCTTGAACTGTTTCCTATTTTATTTTATTGAATCGTTTTTATTCTTGGTGAAAGTGTCCGGTACCTGTGAACTACCTTTTCAACCACAAATGCAAATAATCCAAAGAAAATTCCGATAAAACACACATAAAATGCACTTTGTACATCCATCAATGAGATTGGCTTTGCTTCCGTAATTGAATTTCCTGAACAGAAACTTGATTTCGGCCACCATTTCCGTTTCCAGATTTGAAGCAATCCTCCTTCGTGTATTTTAATAATTCTGCAAAATATAACTAGTAAATATTATATGTTGCTTTGGTCTTTTAAAAAATATTTTTACGGTTGATATATAACTACATCGCATAAGAATGCTGTTCATTCTAGTAGTCTTTCTGCATATTTGAAAATCATGCTTGTACAATCAAATGAAATGAGAACCTTTAAGAACGGAAAAATCCGTTAAATTGAAAACGAATATGTTGGCTTCGATGTAACATGCTCATGAAAGACAAATGCTCTAATTACCAGATTTCAAAGTCATTAGTATTAACTATAACTTAATAATTATGTTCAAACTGTCCTTCCTTCAATTGTTTGCTGAATAAATCGAAATAGTTATAAGACGAATGACAAAACTAATGAAAATATTGAAAATTCCAAATATCCAGCTCAAAATTTTGCGCATATCAGTTTATACAATGTAAAGTTTTGTTTCATGAAAAAAACTTTATAAAGTAATACAGTAATGCGTATTATCATCATCTGAAACAAATCGATGTTTTGAAAGTTTTGTCATTTTATTCAATCTTTTTGCTCAAGTTCCAAAGTTAAAAGACTTTTATTGTTTCAAAAGTAAAAAAAACTAATACCGAATTGTACATAATTATATAGAGGATATATGTTTAGTTCAGTGTAAGATCTGAATATATTGCACCGAGTGAGCACCAAACGGTTTACTTCACGAGTGGCGCAGTGAACTTTTGGTGTTCACGAGGTGAAATATGTTTCAATCTTGCACTAAACTGAACAATTTTTTTTACTATATGCAAAGGAACGTTCAAAAAGACAATTTCACCTTATTTGCCAAATAATACTATATCGTAACGTCATTTACGACGTCACGTTATTAAGTTGGTTTCTAGTACTTTGCACGCTGGTATTTCACTGAAACAACGTAATGGGCTTAAATTCAAAACAATGAAAAATATCAAATTGACATTTTCACTGTTTCAAAAAGTGAGAATATCAGTAAAACTGTGTTTTATAATTTACTTATATATTTCTATAAACCACCGAAAAAACATGTAATAAAGAAGAAATGTCTTACTGTTCCGAGAATATAGCAGCATGGGAAGAATTATTCTTAAAACCTAGCACGTATATTAGTGGCATGAATTCTTCTTTGATAGTCATCAAACTGCACTCGGTTGCCATTGCAATCTCCATATAGGTTTTATCACCTATAGACATGTAAAGAGAAAATGAAAATCAATGTATTGATAGTTTAAAAATCAGTCTTTATTAACCTCGGATCAAACTGAAATTGAAAATGAAAATGGAATCCCTAAAGATCAGTGTCAATGGCACTTTTTTAATCAGACTTAGTTTGATTTAGCCTGATCATGAACAGTTTTTGTAAGTGCAAGCTACCTAGCACCAACGTAAGCAGTATTCAACATTTTAATAGAAAATGTCTTATATTTAAAAACAGATGTGTTTGTATGGCGATTATCATTGAAATATAGTGATTCCATTCCATGAATAGGGTGTATGGTGTCTAAGTAAGCGAGCGCCCTAAACGGGAAAACAATGGTCGGAACTAAATAAAATGGAATTTTGAAAGGGGATAAAAGGTTAAGAAGCCATTTAAAAACTATATTGGCAGTGAACTCTCATATTAGGTCTTGACTCACCTATCCATGCATATTTTCCCTTCTTTACTCTCTGAACATGAAAGGCTGGGTTTCCGTGTAAAATAGTCGGATCGGATTTGTTGAATTCTATGAAAGCTTCCCCCATTTTTCTGAAGGTTGGATTACTTGAGTTCTACAAAACAACTGGTGATTATAGTTTAATAATTCAAAATTTTGATTATATTTTAATAATTCGCAAATTTGCAAAAAGACATCAAAACTAAATCTTCAGTCATTTTTTTAAACTATACACAATTTTCTTCATTCGACTTTTCATGCAATAATTCTATAATTATTCCTTTAATTTTCGTTAATATATAATAAAGTCTCACTTTCCAGTTACATTTCTCGGACAGTTTATAGTTTGATATAACTTATACGGTTTTTTATTATTTGTGCTGTTTTTTCGTTTAGTGGCTTTTAAATAATAAGGTTGTACCGGATCAGATCAAGTTTGTCTTACCGGAAACATCGACTCCCACACCGTTCCACCGATTGTACCCCATTTATACGTGCCCTTGAGCTCAATCATGTCTTGGAGTGTATTAAAGGGTGGTTTCTCTTTTGTAACAGTTAGAAAGGCAATAAGGTTACCACAATAGGTCCCTACTATTATAATACATGTCAACCACCAACAGCTTATCAAGGTCCGCCCAGCTGTTGATTCTGGTAAATGTAGGCCGCCTGTATTATAAACAATTGCAAACATATCGACAGCAACATTTTAAATACTTATATTGTACTAAACCGTTGAAATAGATTTTGAAACTAAATTGAAATAGATGTTGAAAGTAAATTGAAATAGATTTTGTAACGAGGTACCTGGTATTAATCATAACTTCAGAGAAAAGTATAGAGCGGTCAATTAGCAAGTGCAAACGAGAAACATTATTGTGATTTTTATCTTCCAACATGGCAGATCCCTAGAGTGACGTGAAAACGAATCAGTAATGGTAAAAAAAGCTTACAAAGTTTTATAGAGTATATACTGTAAAGTTCAACATAACCTCTAACAGTTTAACTAGCAGTTGCAAGTAATATTCTAAAAGTTTGTCTCATGGGACAGATAAATATGATAAAACTAAATGCCGACATTAAAGGCACGGTTATTGTCAGCATCATCACATTAGTGCCTCATATACGTATGTTGTGTAGGTTAACATAAGTATCGATGAAATAAAAGTTAAATCGTCAAGGAAAACGACTGAAACGTCCTGGATATGTAGATAATTATAAATACAATACTATGCATTGTGTAAAACCGCTCCGCCATCGATGAAATACTGATAGCCTTTTAAAACTGTTTGCTGGTGAAATACGACTGTATACACAGCCAGTATTTTGATGTCCATCGGAAAGATTTACTTGCATCGTTTTTGCATTGGATGACAAGACATTAAACATGTAACAGGTTATTGAAAAAAACATTGATCTTTACTGTCTTTGATTATCAGTGATGTTTTGATAGTCTTTCATAATTGAAATAGTTTTTTTTATAAATGGTTCTTTTAAAGATGACATTGTTTTGAATAATCGATATAAAAACCCGTTTATATTATATATACTGTTAACACTTGTCATCTGAATTGCAAATAATCTATATCAGTCTTTACAAAATAAGATTTCAAATTGAATAAAGGTAAATATGTTTTGCTCTTGGCTCTGTTAATTTCCCCCCCCCTTTTTTTTGATGTTTGTCGTTATATGTTTATTTAATTAGGGGGAGGGTGTTAGCCAATAAGTTTTATTAATTTATTGACACTGCCTCTTATATACAACAAATGTTGTCATAGAGTAACTTTAAAGTTATTCACTGTTAGATTAAGTACTTACGAGGCTAGTTAAATAAACATATCATTGAGTAATTTAAATATCATCTGCTTATCTTTATATTTTAAAACATATAGTTAAAGAATAACATTATATTATATTTGATAGAAATGTATCTGTATACATAACAAAGTGCATTTGCCTTGTAAACGGTGCACAATAATATATTAACTAATTTATAACTTGGCAAAACATATTTCATGACATACAAAAATTAATATTGTCATGCTCACACCAATCCTGTTATATCTCAAAGCAAAACACACAAAAATTTATTTGGTTATAACAAAGCGTGACCAAAATGTTTTCCGGCGACATACCAAAATGAACTATGCTTTGCACTGCATGCACCGAATTGTATACAAGTCATGTGAATGTTAAAATCGTAATCCATTTCATTGGCAAACATTTACATTACGAGGCTAATATGGCTTACCAAAGTGAACACTACCATGTAAGCAGACAATCCGTTTAAATCTACTTATTCAGATAATTATCATGACCAATAGCATACCTTGACATAGCAATGCTCCAAAGACATACCAAAATGAACTGTGCCATGTATGTAGACCGCCATTTTCCTCTCTTAAGGCAGCTTGCTGTGGTATAGTATAAAACGGATTGTATTTTTCGAGCAGAAACACCAAGACTGTTACCACCAACAGAGATGCCCCTATAAACGATGATCAATATATTGTTATCTTAACACAACATTGGAAGTTAAATCTTACAATTACATGTTATTCTGTAGGTTTCTGTACATTTCATAAATTATTTAAAATCATTAACATGTGACCATTATAGGAAGTATACATTTATACGCAATCAAGTGAAGGAGTAAAGGAGCAAAGGAAACAGCAAATGAAAGTCTCTTAATGGTACAATTGCAAATTTTCATGATAACAAATCGGTTAAATCTGGCTAGCATACAAGCAATAGTGTTAAAAGTAAGCTGCGCTCCAAGCTCAATCCCAGAAACATCGCTTTAAGCAGAATCATAAGACTCTTCGAAATGGATAAGTATATAATTTTTCTTAGATCCACTCACAGATGGAACTATATATCATGTATTCATAAAACATCAGCGATTGATGACAAACATGTATATTTATATAATCAAAACAATTAATTTTTTACCTATAGTGAGAAGAACCTCCCATTTAAAAGGATCTACTAAGGTCCTCCATTTAGTAGCATATATATCTGGCTTTTTCACCAGCACTGTAGTGTAACCATAGTAATAAGGATAACTGAAATCCATTGCCGGGTCTCTTTCCGCTTGTACTGAAATGGCTGATGCGACAATATCCACTTCCTGAAAAGGCAAAACACGACTTACAGGTTATTGTCGAATACTAAATTCTACTTAAGCCGGTGTTAGGGGACCGTAGACGATATCTTGCAATTACCACTACTGTCTATGAACAGACTCAATCAAACTGGGCCTTCAACATTATCTTTTTTTTCGTGTTGGCATTTCTTTATTGATTCTGTTTTTTGTTTGTTTGTTTTTTCCCCTCTATTTTAGATATATCTTCAGTGCAAAGATTGTGGTTATATGTTATTGTCTGATACTATATGTATGATATCAAATTCCTTAAAACAACTACATAACTAAATGTTATAATTACTAATTATAGTCATTGAAATATTGTTCACATTATAAATTTGTATGTGTTCTTTTCATTATCAGAATACAAAACTGTTTCATAACATTGTTTATCACACACCCGTGCCGATTTTGCGACTCCTTAAATATGGTATTGCACGGCAGTGCATATATTTTGACGTGACGTCATTAGCGTTATACAAACAGTGTAAAGACGCGCTAAATGTAAGCGTTATACTATAGGTGCGTCAATGAAATATGACTCTTATTTCACCTTAAACGGTCTTTATTTTTGGTATATGATAAATAGAATATTAAATTCGTGTAAGTTCATTACTGAATTTATTGCACTCGTTGAATAAAATAATATTATGCTCGCCAGAGGCTCGCATAATATAATTTTATTCAACTCGTGCAATAAATTCAGTATTGAACTTACACTCATTCAATATCCTCTATAGCCTATGGCATTAAGACAATCTAGCGAGAGATACTTGAATGAATAATAAACGTGTTTGGTATGATTGTGATTTTATGTTTTTTAGTCCGTCAGCCCAATCAATCAATAATATATGATGATATATTAATTTACTTGTACAAAATACTTTGTTTATTTTTGCATTCTTACCTCACGTTGAAGTTGCCCGACCAAGCCATTAAATGTTAAATTTTCTCGGTTGATCACACTTCCCCATTTCCTGTCGGCAGGTTCAGTTATGGTATACCTATCGCAAAGTCAAAGTAAAACGTTATGCAAAAATTAGAATATAATATTACATTTAACCGAACAAATATAATGTTTAAACTTCTTACCAATGTCCAATGTCGCGTTTGTGAGGAAAGAGAAACTCGTTATTTTTCTGTATAGACTGAGCTGTAAGAACATTCATTATACATATATACATATAATGTTGAGAAATACTGATGAAATAAATGTGTATTTTTATTTTCCGTATTTTCAGTATAAAAATTATATTTTCACCACAGCGAAAAACAAATTGTTTTGCTTATTTCGAGTGGTGTCTTGTAGGACTTCTTTCTTCTAAATTCAGCCAATACACAAATTTTAAGGTAAAAAAATTAAACAAATAAATAAATAAAACATAAACATAGGAACCTCCGACTTGATAAATGTATCAATTCTTGTTTTTTTTTTTTAATTTCACGTTTGTCTTTCATAATTTTACGATTTCAACGCTTCCCAAAATGGCAGGTTTACTTCCAAAGCTTCAATTTTATGATCTCACGTTTTAAACTTGATTTTATAGCATAATTGAAATAAGAATAGTGAATTCTTTTTGATAATAAGATCGTGAACTTAAGGAGCTGGACTCGTGGAAACATGGCATCAGGCAGTTGAAATAATAAATTAATGAAATTGAAATAATGAATTCACGAAGTGACCAGATCGGTATTCCGTCTAGACATGCACACAATTGTACTTATTGATAAGGTTTGAGTTTCTGACCATTTCTCAGTTATTTGCATTGAAAATGCACGGAAAAGCCTAGCAGTCATTACATCCCTTGATTTTATATTGTGTAGCCGTTCTGCAAATTTGGTTCTAAAAGTCAATAGTTACGTGAAGTTTAGTTTGTTTGATAGCTCTTTTAAAAGGTCCATGCAGAATCCTTCGTAGATAAACGTGTTGTTTACTTTCCTCTTTACAACGAAAGGCGAATACTGTAAGAATAAACGAATAGTTTTGTCCTTTAAATGCGATGAAATATTGAAGAATTCATATCACACAAAAACGCTTTTTGCTTTATGAACAAAATAAATATGTACGAGTATATGATTATTTAACTTACTTTCTATTGTCCAGATCTCATTTTTATTAAACAATTAAATAATTAAAAAAATTTGATATTTGTAACATTTTAAAAATGTTTTAAAAATGTTTTATCAAGGTTATGTTTTTAATACTACATGATACTTTAATGCATGTCAATTTTTCAGTACATACCGCAAGTGTAGATACAATAAAAGATCTCTTGTTGTAACCAAATCGTGTGTTTGGAAATACATCAGAATTGAGGGCTAACTTGCCGTTGATATCAGCATAGCCAACAGAACTAAACTGTCTTCCCTTTTCTTTCCATAACAATGTGTCAATGTAGTACCCACGACATTGGTTTGTTGGATTTAGGGTGTATGCGTTCTTTAAAGAAAAATAACGAGAATACAGACATTTATTTAAAACAAACAAACTTTAAACATGAACATTTAAGGCAAATTGAATATGTATTAAGCTATTTTGAGCTTTTTTTTTAGTTAAGTTATCAGGCCTTTATTAAAGCATTTGGTTAAATATTTCCTTATTCAACGCCATCAGTAATGGTCAGAAAACCAATAACAATAGAAATTAATATCTTTGGACATAAAGATTTAAGATTATCTTCAACTTTTGTCTTCAGTTTTGTAATATCACAAGACTTTGAAATATTTAGATCTGTAACCTTTTCAAACATCTCGATAAACTTCTGTTTGCAGCCAATTTCTATACTACCGTCCAATTCTTCTCTCAGTAGTTCGAGGGTAGTAGAGTCTATACAATCGTAGACATTCTGAAAAAAGGCAATGTTCTAGTACAGTTTTCATGACTAAGTAATGAAATATGAGTCAAAGAATTGTTGAACAGAAGCAAAAAAAAGAATGAATAGCTTTCCCGTTTTGTTATCTTTTATATTTTAATGCTAATTTATACCTTAAATTAAAAAGTTATTCTGTATATTACACGCTACAGAAATATTTATAATATAAACTGTTAATGATCAAGTTCACTACAGGTACAATATAAAAGGCAATGTTCTAGTACAGTATTTCTGATTAAAATAATGAAATCCTAACTAAGATAATGAAATTTGAGTCAAAGAAATGTTCAACGGACGCAAAATAATGAACAGCATTCCTGGTTTTATTGTCTTTTGTATTTTTATACAAATTTATACCCCTTGAAAAAAGTAGTTATTCTGTATATTATACGCGATAAAAATATCTCTACACATAAATATAAAAGGTAAATCCTCAAAGTCACTAATTATTGTTTTTATAAAACCGGCACTTAAACTTTCTTACGTCTGATAGGATGAAAACAGTAAGTACATACCTGTATATATATTTTTCTTTTTTGGGGTAATGCTAAAACAGCAACATTGTCAAGATCTTTTGCGTGGTTTTTAAGCTCATTTGCTGCTGCGCGACTGTAGCCATATAGTGCAACCAACCATTTTGAGAACATTTTTAACACTGTTTTCTCGTTGTGAAGAGAGTCAAATTTGTTTGCCTTAAGGAAAAAAAATGTTTGGATGATATTTAATGCAAATGGAATGCAAATTGCTGAAAATGGTTAAAACTATTTGTTATACTTGTGTCTTGTATATACATGTGAATTTTATAAATTCAATTTGTAATATCATTTAGCAGAAAAATATCAGCCTGAGTATGACTAAATCGCGTTGTGTAGATGCACATTTATGGCAGATATTAACCTTAACGTAATAGAACAGAAAGTGTTTTCACTTTGCCCCCAGTAGAGAGCCTGTGCATTCTTCAAGGCTAACCAGTGTCCGTTTGTTGACTTTCTTATCTTTCATTTCATTAGCCCCTAAATTGTTAGGCAAGTCCATTTAAGTAATAAATTACTTTGTCATCATTCAATACGTTCAAGCAATGGTACTTACCGCCTTCAGAACACGTTTCGTGTTAGCAACACCACAGACAATAACAACATGAATGTCTTTTTTCGCTGCTCCTTTTAATTTGTATATTGGTTTTAAAACGCTTAATACATCTTTTACATGATCAACGTTGTACATTGCAAAAAGTACACCATCCTTTGATAGTCCATCGACCAAAGATGATAACTCCTTCTCTATTTTGAAAATAAGACATAGAAATAGATTAAAATCATTTCATGTTACCGAATGCAATTTAGCTATAAAAGAAAAAAAGAAAAGTGCATTAGCCGCAGACTAAAAGGGAATTCTAAGAGATTTGACGAACATGTTATTGACATTAGTCTATACAATAAAGAAAAAACTTGTAATACCCTGGAAGGTACATTTTTAATATTGACAAAGTAACATGTTTTGTTTGTTAATGTTTAAATCAAAAGACATGTATCATATTAACGTAAGACGGATGTTTTAGGCTTAAACAAGCTAAGTGTTTTGAATTCCCTTGAGAAAAAAACTCTGCAGATAAAAGCAATGTCGTTTATAAAGACAAGATACTTTAGTAGAGATGTTAAATAGATAGTCATTGATCTGAAATGAAAAGGCTTGAGTACTAAAAGTTTGCTTGAATAGTAACTTATATCATTCTTTTAACTCTAAAGATACGAATATTGAATTTATTTTATAGTAATTGCCTTCAATGTGCAGAATCAAATGAATTGAAAATAGCATGTTATTGCTCTTAAGTTTGGCAACCATTAAGATTTACGTTTTACAATCGTTTTCATCATATGCATCTTTTCTATTGCATTCATTGGTAGTTGTTAAATTGAATTGTATTTACACTCATGCGGAGTATCGTCAACAATGGTAGGATTTTATTGTAAAAGAATGAACGTATATTTAAACAAGCGAACAGAATCTCCTCACATAAACAAGATAAGCTTCTATATTGAATTTATAATCAATATATCTTAGGTCTAAGAAGATAGTTTTACCTTTCGAGCTCTCGTAAAAGATAAAGATGTTTTTCCACTGCAAGCGTTTTACAACTGCTTGAATTGCTGGAGGTACTGAATTCGCGATAACCAATTCGTCTCTGCAAAAGGCCACAAAATCATTCTAAATTACAGTAAATACAGTACACATATATAAAAATTGAATTAACAGGTTTGAGAACTGCTTAAGTCAGTGTCTAGGAGTTTGTTAAACTGTTCACTTTCTCTCAAGAAATGTCTTAATCAAACATTGTCTGCCATAAACATTTTAAAGTAGCTTTCATAACTCTTGAGCAATTTATTACTCATTTTTTTCAGTATTGTGTTTACTTCAATGTTTTGTGTTGTCAACAGACACAGTTTCTATTCGAGTTAATGTAGAAATAGAATATGTTAGCTAGTCAGTTTAATTACGCAATAATATCAATGTGGAGATGAAATATTTTAAAATTGCAACACCCTTATTGTTCAATTGTTTCTTTTAGATAGAAACTCCATCTTAAAATGTTATGCCTTAAATACTTCTTGGAGCAAAATATTAAAACAAATTACCTATTTTTATTCGTTATGTTGAGATCTGTTAAGCAATATGTTTGTGAAGGTAAAGAATCGTGGGAGCATCTGCGATCATTAGAATTGCAAGCACGGGTAGGGTGCTGTACATTGGACAGCACATCTGAAATCTTTAATTTGATACATGAGTTCAGTGATTATTTCTAAGAAACAATTTTACTTTTATCAGTATTAAAATTTATTATCTAATTTAAAATATATGTTAAAATAAGACCATTGATAGGATACTTGAAATAGAGTTATAGAAATAAAATAACAAAGGATTTGTAAATAAAACATATGTTTTTATATCAGTGTTTAAACCATGTTGTGTCCGTCTCTAGCTCCAAGTTTAATCAATATCTTGTTCCGCGTTTGAAAATATGTGGGGATCGTCAAAAGGATTGCATCATAATCTATCAAAACTATCACATCTACACTTTTATTTGCATCCAGTCTTTGTACTGAAAATGAAAACAAAAATTGACTTGACAATTTTAATAACTTCGGTAAAAGCATTAGCAGGTCGAGAAAAATGGTAGTTATCAATTTGCGGAACATTGTATCTAAATGATTGGTGTAAACTTTTTATGGAAGATAATTCCATATAGCTTTGTAGCTGTGAATAAAGCTCAAGGTCAGCAACATTGTTGATATACTACTAGCAGCAGATGTTTGAATAAATATAATATATTTATAAAGCAGCAGGAGATTATAATGTTGATATAAGATGATAATATTGTAAATTATTTGTATAACTTAAGTTATTAAACTAGATATATAATAATGTTGATAATTTTGCATGAAATATATCACAGAAAATATCTTAATTGAAATGAGCGCTTGAGGCTGAGAAATAAGTGAAGTGACAGCTTGTTTTTGACATGTAATGCACGTAATAATGAAACAAACCTGTACGTTCAATTACATAATATTATAATACATGTTAATTGTCTTGTCCCGGTTTTTTCTGTTAATTGTAATGCACCCTCCCATGGAATTTATACTGTTTATTGTAATGTTCCTGGTTTATTACAAAGCCCCCGTTAGTCTGTTTATTATTTATAAAACCCATAATATATCTATTTATACTTATAAAAAAGCCGGTAATTCCCTTTATTGTAATGAGGTACGTATTCCTGTTCATTTTAAAGCTCCGATTATAAGTCTTGATTGGTGATAATAAATTATTAAGCATCAGTATTTCTAGTTTTTATAAAGTCCCCGATTGTTTTGTTAATTACAATTTCCCCAATATTTATTGCAGTGCGTTAAATGTACAATTCAATTTAAATAGTCCTAATAAAATATCAATTTCAATATTCATCATCTGTAAATGAAAAGGTTGCGAATTTGATCATCACATGGCAACAATAATTGTTGGATTACAGCATTCGAACACCATAATTATTCGATCATTGTTAAATACACCTACCTGCGCTATATATTCTGAATAATTCTGTTGTGTCTACCAAGTGCTTGACAATAATAAAGTTTTGGCCATGTCTTGAGAGATTTTCGGTTTCAACTACTCCTGTGCCATTGGCTACAATACCTATACAATATAAGATAATAATAAATCGCAAAACCTTAGCGCAATTATTTGATAACAGAATGGTAAAATACAAACACAAAACAATTACTTCTATAATGCATTGTTTATCATCATATCTAAGTATTAAGGTTGAATAATTAAATTCCCAAAATGTATAAGTAATTACAGGGTAATTTGTAATTAATTCGTAAGCTTTTTATATACTTGTTCATTGTTTCTTTGGTTGGTTGGTGATTTTGACGGCTCACCCACACAAAAAAGGTCATATTGCACAAGAGGAAAGATGATTTTGGTTACAAAATTGGTCAAAACCACCTGACCTGCTGGAGTCTCTAGAGTTGCATAGACTCCAGTAAAGCTTTTAATAACATCCTTTTACATGTATATAAATTAAAATACTGTTTTCGATTTCTTACATGGTAAAAAGATTTCTAGATTGTTAACAAGGATTATCCATATTTAAGAAGTGTGACCTTGCTTTTTACCCATATTCGAACTTGAACTAGAAATCATCAATTCAAACTTTCAGGCCAATTTCCAGGATATTTGGATCAAGACAGTAGCCACTAGAGTGTTAAAAAAACTTAAAACACTAACAAATATTAGAATACATTGTGTTGTGTTGTAACGTATATGACTGATTTAAGATTCATTGTATTTAATTTTCAGATGGTTAATGTATAAAATCTTTAAGAAAGATAATCAATAATTACCCAGACTTGACTTTCAATATAAGTATGATTTTTGACTAAACCTTGAAAATAAACAATCGTTCTTTGATTTTGTTAACAGTAAAAGTGATAGCAACAAAACTGTTTTTTATTAAACAATCGTAAATGCCATTAATTGGACTTCAAGAGTTCTCTAGCTGAGTAGTGCATTGATATTTGAGTGGAGTCCGTCGCTGATATCACACGCATGTGCAGTTGCTTTTAAACATTTAGAACATGACAAAGTTTTTTTTTTATTTTACATACAGGTTTTTTTACATTGATTTTATCAACCAAACGTTTTCAATCAATAAAAACATCTGCGTCAAACGTTTGATAGCATCTTTATATTAAATAAAGATAAACAATTGTAGTACTTATATAACCTCTCGATATTTGTATCATAGATCAAAAAAATTATGTTAATACAGCAGATGAAGTATACAAAAATAAATGACACTAAGAAGGACGTGAAACACGACAAAAAACACAACACAGGTATGTTTTGATTGAGCGTGTCTTAAAAGTATTATCTCATAGCGCCAGCTGGAGATCAAGGCCAACATGTGACGTTAAAGAAAAATTAATCAACATTTAATGTTTTATTATTCTTATTTATACATTGTATTATGAAAACAGTATCCATACCAAATCAGACTCTCATGACACTTCTCATTTCTGATACAATTGCAACAAGCTAATCAGTATGTAACTTGATCTATTGTTCCTTATTTGAATGCCGTTGTTTCACGCTGTACTACTTCACTGATTTCCATTATCATAACGGCCAATACATTTATTATTTATTAATATGAAATATCCGAACAAATAGAGATATCATGTATAGTAATTGTTATATTATGGTCGTAGCACTTTATATTAAATGGAGTATTATTCATAAGATTTTTATATGCTTAATTGTTACATTCTGCATAAATTTGTACGGTAGGGTGCGCTGTGGTGAATTGGGATGGGATGGAGAGAACGGTAGGGTGACTATCCCTTTTTTTGTTCATGAACATTCTGAATTAAACACGTTTGGGAAAACGATTGTAGCTTATTAACACTTTCTTGTTGCACGTATTTCTAGCTGGCCTACACAAAGTGGTTATTATTTATCAAATATCATGTAATTGAAAGCATCTGACTTTGTACTTGTTAGGTACCGCATTTGAATATATTATTCTCAAAATTGGTATGACATCACAAGTGATTACTTATTTAAACAACGGAAGGATACACCTTCTCATATGTTCAAAGTTTACATTATGCAAGCATGATAACCTGCAACCACCAATGTGAAAAAACACCCTTTCAACAACTTAGTTATTACAGTAACTATGAAGCCATGTTATAAATCTAAACTTTCCTTGAAACTTCAAACTTGAAAATTACAAACATAGCCCATCTCTATAAACAAACATATTTAATGGCGTTGTACAATATCTAAAGCACATTAAGATTAGTAAAGAAATATACACACTATTTTACATTACATCTTTGAATTAAAGTATACAATTTGTTTGTTCGTGGAACAATATATATATTTACAATCCAGTTATTATAAGGATTGTTAAGGATCAGACAAGAACATTATGTTTCATATCCCTTTCCAAAATATCTAGATATCACTTGGATTTTAACATTAATATTGACCATAACTTTTTAATTTCTAAAAATGTCATCAAGTCATAAAAAATATTTATCTTTTTACGTTTTAAACATAAATCAGAAAGTGCAGAAAGTAAAGTGTAATAACTTGCCTATGGTTATGGTTTCGTATTTGCAAGCAAAACTCGATGCGGCACTCACAAAAATGATAACTCCACAAGCAACAATCATTTTCCTTAAAAGATAAAAGGCATAGAAAATGATAATAGAGCTATTGATACAACAATAATTAATTCCATATACATAAAATGTAATGGTGACTTGTTCAATAGAATCACAATTTCATTTGTTATTTAGAATTAGTAAATGACTAAATGCTAATTCAAGAGTATTTAAAGAGTAAATAGGTGAATAGTCATACATAGTTTACATTTTCCCATAATCCCTATCAGTGTTATAGTTTACTTTGCACTAACGTGACCAAAGCATATTTCTGTAAGTTTTCATCAGAATTTATCTGTAACATTTAATTTATAAAAAGAGTGGGGTAGTCTTTTTATATTTTATACAGACTTATATTTTATCCTTAGCATTTTCTACTAGCAACTGTCGGGCAATCACTTTCATAACACTTGACAATAAATAATGAGCATATTGTCACTTTTATATACACACAATTTATTGTAAGAGTAATCAATAATGTTAGCAGATGTTTATATTTTTATTCTCAATTAAAATTATAAAATTATACCAATGAGAAGCTATAAAAATCATTATGCAAACTACAGTCCTTGAAGAGAAATATTGAATTAAGCTCAGACTGTAATCAAATCAATCTTCTAACACTTAATTATAACTGTAATGTAAATTATTATGTGACGAAAGGGAACATTTCCAAATAAACTGTGTTTTATTATATCACAAAAAGATTATATATTTTATATTTTAATTATGGAAACGTAAACCTTAAACACATTGTAGGGAAGGACCCCAGGCAATGGTTGTATAACTTTTGTAACTTTTTTGTCCAACCGTTTTACTTAAGATAATGATATAAAATCAGTTAATATATAATGTACAATAAAAAAATAGAATAAAATATTAAACTGAAGACATTTTTATGCACCATGTTTAACATCTAGCCAGGTTATCTTTTTTCGTAAATAAGCATTTAGTATTTTGAAAGACGACTAGAACTGCTACAAATACTTTAATCCGTTATATGAATTATCGTCCATTTAAAGTAAACAAATCAACATTATATTTTGATTACATTGATATTTGCAAATATATCAATTGTATTTTCATCAAGATCTATTCTTTTAATTTGGATTTAATTAAATATAAAAAGAAAATGTCTTTACCTGTAAGGATTAAGCTCTTGTATGTAAACCTCAAATTTACACTGAACAAAAAGATAATGTCCAAAGAGTAACTCAATTTAGAATCAACTTTATCCATACGCATTGAAATAACATTAACCTCATCATCTTTAATGTCAGTATGAACACTTTACTCTTTTTGTTGTTTGTCAGCACTCGCAGATATAATTAAACTATATTGTTTATTTGTCACTCCTCGCTGTACCGACTGAAATGTAATAATAGTATCCATTGCTTTTTATTTCATGTAGCCATTGCCTTGAGACTTCACCATCAATAAAACATAATTGATAACAAGTTAATTGATGAGCGGTGCTAACGGGCATATCTAATTAAAATAGCTATTCCTAATGACGGGATTAATTATGTATACAAATCCAATATAATAATACTTGAACAAGATTTGACAAATGATAAATGGCATTTCTCCGGCGAAGTCCGTTGCTTTTGCAACATTCTCCGACAATTGGCCGATAAAATTGATCTAGACATTCATTCCTTTCAATAATCAGTCAACAGCAGCATCAGTAATGTAAATTCAGATCAAAAGCTTTAGAATTCTGTGATGACCATCCATTTTAATTGAGTTAATAAATAAATGGTTACAAGCATATTATTCTTATTACTTTCAAATTTAAACCATGCATTAACTACATCCAGTCATTCTTGAATTTATCCAAACAAAAGATTGTTAGAGAACTCAATTTAATCATCTTATTATTGTTTTATATCATGTTATCTAAAACATTTCCTAAAACATTAATCACAAAAACCGTTTCATTGTTCATGTGCTTGTTCTTTTGCTGTTGTTCTAACAGTAGGTATTTGCTTGCGTCTTAAATATGTGATGTTTCACAATATATATTCTAGCATTAGGGTTCGTCTGGCTTTCCTCTTTGGACCATCCTTTACACAAAGTTAATTTTCACACTTTAGCTATGTTACCTTATTTGTGGTAAGCAATATTAACTGTTTATGTACCAATGTCTTCTTTCTCTAATGTAACTTAACTCAAAAATTGGTTTCAGCTCTGTTTTAGATTGACAATAGTCTACAACAATCGATATCATATATATTCATGTTGTAAACACTATTCTAATGTTTCATCTTAAACGTTATAAAGTCGATATACAAAAATTTATTGCCACTTGTTTTTTTTAAATAAACACTTATAATCTCAACTTAACACGAACGAATCTGTTTAAATGCTGTGCATAACTTTAACTTAAGTTTACTGAAGTATCCAAGTAACTGTATGCTTGACATAGTCTTATTTAACCTAGGATTGACATACTCATATATATAGTACCTCAAATAAATGATATTATATTTCAGCCAATCTTGTATATATCTCTTCCATATACAGGACTGGTATTACTTGCCTTAACAAGTTATTACTGTAGTGGTAAGTTTTTCACCTACACTCATTTCGTTGTGAAGCCCCTCTTTGCAGTGGGTTTAGTTATTAATCTTAAAAAATCCACTAATTTGTTTTTTTCAAAACTTCATGTGTAAACTATCAAACGCGTTAAATAACTTAAGTTTTAGTCACTGAAGAAAAATGTATTACATAATAGATAACATCTGTTACACGCCATTATAGATTTATGGATTTACAAGGAGTGATAACATTACAAAACAAGCTTTCATGCTGTTTTATGCACGATTAGCGTAGTCGATTTTAAAATCAAGAACTGTGCAGTATTGGAAGTAACATTAGCTATAGGCTGAATTTATTTATTGTTGTTGTTTTTTTATCAACTGTAATTGACAAATATAGAAAGTTAATTAAAAGTGTATAACTCCATTGATTTGCGTTTAAATATATAACGTTGTAAATTTGAAAGAAGATATTAATATCATATTGATATCTATTTATTTATTTACTTGAATGTTTGAATTTCACGAATGCCTGTTTACTGTCGGATCTGTCCACTATAAACACTTTGTATGCTATTATTTGTATTTATACTCTTTTAAACAAGAAGTATCTTTTAAAAGATACTCGGCCAAAGTAAAACTGGTTAACTTGCATATGTTAGTTCTTAGTTTTTCATATAGAAATGGTAGCATAGTTTGCATAACAATGGCATAATAATTTCTTGTCGGGTTATTAATCTGGACACAAACATGACGTGTTTCGATAAGTGAACTCAATTTCTAACACCAACATGTACGCAGTCGGTAAGCAAATTATTTTTTATAAATACTTGTTTACTATGCGAAAATATAAACATTATATTCATTATATCAATTGAACACATCAATAATCATATAATATATATTAGACGCTTATTGAACATCATAAACTGAGGGTACCTGATAAGTTCTGATATTATTCTCGTTATTCTGGACAAAATTTAAAACTCAGATCTTGTGTAAAATAAACTCAGTAAGATCTTATGTAAAATACACTGGTAATTAGAAAATGTAATGAGATCTAAATGCAAGAAGTATTTAAAACAGAACTTAAATATCTGAGCAATTTAACTAGAACGTTAAAGAAATATCATGTACATTTTATTTTAGAACTATCCTTTACATTTTTTATAATGGCAAGAACTATCCTTTACATTTTAGTTTAGATGACAGAACTATCTTTTACATTCTTTCAATTTAGAATGGCCAATGAGATTCCAGATTTCAATTTGTAATTTTAAAGTGACCAATGAAAACTCTTCTTATATTTAGTTCTGCCCTGTAAATTATACAAGAAGTCAAACTGAAAACAGAACTGAAAAATGTGACAAATGTACTTTAGTACCAGGACTTTTGTTTTGTTGAGTAAAGCAGTGTATGATAATATATTATTCTAGCATCTCTTTTTTATTGAACAGACATGTTAGTCGAGTGTAAAATAACACGATTTAAGTAATGCTTTAAAAACGTCATATGGCGTCATTAAATCAAAATTATTTCTCTGCTCAATGTTGTTTAGCACATTTCCATCACTTCTTTGTTCTATAAGAATGTTAGAATTGAAAATATTTATACATTTGTCTTCAATTGTAGTACAATTATGCATTGATTATAGATTCATTGTATTTAATTTCCAGATGGTAAATGTATGAAACCTTTAAGAAAGATAATCAATAATTACTAATAATCAATAACTTCATTTATTATAAGCTGGGTTATGGCTTAGCTTTGATAATAAACAATCGTTTTTTTAGTTTGTTTACATTGCAAAATCATTTTGCTGACAATCATTCTCTCAAATTATAGCAACAAAACCGTCTTTTATATTAAACAATGATCGTAAATGCCATTAATTGGAAAGGTGTTCCCTGTCTGAGTAGTCAATTGATTTCATTAGATTATGTCGCTTATTATGTAAAGCTTGCTTTTAAACATTTAGAATTTGACAAAGTTTTTAATCAATGTCAGTTTGCTTTGATTTCAATCATATGTACAAATATTTCACATTCAGGTTTTTACATTGATTTTATCACCAAAACATTTTCAATTGATAAGAACATATTCGTCAAACGTTTGATAACATCTGTATACATTAAAGATAAGCAATTGTATTAAACATATAACATTCCTATATTTGTGTCATAGATCAGAAATAGCATGGCAATACAGCAGATGAAATAAATACAAATAACTGGTCCTTAAAAGGGCGTGCAACACGCCAAAAATAACGCAGGCATGTTTTGATTGAGTCTGTTTTAAAAATATTATCCTTAAGTACCAACTTGTGACCAACATGTGACGTTAAAGAAAATGAATCAAAATTTAATGTTTGATTATTCTTATTTACACACTGTGTTATGAAAACATTCTCCATACCAAATCAGAATCTCATGTCACTTCTCATTTCTGATGTATATGCAACAAGCTAATCAGTATAAACTTGATCTATTGTTCCTTATTTTATTGCCTTTATTCCACGCTTTACTACTTCACTGATTTCCATTATCATAACGGCCAATACATTTATTATTTATCAATATGAAAGATCTGATCAAATAGAAATATCATGTATAGTAACTGTTATATTATGGTCGTAACACTTCATATTGAACCGAGTATTATTCATAAGAGTTTTATATGCTTATTTGTTGCATTCTGCTTAGATATGTACGGTAGAGATGGGGTGTGGTGAATTTGGATGGAATGGAGAGATAGGTAGACTGAATTTACTGCTTTTGTCCATAAACATTCTGAATTAAACAGGACCTGCAACATCTTTCAATTTTATCGCGTTTGGGAAAACCATTACAGCTTATTAACAGGTTCTTGTTGCACGTATCTCTGGTTGGCCTACACAGAGCGGTTATTATTCATCAACTATCATGTGCTTAAAAGTATCTGACCTCGTACTTGTAAGTTACCATATTTGAATATATCAATCACAAAATTGGTATGACATCACATGTGATAACAAATTTAATCAACGAAAAAATATAACTTCTGATAGGTTGAGATAATCAAAAGTGAAAGAGAAAATATAATGTATAATTCAAGTTAAAATGCAAGACTTAGTTTACATTTAGCAAGCATGATAACCTGCAACCACCAATGTTTAAATAAAAGAAAATAGCCCTACAACATTTCAGTCTGGATTATGAAGCCATGTTACAAATTTAAATTTTCCTTCAAACTTAAAACTTGCAAAATTTATTAAACATACAAACATATTCAATGGCGTTGTAGAATATCTAAAAGGCAGTAAGATTTGTAAATAAAAATACACACTATTATACATTGACATAATAGAATAAAAAGTATATATATTATATATTTAAAGTTCAGTTATTATATAAGGATAAGACATGAACAATATGTTTCATATCCCTTTCCGAAATATATATCTAGATATCACATGGATTTTAATTTTAATATTGACAATAACTTTTTAATTTCTAAAAATGTCATCAAATCATAAAAATATCTTTACTTTTTAACGTTATAAAATATAGATCAGAAAGTAAAGTGTAACCACTTGCCTATGATGATGGTCTCGTATCTGCAAGCATAACTCGATGCGGCATTTACAAGAACGATTAGTCCAGAAGCAAAATTCATTTTTCTTAAATAAAGGAAAGAAGGTATAGACAAATAAGTTTAGAGCTACTAATACACGAATAATAATAATGTAAATCTCCATACTCATAAAATGTAATGGTAATTTGTTCAATGGAATCACAATTTCATTTGTTTATTTAGAATAAGTAAAGTGACACAATGCTAATCCAAGGGTATTTAATGAATGAATAGGTGAAAGTCATACTTAGTTTACATTTTTCCATAATCCCTATCATTGTTATAGTTTACTTTGCACTAACGTGACCCAAAAACATTTCTGTAAATTTTCATCAGAATTTATCTGTAACATTTAATTTATAAAAAGAGTGGGGAAGTCTTTTTATATTTTAGACAGACTTATATTTTATCCTAAGCATTTTCTACTAGAAACTGTCGGTCAATCGCTATCATAGCACTAAAGTCTTGACAATGAATAATGAGCATATTGTCACTTCTATATACACGTACTTTATTGTAAATGTAATCAATTATGTCAGCAGATGTTTATATTTTATTCTCAATTAAAATTGATAACTTATAATGCCGTAGTATATAATTTTATACCAATGAGAAGCTATAAAATCAGTATGCAAACTACAGTCCTTGTAGAGGAATGTTGAATAAAGCTCAGACGTCCGATCTTCCAACACATAATTATAACTGTAATGTTAATTACTAGCTTCTAAAGGGGAACATTTCCAAATAAACTGTATTTTATTATATATGCATGTATATATTATATTATATTCTAATTATGGAAACGTTAACTTTAAACACATTGTAGGGAAGGACCCCAGATTATGGTTCTATAACTTTTGGTCAAAAACTTTTTCTTAAGATAATGATGTAAAATCAGTAAATATATCATATACAAATATACAATAGAATCTTAAACTAAACACATTATATTGTACCATTTTGCAAAATCTACTAAGTTATCTTTCTTGTTAACTATCAATTAGTACTTTGAAAGACGACAAAACCTGCTAAAAAAGCTTATTTCTGTATATCTACCATTTTGTAACGAAAAAAAATAAAAATAAAATTAAACAACTTTTGAATACATTGATATTTACAAAAATATCATTTGCATTTACATCAATGTCTATTCTTTTTATTTGGATTTAATTAAATATAAAAAAATGTCCTTACCTGTGAGGATAAACACTTGTATGTAAACGAACAAAAGACAATGTCCAAAGAGTGACTCAATTTAGTATCAATTTATTCCATACGCATTAGATGAACATTAACCTAACCATCTTTAATGTCAGTATTAACTCTTAGCACTTTCTTATTTGTCAGCACTCGCATATATAATAAAACATACTGTTTATTTGTTCATCTTCTCTGTACCGACTGAAATGGTATAATATTATCCATTGCTTTTCATTTCATGTAGCCATTGCCTTGAGACTTAACCATCAATAAAACATAATTGATAAGTTAATTGATGAGCGCTGCTAACGGGCATATCTGATTAAAATAGCTAATCCTAATGACGCGATTTATCATGTATACAAATCCAATATATTATAATACACTTGAACAAGATTTGACAAATGATAAATGACATTTCTACGGAGATGTCCGTTGCTTTTGCAACGTTCTCCAATAGTTGGTCGATAAAATCGATTTAGACATTTATTCCTTTTTCAATAATCGGTCAACAACGGCATCAGTAATGTAAATTCAGATCAAAAGCTTTATAACTCAGTGATGACCATCCAATTTAATTGACTGAATAGATAAATGGACACAAACATATAAGTCTTATTACTATTAAGTATAAAGTATACATTAACTACATCCAGTCATTCTTGAATTTATCATATCAATTTTGTTAGAGCACTTAGTCCTTTAAATCAATTTTATTATCTTATTATTGTTGTAAATAATGTTATAAAACATTTCCTAAAACATTGATAAAAAACAGCTTCATTGTTGATGGATTTGTTCTTTTATTGCTGCTTTTTGAGGGGGTGTTTACTTGCATATTTAATACTTTATGTTCCACATAAATATTCTGGCAATGGAGTTCGTCTGGGTTTCCTATTTGCACCATCCTTAACACAAGGTTTAAAATTATTTTCACACTTACGCCATGTTACTTTACTTTTGATAAGCAATATATTTGACTGACTACGTCTTTTTCTCTTTTATCTGAATATCGAAAATTGGTTCAAGCTCAGTTTTAACTTGAAATATTCATCCACTATCGATATCATTTATATTCATTAGGTAAGCACTATTCTAATTCTTCATCTAAAACGTTATATTAATCTGGATCAAATGTGATCCCTCGGAAGCATTGATCAAAACAAAATTACTTAAAAATTGTAGGCGATATATTACCAACATTTTTTTCAATTAAACACTTGAAATCTCAACTTAACACGGAAGAAAGTGTTTAAATTACATTTTAAAGTAGTATCCAAGTTTCTGTCTGCTGGAAGAGTCCTTATGTTACAAGGAGTTGTCAAACTAGTATCTATAGTTGCTCGAATGATATTATCTTTCAGCCAATCTTGTATATATCTCCTTCAACAAACCAGTACTGGTACCAAATTGCGTAACGAGTTATTACTTTAGCAGTAATTTTTTAATCTTCATTCTTTTCTTTTTGAAGCATTCACCTTAGTCGCATGTTCCTCTTCACTATTTGTTGTCATTGCAGATGGTTTATTTATTAATCTCAGAAAAAAAACACTTTTTTATTCCTTATAAATGCACGTGTAAACTACCAAACGCGTTAATCAACTTAAATTTTAGCCACTGAAGAAAAATGTATTGCAAAATAGATAACATCTGTTACACGCCATTGTAGAGCTATGGATTTACAAAGAGTGATAACATTACAAAACAAAGTTTCATGCTGTTTTATGCACGATTAGCATTGTCGATTTTAAAATCAAGAACTGTGCAGTATCGGAAGTTGCATTAGCTATGAGCTTGATTTATTTGTTGTTTTGTTGTTGTTGTTGTTGTTTTTGTCATTTGTAATTGACAAATATAGAAAGTTTATTAAAAGTGTATAACTTCATGGATTTACGTTTAAGTATAACGTTGTAAATTTGAAAGAAGATATTAACTTCACATTGATATCTATTTATTTATTAATCACAAATCAATACTTGAATGATTGAATTTCACGAATGCCTGTTTGCTGTCGTATCTGTGCAGTATAAACACTTTGTATGCTATAATTGGTATTTATACTCTTTTAAACAAGAAATATCTTTTAAAAGATACTCGGCCAAAGCAAAACTGGTTAACTTGCATAATGTTAGTTCTTAGTTTTTCATATAGAAATGGTAGCATAGTTTGCATAACAATGGCATAATAATTTCTTGTCGGGTAATTAATCAGGAAACAAACATGACGTGTTTCGATAAGTGAACTCAATTTCTAACACCAACATGTACGCAGTCGGTTAGCAAATTATTTTTTATAAATACTATGCCAAAATATATATACATGATAAATATATCAATTGAACACATCAATAATCATATTATATAAATTATATTTATATATAAGACACTTATCAAACATTATAAAGTAAGGGTACCTAATAAGTTCTGATATTTTCGTTATTTTTGACATGATTTAAAACTTAGATCTTGTGTAAAATAAACTCAGTAAGATCTTATGTAAAATACACTGTTAATTAGAAAATGTTATTAAATCTAAATGTAAGAAGGATTTAAACAGAACTTAAATATCTGAGCAATTTAACTAGAAAGTTAAAGAAATATCATGTACATTTTATTTTAGAACAATCCTTTACATTTTTTTTCATAATGGCAAGAATTATCCATTACATTTAAGTTTAGATGACAAGAACTATATTTTACATTCTTTCAATTTAGAATGGCCAATGAGATTCCAGATTACAATTTTTAATTTAAAAGTGACCAATGAAAACTCTTCTTATATTTAGTTCTGGCCTGTAAATTATACAGGAAGTCAAACTGAAAACAGAACTGAAAAATGTGACAGACGTTTTCTAAAACATTGAATACAAATGTACTTTAGTACCAGGAATTTTGTTTTGTTTAGTAAAACAGTGTATGATAATATATTATTCTAGCAGCTCTTTTTTATTGAACAGACAGGACAATCGAGTGTTAAATTACACGATTTAAGTAATGCTTTTAAAAACGTCATATGGCGTCAAATATGGCGTCATTAAATAAAAATTATTTCTCTGCTCAATGTTGTTTAGCACATTTCCATCACTTCTTTGTTCTATAAGAATGTTAGAATTGAAAATATTTATATATTTGTCTTCAATTGTAGTACAATTATGCATTGATGATAGATTCATTGAATGAAACCTTTAAGAAAGATAATCAATAATTACTAATAATCAATAATTTCATTTATTATAAGCATGAGTTATGGCTAAGCTTTGATAATAAACAATCGTTCTTTTAATTTGTTTACATTACAAAATCATTTTGCTGACAAACATTCTCTCAAGTTATAGCAACAAAACCGTCTTTTATATTTAACAATGACCGTAAATGCCGTTAAGTTGAAAGGTGTTCCCTGTCTGAGTAGTCAATTGATTTCATTAGATCATGTCGCTTATTATGTAAAGCTTGCTTTTAAACATTTAGAATATGACACAGTTTTTAATCAATGTCAGTTTGCTTTGATTCTTATCATATGTACAAATATTTCACATTCAGGTTTTTACATTGATTTTATCACCAAAACATTTTCAATAAATAAGAACACCTTCGTCAAACGTTTGATAACATGTGTATACATTAAAGATAAACCATTGTATGAAACATATAACATTCCTATATTTGTGTCATAGATCAGAAATAGCATGGCAATAAAGCAGATGAAATATATACAAATAAATGGTCCTTAAAAGGGCTTGCAACACGCCAAAAATAACGCAGGCATGTTTTGATTGAGTCTGTTTTAAAAATATTATCCTTAAGTACCAACTTGTGACCAACATGTGACGTTAAAGAAAATGAATCAAAATTTCATGTTTCATTATTCTTATTTACACACTGTGTTATGAAAACATTCTCCATACCAAATCAGACTCTCATGTCACTTCTCATTTCTGATGTATATGCAACAAGCTAATCTGTATAAACTTGATCTATTGTTCCTTATATTATTGCCGTTATTTCACGCTTTACTACTTCACTGATTGCCATCGTCATAACGGCCAATACAATTATTATTTATTAATATGAAAGATCTGAACAAATAGAGATATCATGTATAGTTACTGTTATATTATGGTCGTAGCACTTTATATTAAACCGAGTATTATTCATAAGCGTTTTATATGCTTAATTGATGCATTCTGCTTAACTACTTACGGTAGGGAGGGGTGTGGTGACTTGGAATGGGATGGAGAGAATGGTAGAGTGAATGTTATTACTTTCGTCCATAAACATTCTGAATGAAACAAGATCTGTAATATTTTTCAATTTGATCACGTTTGGGAAAACCATTACAGCTTATTACATGTATTAACACTTTCTTGTTGCACGTATTTCTAGCTGGCCTATTAGAGTGGTTATGATTTTCCAATATCATATAATTGAAAGCATCTCACTTTGTACTTGTAAACTTTAAAGTTTATCTAAATGTCTATCCTAGGCACAAACATATTCAATGACGTTGTACAATATCTAAATAAATTTAAGATCAGTGAATAAAAATACACACTTTTATACAATTCATCGTACATCATGGAAAAGAAAGAATAAAAAATGTGTTCGTGGAACAAGATATATATTTACAGTCCAGTTATTATATAAGCATCAGGCAAGAAAATTATGTTTCATACCTACCTCTTTCCAAAAAATCTAGATATCACTTTGATTTTAACATTAGTATTGACCGTAACTTTTTAAATTCTAAAAACGTCATCAAGTCATAAAAATATTTACATTTTTTTCATTTTAAACAATCAGAAATTACAGAAAGTAAAGTGTAATAACTTGCCTATGGTTATGGTTTCATATCTGCAAGCATACCCCGATGCGGCACTCACAAGAATGATTAGTCCAAAAGCAAAATTCATTTTTCTCAAATAAAGGAACGAAGGTATAGCAAAATATGTATAGAGCTACTAATACAACAAAATTATAATAATGTTAATCTCCATAGTCATAAAATAAAATGGTAATTTGTTCAATAGAATCACAATTTCATTTGTTTATTTAGAATAAGTAAAGTGACATAATGCTAATCCAAGGGTATTTAATGAGTGAATATGTGAAAGTCATATTTAGTTTACATTTTCTCATAACACCTATCAATGTTATAGTTTACTTTGCCCTAACGTGACCCAATCACATTTCTGTAAATTTTCATCAGAATTTAATTTATAAAAATACTGTGGCAGATTTTCAAATTTTAGACAAATTTATATTTTATTCTAAGCATTTTCTACTAGCAAATGCCGGTAAATCGCTATCATAACACTAAAGTCTTGACAATGAATAATGAGCATATTGTCACTTCTATTAACACATATGTTATTGTAAATGTAATCAATTATCTAAGCAGATGTTTATATTTTATTCTCAATTTAAATTGATAATAAAAAATGCGTAACATATAAAATTATATCAATGAGAAGCTATAAAATCATTATGCAAACTACAGTCTTTGTGGAGGAATATTGAATAAAGCTCAGACTTGATTTAATTAAATATAAAAAATGTCCTTACCTGTGAGGATAAACACTTGTATGTAAACATCAAATTTACATTGAACAAAAGACAATGTCCAAAGAGTGACTCAATTTAGAATCAATTTATTCCATACGCATTAGATTAACATTAACCTCATCATCTTTAATGTCAGTATTAACTCTTAGCATTTTCTTATTTGTCAGCACTCGCAGATATAATAAAACATACTGTTTATTTGTTCATCTTCGCTGTACCGACTGAAATGGTATCATAACATTATCCATTGCTTTTTATTTCATGTAGCCATTGCCCTGAGACTTAACCATCAATAAAACATAATTGATAAGTTAATTTATGAGTGCTGCTCACGGGCATATCTGATTAAAATAGCTATTCGTAATGACGCAATTTATTATGTATACAAATCCAATATAGTTATACTTGAACAAGATTTGACAAATGATAGATGACATTTCTACTGAGACGTCCGTTGTTTTTGCAACATTCTCCAATAGTTGGCCGATAAAATCGATTTAGACATTTATTCCTTTCAAAAATCGGTCAACAACGGCATCAGTAATGTAAATTCAGATCAAAAGCTTTATAACTCTGTGATGACCATCCAATTTAATTTACTGAATTGATAAATGGACTCAAACATATTATTCTTATTATTATTAAATATAAAGTATACATTAACTACATCCATTCATTCTTGAATTTATCATATCAATTTTGTTAGAGCACTTAGTCCTTTAAATCATTTTTTTATCTTATTATTGTTGTATATAATGTTATAAAACATTTCCTAAAACATTGACAAAAAACAGCTTCATTGTTGATGGATTTGTTCTTTTATTGCTGCTTTTTGAGGGTTTGTTTACTTGCATATTTAATACTTTATGTTCCACATAAATATTCTGGCATTGGGGTTCGTCTGGGTTTCCTATTTGCACCATCCTTAACACAAAGTTTAAAATTATTTTCACACTTACGCCATGTTACCTTACTTTTGATAAGCAACATAGTTGGTTGACTACGTCTTTTTCTCTTGTATCTGAATATCGAAAATTGGTTCCAGCTCAGTTTTAACTTGAAATATTCATCCACTATCGATATCATTTATATTCATTAGGTAAACACTATTCTAATTCTTCATCTTAAACGTTATATTAATCTGGATAAAATGTGATCCCTCGGAAGCATTGATCAAAACAATATTACTTGAACTTGTAGCCGATATATTGTCAACAATTTTCTTAAAAATTAACGCTTAAAATCCCAACTTAACATGAAAGAATCTGTTTAAATTTTGAGCATAATTTTAACATAAGTTTAATGAAGTATCCAAGTTACTGTCTGATTGACACAGTTTTATTTTACCTGGAGTTATAATTCTCATACGTTTAGTGACTCGAATGCAATAACAGTTTAAATGATATTATCTTTCAGCCAATCTTGTGTATATCTCCTCCATATACAGGACTGGTACCACATGACTTAACAAGTTATTACTTTAATTGTAGGTTTTTAAGCTGCACTCATTTCGTTGTTAGTCGTATGTACCTCACTACCATCTGAGCTAATTGCAGTGGGTTAAGTTATTAATCTTAGAAAAATTCCTCTTATTCCTTCAGAAATGCATGTGTATACAACCGAACACATTAATCAACTTAAGTTTTAGCCACTGAAGAAAAATGTATTGCATAATAGATAACATCTGTGACACACCACTACAGCGCTATTGATTTACAAAGAGTGATAACATTACAAAACAAGGTTTCATGCTGTTTTATGCACGATTAGCATAGTCGATTTTAAAATCAAGAACTGTGCAGTATCGGAAGTTGCATTAGCTGTAGGCTGAATTTATTTGTTGTTGTTTTTTATCAACTGCAATTGACAAATATAGAAAGTGAATTAAAAGTGTATAACTTCATGGATTTACGTTTAAGTATAACGTAAGAAGATATTGATATCATATTGATATCTATTTATTTATCAATCACAAATCAATACTTGAATAATTGAATTTCACGAATGTCTATTTACCGTCGGATCTGTCCATAAACACTCTTTGTTTATATGTATATTCATTTATTTATATTCCTTTAAAATTGTGACACATGTTTTCTATAACATTAAATACAAATGTACTTAAGTACCAGGAATTATGTTTTGTTGAGTAAAGCAGTGTATGATAATATATTATTCTAGCATCTCTTTTTTATTGAACAGACATGTCAGTCGAGTGTAAAATTACCTGATTTAAGTAATGCCTTTAAAAAAACGTCATATTGCGTCTTTAAACAATAATATTTATCTGCTCAATTTAGTTTAGCACATTTATATCACTTCTTTGTTCTATAAGAATGTTAGAACTGAGAAATATATATTGTAGTACACTAATGCACGGTTTATAAGTCAAATGCTTATACTGCTGCCAATCAGGACCACCGACGATTTAAATAATTGATCATTTGAACACGAACCGATTATTATACTACACCAGGTCATCCAGAATTAATATCTATTTTTTTTAAATAATATTAACTACATTTTGCTGTTGAAATGACATGGAAATAGCTGAATAATTATTTCATCATACCAACAACATAAATAACTTCGATGTTCTGTTTCAGGTTGCTAATTTGGATAGTTTTAATGTATGAAGAGGACGGATAACAAAATAATTACAATGTCATTTCTGTATAAGAATTTAACTTACTAATTCAAAAGACTTTCTTGTAAGTTCACAAAGCAAATTATCTAATCAATGAAAATCTTATGTTAAAAACGAAACATACTTTAAAGCAAATGAATATCGATAACGAAGTTCCATCATCATTTGCCATTAAAAACAAATGATAGATAATTGTGTATTCTAACGACTCACTGTTCTCGTTTGGTAAATGAAGTGTATCCTAACAGACTGAATTCAGTTTATCACAATCAGTGCCGTTTGTTTGTCCATGCTGTTTATTTAATATGATTTATGAGGACATTTTAATATTCAAATATTAGTATTCACTATTTGTTGAAGCAATGCTAAGTGTTCAGACATAAATATGCATTAATAGGTACAAACATAGATATGCATCCATACATTAGTGAAATTTGCTGTTATCGAAAAAGATCATTTTTTTATGAAGAATGACTAGTATTCACGTAAATAAATATAAGGGGTTTCTTTCACATAAAATGTGTTGATTAAATAGATTTAATTGCGCAATATAAACCAATCTGTCATTTAAAGTTATGATAACTACGAAAGGTAATTAATAAGTTAACAAATTTGATATTTCTGAAACCTGAATAGAAAACGAAAAACTAAAAACATTACGAGAAAATGTTTTTCACGACTGACGTATATCTTAATATTTATTTTTATACATTGAAAAATTAAGTCTACTTGAAACGTTGAACAAAAGCACTTCGTCGTTCTTGATGCAATTCGACGAAAACGTTTGGTCACGCTTACATTACTTAAGTTTCAACGTTTAGCGACTGGTTAACTTTCTCGACAATTACTTTCTGTAGTCGCACACTTTTTAAGGTCATGTTTCCATATTTAACTCACCTGTAAGACTACGCTACACTGAACAGTTTTTAATACATAAATGTACACGAGTTTTTGTACGAAGATTTTTGACAGGAGAATTCCGCGAATATACCCATCAGCACTCATACCAGTTATTTAAAAATATTTCTTTCAGTTAAAGGGCTAAAATATTTGTTTTCTTTTCAAAGAGCCTGTTTGTCATTTCAAATATGCAATGGTAGCATAACAGTTTGATAAATTTAATTCGCATGGTCTCCCTTTGTCTAACAGTAAGGCATACTAGAAATTTGAATTATGGATAGATGTGATAGGTGTGGCAGCTACAACAAGCATTTTGTTGATTATATAAATTAAACGTTACCTTAAAAATATTTTAAAATGATAGTCGTGTAGTATTTTGATTTGAAATCATAATATCATTACAAAGAATCGTTTATACTTTAACAGACATGACTGTAAAGTTCTAAAAGTTACTGTTTAAAGTTCTATTACGTTTACATGTTTGAAACAAGACGGGTAAATAGAATACACTTTTTGAAATAGTTATTTCACCGAAATGGATCAACATTTAAATAGATCATGTTTACAATGCAAGACAGATTTTGTGAAAAGTGTATTTGATATTTTAAATAACACATTGCTTCTATTTCTTTTAATTCGAAAGATTGGACAAAATAAGTTAGACTATCGATTGCTTGTTAAGAGGAAAAAAACAACGAAACTCAATATTTAAATCAACAAGCGAGCTTGAGGTACAAATGTTATTATGTTTTTATCTTTTCCTGGATAAATTGATACGTTTTTTTCTGATTCCCGTTTGATGTTAAAGATAAGGAGGTCAAATTAACTTCCATTAATGTAGGGCCGTTTGTCATATTTTGTCGAATGATATTTTTTCTGACGCCCGTTTGATGTTTAACATTAGGAGGTCAAATCAACTTCCATTAATGTAGGGTCGTTTGCCACATTTTGTCGAATGATATTTTTGTCTGATGCTAGTTTGGTGTTAAAGATAAGGAGGTAAAATTAACTTCCATTTATGTAGGGTCGTTTGCCACATTTTGTCGAATGATATTGAAGATTCCGTCGGATCCGTTATCAACACATAAATATCACTTCTGCAGGTATATCTAAATTCCAAATAGCAACATAAACCGATTATAGTTGAGGTGAACTACAGATTGCAGACAATCTCTTGTCGTCTATGAACAGACTCAGTCAATCCGAGCTTTATTTGTTTTCAATATTGCAATGTTAGGCGGTTTGTTAGGTTTCTCTTTTCTTTTTATTTTAGTTTTACGTCGGTCTATATGACTTTATTTATGCATAAAACACGTTTGTTCTAAATAAAATTTTATGCGTTTTAAAGCTTGTATGACATATATAAAGTTTGTACCCGGTCTTGACAAATATATCTAAAGAGAATAATTGTTACCAGCTAGTTGATATTAGTTCATATTGATATAAATATATTGAGAGTTAACACCTTTAACAGGGATAAATTTTCAAAATGTCAGCTGATGTCTTTTTCATTTTTTACACCACGTTCGGCATTTATAGATTATAAGTTCTATGATGAAAGCCATTGCCCCAAAGAAAATCCCTATCACACACACATAGAAAGCACTTTGTACATCCATCAGAGATATAGGTTTGGCTTCTGTAACTGTATTTCCTGTGCAGAAATTCGCCTTTGGCCACCACTTCCTCTTCCAAATCTGCAATAACCCACTTTCGTGTAGCTTTATGATTCTGAAAAAAAAAATCAGCAATTAGATGATTTCATAATTTTTTAAAGATATATATTTTTTTCAAAACCTAAACCAGAAATGTACTTAAAATAATACAAAATGGGAACCTTCTTGGTCTCCAAATATTGCATACTTGACAAGGCTTTAGACACAAGTTAATCTTGGAAGCAGTGGTATATACAAGCTACCGTCAACGCTACCTGATACAAGCTTAAACATGTAAATGATTATTCAAGTTTTAGAATATCCGCTTGTGTGACCGTAAAGTCAGAGATAAGACAGGTCTGTAATGGTTTCATATAATAAAAATACTACCTTATTAAATTGTATATAATGTTTTAACGAGTATATATGTCTTACTGTGAGATTAAATATTATTATGGTTTTGAAGTATTCTATTGAAGTATCAATAATTTTATTTGTTTTTAGTAATAGAGCAATTGAGGTTTTCATTGTTTTTGTATGAATAAAGTCCATTAGACAGTTGAACTTGATCTTGCTTTTAACTTGAAACAAACGTTTTCAACATAGTTGTCATAAATGCAATATAAAACGATCATTGTAAATGGAATATAAATGAATGTACTTGATAATACTTAATTACAATATAAGAAAACTAAAGTGTGTCTTAAGATTGATCAATGATCAGATTGTAAAGATATTGCAGATATTTAATACAGCAGTGTTTCGCGGAAATCTCTTTAGTGAACAGCAACTTACTGTTTAGAAAAAATGTTGGTATGGGGTGAGTCTTTCACAAAACCAAGACTGTATTTTAATGGTAAAAATTCTTCTTTGATCGATGTCAGTGTGCACTCCTTTCCCATAGCTATATCAATAGAAGTCTTATCGCCTGGAAATCATGAAATTTTGCAATATGTTACAATAAACTTTAACTTAACCCTTTTCTATTACAAACGTATATTTTTTTAGCCTTTTGCAATCTTTTTTAATTTTTTGTAGAATAAATAATGCAATTCAAAAACTAAAGATATTTGTCTTGTTTTGGTATCTGTTGGTAGTTCAAATTAAAAAAGCAAAAAAACTCTACTGCAGTTTTTTTTATATTTACATGTATTTTATATTTTTCAGAATCGCTCAGTGACACTGGAAAAGACACTTGACACTTGAACAACTAGACTTAAAGTAAACCTCGTAAACATCTTTAAAAAAAGAACTTAAGTTTTTTGAAGAATTCATTAGCATTCATGAGAAGATATATTTTCTTCCAGTGCTTTCTATGGCTCATTATCTTTAGCCAATGCAAGAGCACACAATGTCCTACAACTGAAATCAAGAAATAGTCCAACCCGTCCATGTTTTCTGATTTTTTTTAAAGAGATACAATGCACATGTTTTGAGGTTGTGTCTTCAGTGAACAAAATGGGTAGCTCAAGGTTGAATTTGATTTCAAAAATAATTTGCACACTGTCGTCTGATGTGCCAGATGCGTTGGCTTTTTGGATTTTACCGACAACTGTGCATCATGTTTGACCACAGGTTAAACAAATGCAAAGGAGGAAAGGTATATGACCTACCAGACAAAGTATCAAGTTACACAGATACTGTCTAAACTTGGAAAGTCTCAGCTAATCTTAGAACTATGGGCATACACCACATAATTCATCAAAATCTGCTTTGAAAATATTTAAATGAAACTTACCCCAAAAGAAAAGAAGAATGAAATGGTTACCTATCCATGCGTATTTTCCTTTCTTTACTTTTCTAATATGAATATTTGTGTACGGATTCAAAACTTCTCGATCTGTTTTATTAAATTCCCTCATTCCATCTCCAATTGCTTTATACTTCGGATGAGTACCTTTCTAAAATAAAAGATGAACCTTAATCTCTTTCTGTGAATTGTCTTTTCTAAAACTTGAAATAAATAACCCTTGTCAGTGTCGTATGTAACGTTAAAAATGCAAATATTTATCTTTTTATAAAACAAATCATTAATAAGAATACGGAAACCAGTCCGTTTATGTCTTCTAAATTATTCATTATCACCACAATTACTTTCCGCATAAAATGATAACAATGTAAAACTATATATATCTAAAATCAAAATGTAAACGCCGATATGTGAAATCTCGTACCAGAAACACAGTAGAAAAATAAGAATCGCCTACGGTCCCCCATTTGTATGTTCCTTTTGATCTGATCAAACCATCAAGTGTTTGGAAAGGAAGTTTTTCTTTTGTGACTGTAAGATAAGCAATAAGGTTGCCTGAATATATTCCAACAATTATGATACAAAACAGCCACCACGAACTCACTAATGTTCGTCCAGCGGTTGAGTCCGGTAAATGTACGCCGCCTGAAAATATTTCAAAATACATTTATCTAAATAACACATAGCTGATTACTTTATTTGAATCAACAGTATTGCGTTTAAAATAATATAAGGATAGTCTTTATCTTTACAGACCCCTTTTCAAATATTGAACCATAAATACAACAATTTTTGACGTTATCTTTGTAATGCACGCTAATGAAAAGCCTATTGCTGTAATTGATGAAGTATAGTTCCAGCTTGTTTTAGAACAATAGTTCAAGATGATTATACGACAACAAAACTGTACAAGGATGAAATGTCATAACCATGTTTGACAAGAAATTGAACCTAATACTTGGCTTCCAGTAGTTTTAACATAGATTTTCGATGTCTTTGCTCGTGTTTCATCATGTTTTGAAAGAGGTTTACTATTATTCTTTTGTAAATGTATATGAACGAGCATTGATTTGACTTCATAAAGCTTCAAAGTTTTCAATGTCTCGAAGTTATTGAAGGCAATAAGTGATCAAATTATATAATAACTGAAAAGTGACGATTCTAGTCGACATTTTTCTGATATGTAAACCATAATGTTTTGACGTTGTTCCTTGTTACAATTTGTCTGAACATTGTGATAGTATTTCTAAATACTTGAATGAAGAATCGGCATCTAACCTTGGCATAGCAAAGCACCATACATGTACCACACTGAGTTTTGCAATCTATGGAGACCCCCATTTCTGTCCCGATCTGCAGAATGTTCAGGTATGTCATAGAATGGATTGTACTTCTCAATGAGAAATACAAGAATTGTCATTAATGGTAAGGATATACCTACAAAAAATAAAAGATTACGGTAAACAAATTTGCTATTATGTCATTGTGGGGTTTTTAAACCGATTATAAAGAAATGTTTTCTCTATAGATGGTGATGATTACTTACTAGATTGAAAAAAATCTTTAATTGAGGTAAACACTACATGTATTTAATTTGCAAGTGCAATGTATCAATAACATTTTTAATCAACAATTCATGCGTTTGTTCATTAAAGATATCCATTTTAAACAATTCCTTATGTTACAAGAAACTTCATCAGTCTTGCCTTTCGAATAAACATAGCTGCTGACAATCACTCTTTAAATTAGCTTTTAATTAACTTCCTTAGAAATAAACCTTTAAACCTTGTTCTTGATTTTGAATTTCATTTTTTCTTATGCATTATTGCACTTTTTACCTTGCGCTGGATTTTTGTTAAATGAGCGCTTTAATTTTGTTTTATTTATTGAAGAAAACATGTACCAATGTAAACTAGGACTTCCCACTTAAATGGATCTATTAACGTCTTCCACTTTGATGCAATAATATCCGGCTTTTTAACTAGAACACTCAAAAATTCATAAAAGAATGGATAACTAAAGTCCATGATCTGACTACGATCATATGCTGTTGCCAATGCTCCCAAAACCATGTCAACCTCCTGAAATAAAAAATGAGCCACGTCACAACATAATGGGTTTTGCGACCAGCATGGATCCAGACCAGCCTGCGCATCCGCGCAGTCTGATGAGGATCCATGCTGTTCGCTTACAAACTCTATAACAAGTAGAGAAACTTATAGCAAACAGCATGGATCCTGATCAGACTGCGCGGATGCGCGACTGCGCGGATGCGCAGGCTGGTCTGGATCCATGCTGGTCGCAAACCCATTATGTTGGTTTTGTCGTGACGCGGCTCAAATATAAATTTATCAGGATCTTTTTAGCGCTTCTTAAAGATCCTGTAACTCATTTGTTATGGTTTTATATCATAAATATAATGCTCAATGAAGATTTATCAAAATTGTAAGTTGCAAAAAGCATGTTTTGTAAACATATTACCGAATTTACATTGTATGTTAATAAAGGGAGGTTATTTAAATATTTTCTGTAAAGTCTAAGTCAATTTTTTCAATAAGAAATGAATGCACATATTTTAATGATTACATATAATTTGCAGTACATATTTTACATATTTTTCGATGTTTGAAAATTTAGCATAATTATATACATATATAGAATTGCACTTAAGTGTGGTAACAGCCTTAATTACAACATACAGGATCTTTAATAATTCAGATTGATGTGAATGTGATATCAGTCATAATCAATTATTTTATCAATTTCAAGTAATCACTTCTCTAATAATTCAAGTATTTTCAATGGTGATTTTGTCAAGAAATTAATGACTTTTAATAGCAGTAATTTCATCTCAACGGTCAACTTATTTATTCAGGAAATAACATATTTGTCCGGTATATGGTTTTTACTTTTTCAACTTTAGAATAAAAATATTACAAAGAAAAGAGACGTACGCGTATATCTTATTATTACACGGTGATTAAACAATATTTAGTGATTACATGAAATTGTATGATAATTATAATTGTCTAAATGGTGTCTACTAATAGCTAGTTAGGTAATCTGTTCAATTCAAAAACAATAACAGTCCTGTTGAAATTACATCTTTAAAGGTTTTAATAAATAGTAAAACAAAGAAGACATAAGTATAATAAATTAATTGAATAAACGGTCCCTAACAAAATAGTACCAACCTATTTAATCATCAATGAAACCCGAAGGGGCAGGGGAAAAAAAAAAAATGTTTTGGGGCAACCCTTTTAAAAGCTTTAAGAGCACTTGACCCCTTGCTGGTTTTGAAGCATGGGGGGAAACAAAAACCAAAATTTCATTAAAAGCAGACCGTTTTGTTTGAGTCGACATAAGGAATGTTTAATTTAAAGTAAAAACCCCCCCCCCACAATTCCCCAAACATTTAACACCCCCAAAACCCCGGGAAAAAAAATCAACACTGAATGAAGTACGGGGGGGGGGTTAACTTTTTTCAGTTTGTAACAAAAGCACTTGAAACCTGTGTTGTGAAGTATGGGAAATTTTAAAAGGGATTCCTGGGAAAAGAAATTAATCAAAAAAAAACCAAAAAGTACATGAAAATTACGGTTTCGGTTTGATGAGTCTTGTTAGAATGAGGGGTAATGGAATAAAGTTGCATTCCTCCTTCATGTCCCCTTACACTAAACTTGCATCTTATTAACTTAAGTTAGTATTTATTTGGTTAATTATTTTAGTTCGCTTGTGTAGGAAGCTATTAAGCTTTATAGGACCACACTTTTCGAATCCTTCCTGGAACCAACCATGTACTGAGCAATGTGTGTTTAAAATTTGCTCAAATGAAAACCAACGACTTGCCCCTGAACAGGGTTTTGAACTCATTGCGGCTAGAGGCACATTAGATTTACTAGTCCGGACGCGTTAAACCACTTCGGCCATTGCAGCTTAAGAAACACTTTCGAATCCGTTCCTATCCAAAAACCAGTACTTGGGGGCGAGGGGCCCAAAATGTGTGTAAAAAGTTTCTTGGGCTCAATGAAACAACCGACTTGCCCCCTTGACAGGGTTTGAAACTCATGCGGGCTAGCGATCATTAGATTAAATAGTCCGAAACGCGTTAAAACCACTCGGCCATTTTGCCGCCACATATTTGGCCCAATTGTTTATTAAAAGTTAAGACACACCTCTCGTTGAAGTTGACCAACCAGGGAACCGTTTAAAAAAGATAAGTTTTCTTGCGCTGGTACTTCCCCATTTGCCGTCCGATGGTTTTGTTAATGTATATCAAAAGGGATTTAAAAAAATAATGTCTATTTGATTTATTCATGACAAACCCAAATATTTAATACGCTTGGGTTATTTAAAAGATGATTTACAGTACCCTTTTGAATAGTCCCAATGGGGTCTTTTATTTGTTGGGCATAAAAACCAGTTTTATTTAAAACAGTTTATTATAAATTACCATCGGGGGGGGCGGGGGGCGGGGGGGGGGGGGAAAAAAAAAAAAGGGGGGCCCCCCCCCCCCCAAAAACCCATTTACATTTGTACGATTTTCTTCTAACTTGCAATTTGTTGTATTTCCTAAACAAAAGCATGTCATGACCATGACCCGTCAAATGTAATTCTATCTGTATATTTGTCGTAGATGTCAATTTCCGTGGGTTTGAAGCGGTGTATTATTTCAATTACTAGCGAGCTTTGGGATATCAACATTAAACTCCACCTGGATAACTTATTTGATAATAACCTGAAATGATTCAATGTCATACAAGATTAATATATATAGTAGTTATGATAAGGGTTTTCAAGTCTGCAGCCATGAAGCTTAGCAACAGAGCCAATGCTTTCCTCCCCAATTCAACAACTCCCCTTTATCGTGTGATAAAATAAAAAAATTTGGGACCGAAGGGGGAAAAAAAAATAGGAAAGAAAAAAGGAAAGGTTAGTACTCACGTGAAGTTTAGTTTGTTTGAAAGTTCTGTTAAAAGATCCATGCAAAGTCCAGTATAATAGTGTGTTCCATTTCTAATTTTCTTGATGATAAACGGAGAATACTGTATAAAAATGGGAATAAAAAACGTTTAAAAAAAGTAGTGTGTTTGAAACTATTGAACTTTTATTAGTTTTAAAAACATATGTAAATTGTAATTGAACGATACCCTCTTTTGATTCGTGAATCCAAGACTACGTAAAATTCTATATTAAAACGTAACACTCAGGTGTTTATTTTTTTTTTTATTTTTTTTTTATTGTTTTTGGTTAAAGGACAATTTTTAACGTTACCGGTAAGGTTGAAATCTTGAAATGACGCTTGTTGTATCCAAATTTCGAGTTCGGAAATATATCCGCCGTTACTACAACGTTTCCATTTATTTCAACATAGCCAACCGAACTAAAACTCCTCCCAGACGTTGTGTACATTAATGTACCAATGTTATATGCAAGACATTGCTTGCCCGGACGCCATGTTGATGCCATCTGCAGTACAAAAAAAAAAACATTTTTAAAGGCATTTCTTACAGTGACATTATGCCCAGTGTAAATGGTCAGTGAACAGGTTATAATTAAAAATAGCACTTTGCCATAAGTGTGTTAAATTTTATATTCTACTATGAAAATTTAATAAAAGATCAACGGAGTTGTCTGTATTGCTAAAAAGGAGTGGGGCAATCTTTTTTATAATTAAAGTAGTATAAAAAACATTTTTTTTTTTCATTTAAATTATTTTGGGGGGGGGGGCCAAAATCACCATTTGTAATAAAGCCCCAATCTCTAGCATTTAATTTCACTATAATTTAATATAAAAGATATACGATCCCGTGAAAAAGATTATCTTTGAAATGTTAAAACATTTCAATAAATCTTTGGCTATGTTTTAAAATTGACATTCATAAAACTATGTTCTCTAAAATTTTTACAGACCAAACCAGCAAACATACGGTTCAAGTGTGTTTTGTCAATTTATAAAAATCAAGCAAAATAATTTGCTCGAATTTAAAAAATCCAAACACTTCCATCAAATTAACAGTTACCAATTATATGAAATTTGAAAGTTTCTACTCTTTTCATAAAATTAACCTCAACCAAACAAAACCCTAAATTTGTGAAAAAAGGGATTGTTTTTTATGTGACATTTTCAATATGTTTGTCAAAATGTCTTGTTTATGCATAGGTGTTCAAACTTTATTATAATACATGTATAAGATAACAAAAAAATAAAGGATAATGAATTAAATATTGTAACAAGATCACGTTGAATAAATAATTTCTATCTAATTGTTTCACAATATTGATTCAGAAATCAAACAAAATCGATATCTAAAAACTTAACACTGTAGTCGATTAGTCAATTTTATACACGCTGCTTTGTCTCGATGCTTTCAGTTATAACTATTTCATTGATATTGTGATATTGATAATTTAAAAGTCAAAATGACATTATATCCATCCAAATGATATATAGTAAGTGAGCAGGTGAACGTCAAAATGGGTTTCAATTTTTGTGCCATAATTCATTTCATTTCAAATTTATAATCCACTTCGCATGAATGATATATAACTCACACGACCCAATGATATTTCTGTAAATATCTATAGAAAAATACATGTAACATTCAATTTATAAAAAGAGTGGGACAGTCTTTGTGATATTTCAGGCATATCAAAAAAAACCCCCCCCCAAAATATTTCATTCTATACATTTTCATTAATCAAGCTGGAGGCCCCAAATCACCATTAAATGTGTCACTCTTTTGAAATACGATATAAAGTTCAGCTTAAATTGACAACAAGGTACAAAGTTATATATAGTCAATTCAGTTCGACTTGACAATGAAAGTGAAAGGAGCATAATGTCACTTTAACAATATATACAATGTTAGGTGAAAGTAAAAATGTAATTACTGCCTTGAGTTTAGCTACAACAGCCTGTGTAATCTCGATATTACTGCACGTCATTTCCTCACGTAGTATGTCCAGTATTATTGATTGTAGAGAATTATAGAATACCTGGAATAGATAACTTTTAATATAGAGATATCGTTTTGGTTTATAATTAAGCATCATATTGCAGGCGATCAAAGCCTACGAAGCAGCATATATAAGTCTGGTAAAACTCATTTAAAAATGTAAATATCTTGTATTTGCGACAATCTGAAAAAAGAATGCACCGATTATAGAAATTTAATGCAGTATTTCGAAAGCATAAGCAATACTTTAGTTCTAATTTAAATTCGTACATACATACTGCACACGTTATATATTAATATATTCGTGACTTAGGGGAAATCTAAAAACAGTTTCATGCATATTCATGTATATTCATGTTGGTTTATTACTGAACATTACTGAATTTATTGAACTCGTCGAATAAAATAACAATTTGGCTCCCATAATATAATTTTATTCAACTCGTTCAAATGATTTAGTTGAGGCCAGGATAATATAATTTTATTCAACTTGTTTAATTCAGTATCTCCCCTCAAGAATTTTGAAAATTCTATTTATTTGAGTACATCAGCTAAGATAGTTAGTATAAATCAATCAGGAATAGGTAATAAGTAAAAAGACAAGGTTCAGGAAAATGTACTCTTAAATATTCAGTATAAGAATTGAAAACACCTTGAAACGAGAATAGTTTTAAAAAATAAATGATACTTTTATTAGGCTTCATTCCCTATGTTGTTTTAAGATTATTTACCTCTGTTCCGTTACCGCTGATTTCAGGGAAGGCAATTAGTGCAACGTTGTCTAAATTAACAGCACAAGCTTTGAGGGCATTTTCTCTCCTTATACCCCCCCGGAAAAACCCCAAAAAACCCAGGGGGAAAAACATAATTAAAATGTGTTTTTTTGTATCCTTTTTGGGGGGGAAAGTAAAATACTTTTTGCCTTAAATATAGAATTTAAGAAAAAATAATTTAAAAACGTAGCAAACCGAAATAAATTTTTTAAAAAAAAACCCCCTGCTGCTTAAAATAACATACATAGCGATAAAAGAATTGTTGAAATTCTACAATATTGAAACAACATAGAATAACAAAATTGCACAGTAAGCAATTACCAATTGCAAAATTGATAAATGACGACGTTATTTTTGGCAAAGGTGCCTCGCATAACATTAGATACGAGTATGTTATATTTCATTTGCTTATTTCCATTACTTCAAATAATGCATTTCTATTTTCTAATGAGGTTTCTTAAAGATATTTTGAATATATTATATACAGTTCAATCTCTTTAAGTTGAACTCTTTATTCCATTCAAAAACGGGTATTTATAACAAGCCCGTTGGTTGGTCAAATATTCATGAGTCAATTTTGACACCTATTAAGAAACTGGGTGGCGTGGTATCTTTTTCTTTTTTTCGGACAGAAAAGGCCGAAGAAGGTAGCATGTCAATTTTTATTGTTTATATCTAGATCTAGTTTTTACATTTATACAATTATAATAAATACATAAAGCTTCATTGCAATTCCAAAATGACAATCTATAAGACTCGATATATATTTATATAATACGCTTTGGAACATTTTAATTACGTAATTGTGCAGTTAATTGTATATCAATTTTCTGAATTTATCTTCAATGAATCGTTAGCGCTGCAAATCAAATATCAAGTATATTGATTTGATACCTGTTTTAATATGTTACGAGCGCATGACAGTCGACAGACTACTACAACCTTGATTTCATCGTTGTGGTGTTCCTTTGTTTGGTAAATTCTAAACAATAGATCATGCACGGATGTTTCATGGTTCACTTCAAATAAAGACAGAAGAATTTTCTCTTTGGATAACAATCCGACAAGATCTGACGTTTCCATTTCTACAAATGTAAAATAAATAATTCTTTGTAAAATATTCAATTCCACTCTTTCGGTTTTTTGTTGTTGTTTTTTTAAATAATCATTATTATTATTATTATTATTATTATTATTATTATTACCAAACTGTTTTATTATTATTATAGTTTAACTAAAATAAAACGCAGGTTTGGTTTCACTTTTTTCATAAATTGTTAGCGCCTATAGATCGAAATGCTTATTAATTATATGACGTCATAAATAACAATTTGACTATAATGACATCATAATCAGATGGATATTTCTTCCAGATGTTGTAATTATCTTTATTTTTATTATTTTTACATTGTGTCACATCATATATATTTCTCAACTTATTTGTGATTATTCATTTTGTACAACAATGCAAAATAAAGAAAATTATCGTCTTCTTTTGCTTATTAATGAAAAAATGCCGCAAAACAACATTTTTTCTATTCAAAATAATGCGAAGGGCAATGTTTTAACACGGAAAATCGATTATGGTTTATTCAAATACTTTCTTCATTTCCTGTTAATGAACCCAATACTTCATATTGACCGCTTTTTTCCAGCCTTTTCAGCCCCCCCCCCCCCCCCTTGAGGCCTCAAAGCCCTATATAGACCCAAACACTTGTTTTTGTTTGAGATATGTTGTTTTAAAAAGTGGATAACTTTTTCGACGCCATCCTCTTTCTAAAAGATACATCACGGGGGTGCCAGAGGGGGTGATGTGCCCCCGTATTCTTATGAGTTTGAAGGGGCCAGTAGGTCCCTCATCGCCAAGAAGAATTTGGACTTAAGAGAGGTTTAAATTGGTCTCCGGTCGATCTATCTCAATCCATTTAGAAGTTGCAGCACTTTGAAATAGTGATTTTTGGCAATTTTGAGATGTCCCCTTGTTGCCATGCTAACAGGAAATTTATGATTGAGCATGCTGTCACAAAGGCTAAGGTCCAGTCAATATATGGGCCAAGTTTGATGAATATTGAAGCATTTTTTATAGTTTCATTGCAATTTGAACTTGTAACATGAGACTTATCTATGAAAACAGCATTTTTTCACAAATTGCTCATGCAATAATGGGTTAAATAAAATAATGTTTTTATATAGCTAAGAAAAAGAATCAAGACATAAGTTATTATTATTATTATTACAATGGCTTGAGCCATTTACTATTAATCTACATTCATTATTAAGTGATAAACATTCAGAACATCGTCTAAACATATTACCCGTTGCCTTCTCGTACAAAATGAATACTTTATTCCACTGCAAACGTTTTACTAAAATGGTCATTGTTTGTGGACCTAGAATTGATAGCAGCATTTCGTCCCTAGAGAAATAAAGCAAAATACATTAATGTATTTGCAAAAGAAATGTTTCACTCAATATAATTGATAAAGTATCTTTGTAATAATTATTTGAATGCTAAGATGAGTGCAAAAATAGGACAAATTTATAAATAGAGATATAATTATGGCACATATACACACTAGTATCTTTTAAAAAACCAAGACCACGTGCAAAATGATCATTGCGGGTTGGACATATGGTTTGCCAAGGATTACCCAGATAGACTTCAACGCACAAGGACCTACTGACATTTTGCAAGCTAAGAATTGTTTCTGCAGTTAAGAATGTTTTGAAGACATTTTTTTGGAATTTTTTATTAGGTCTGCAGAGTAAAATAATCAGTTTTCAAAGCTTTTGTTTGTTTTTTTATATAAAACACTGCTTGCGTTTATAAACAGTCTGCTCTATACATACTTCAGTTCTTTAATTCATTTTTAATGAATTGTTTCCCATATTGATACTTCCATAAAAATCTTGAAGAAGGGTGATCCCTCTGAAGCATTCACAATTGCAGAATCGGTTTGATTGGGTCTGTAAATGAGGGGGGAAAAAAGTCGCGTCTACAAAAGAATTCTATACTCCTTTGTTCTTGATAAATAAATAAAAGGTCAGTGTAAAGGACAGGCATTCCACAAAATTAAGTACAAAATATTGATTTGTGGAAATTCTCAGTTATAACCGAACTGACTTAATAAAAAAACAAATGAAAAGTATAACTATTTGGATTGATACTAGTTCAAATGTATCCATAAATTTTTGATATCTGTCGTAAAAAGTCTGATCGTGCATTCAGCCAGTCTTTTGTCTTTGCCGGCTTTTCAAAAAGCTATTGTGTATTAACCGCTTCTCTGCAATTGCTTTATTCAAATGATTCGAAAACGCTTGAGAATTCATAAATATTGATGTAAGTGTAGGATTAGAATTCGTAAATATTTTATATGGAATTGAACATTTATTGATGGATTTTTTCCCAATTACTTAATGGAATATAAAATACAATTGTGGCTTCATGCAAATTATTATACAACGATAACTAATGTATACCTACTTTACCATCAGAACTATTTTAAAGCATTTTTACTTGCTTTGTGTAAAGTATAATTAAAATAGAAAATTGAATTACTTTTATTACATTTTTGTCACTATTAAAAACCCATTTTTAGATAATAATGCTCATCTGCTAAGTCGGTTAACTATATTCAAAACCATTTGCACGACGAGTGCTTTGCAAACAATTTTAATGGTGGATCAGCGTCTAGAATTGATTATTTACCTTTGTTCTCGTGGCGTCATTAGGTCCTTATTGCAATGATGGTCTTCATGATTGAGAGCGGGTATATTTTCAGTTCCACATATATTTTCAGGGTCTATATAAATTTTACTTTTCTTGGAAGTCTGAAATGTTTTTAATTTTTCATCATTCCATTATATGCATTGTCAAATAAAAATATTCATTATGTTTGTATTGCTTTTAAACAGAAATTGAGAAATAAGTTGTTTTGTATTTCTTTAGTAATACCATTTCTTTGAATACATGTATTATACAATTATTGACTAGAGGGCCATTGAAAATGATGAAGTATTTACCGCCTATAATAAATATATTTGAGTTTGTTCTTGGAATACTGAATTTTATAATAAGTGAAAAACTGTATAAAAAGGGAATAAAAACGTTTAAAAATCAAGTAAAAACAATCATTAATTAACAAAGGACACATGTAAATAAAGGTATTGGTGAGGACTTTACAATAAAATATTGAACCAATTTAAGGACAATATGATCATTTTATCTGTCCAATGTACCAATGTACAATAAAAGATATAAAAATTGTAATTACATAGAAGTAAAATTTCTTGATCAATATCTACATGATGGATGATTCATAATCATGATCAAGCATTAAGAGCATACCACAATCTGATGCTTCTATTTGACAAAGTGAAATTTGATGTTAAAACTAAATTATTATTATTTGATACAATGGTGGTGCCAATACTTTTATATGGTTCAGAGATTTGGGGGGTATATAACTATAAAGAAGTGGACAAATTACATATCAGATTTTGTAAGCATGTTCTAGGTGTAAAACAACAAACCCCTAACTATGCGGTACTGGGAGAACTGGGTAGATTACCGTTATCTGTTAACTGTAAAGAACGATCTTTAAATTTTTGGCTAAAAATTATGAAAAATGTTTCTTCTCCCATTTATGTTATGTATAGAGATCTTATTGACCACAATATTAATATCTGCTGGGCTTCTCGTATACATTCTATTATTGATCATCTTGGATTTGCTCATATACGATTTAACTTTGATGACAGTTGTAAATATTTACCAATGTTTAAGAATCGTTTACGCGATCAATTTTTACAAGATTGGTCAGCATCAATACGATCTATGCCTAAACTTGAATATTATTGTAATTTCAAAAAAAAGTTTAAATTTGAAAACTATCTTAATGTAATTGAAAATGACGCTCTTAGAAACTGTTTAGCTCGTTTTAGATTAAGCTCGCACAATTTAGAAATTGAAACAGGTCGTTATAGTGACATAGTTAGAGAAAACCGATTGTGTAAAATGTGCAACCAAAATGTAATTGAAAATGAATATCATTTAATGTTTTGTTGTAGTAGATATAGAAATCTTAGAATTAAATATCATTGTAATGTATCTTGGCCTAATAAGAATATTTTTAATAGTTATATGTCAACTAAGAACAAGAAAAAAATATGTAATATTGCTAAATACATTAAAGATGCTTTTACGTTAAGAAACAATACCCTGGAAAATATTACTGTTTCTTAAATGTTTGAAATATTAATTTTTGTAATACTTTATATGATGTTTGTATGCTTTTGTATATATTATACAATATGTCTGTCTTTGCCATATATGTTTATTGTAAATATGGCCAAAGACATTTTACATGTCGATAGCCAATAAATTTTGAAACCTTTTGAAACCATAATATACGTAACAAATAATAACATTTGTAAATGTAAAACTTTAAACCTGATTTTTGAAGAAGATAATGCATTAGTAATATTATCTTATGAAAAGACGCAAATTCATTCCATAAATATGTTTTAGTTTGCAGAGCTATATTATCACAACACATGAAATAGTTTATTATCGAATTGATTCAAACATAATTTTGTAATAGAAAAAAATGAATTATGGACATTTTAGAAACATGTATAAGTATTGCATTTCAAACAATAATTAATGGGAAAAAATCATTTATTAAATATGACATTCAGACCTATGGTAGAGAAATCAATAAATACAATATTAAATGAAGATGAAACAAATTCATTTATTAAATATAATGTCTTTTAGAGTTATTGTATTAACGGAGAATAAATAATTTCATGTAATAACAATATTGATTTAAATATTACCTATAAATAGAGTGAGAAAATAAAGATTTTGGACTTGTCTTGAATGTACTAGTGTATCAAATGAAAAATGAAAATCCAGGTTTACATTTGTTTGAATACTGTCAAGTTTCCGTGCTCCCCATATGATTAGTTGTTTGTTTTTTGTCCTCAAAACGTCAGGTGCACGAAGTAATGATACGTCATAATCGAACAGAATAATGACGTCAGTGCCATTGTCATGATCAAGCGTTCGTACTGAAAAAAAAAAAACAGTACGTTGTTAGGTTCGGAAGAGTAACTTAAAATAACGCTTTATGATAATTTCTAATACTATGAACTACCATGTATATACTAGTATTATATTTATAGAATAATTGATCAGTTATATTATTTTTCATTAAACAATAACAATTTACTGCAGACGTCAATCAATAAATGTTACTAAATAGTTACTTAAAAAAGCAGAAATTTGAATCTGATTAGTCTTTTATTCTGCTTTATACAAACTTAAACTAGATACGGTATACATAAGAAAATTACACTTTTACCCATACATTTTATGTCCATGTCTTTAAAAATTCTTACCTGCTCTCAAAACATCATAGATTTCTAAGGTGTCAGTTTTGTAAATAAGAAGAGATATGTTTATTCCGAAGTAAGATATGTCGTTCTCGGCGTGAACACCTTCTGTCCCTTTAGTTATTAATCCTGAAGTATATGTTATAGCTGATTCAATACCTGTTCTTACCTATTATTCAAGTTACACCAATAGTGCCAGAACATAGGATACTTCTTGTGTTTGAAAACCTCGGGTTTTCCCCCGTGTGTTTTTTTAGACATTAACGAGTACCTTGGAATTTACCACCGGTATTTTAAAAAACTTGCTTGAAAGCTAAGTAAAGTCCATATCCCTTTTGAGATACATTTAGACTTTGCCTAGCAAAGTTGGTTTATACAGCATGTATACTAGTTTCATTGTGAAGGAAGCTATAGGCCTACTTATAGACACACTTTCAAATCCGTTCCTGAAACCAACCAGAACTGAGCAATGAGCGCAAAGTTTCTTGCTCAAGGAAACAACGACTTGCTCCTTACAGAGTCTGAATCCATGCGATTAGCGATCATTAGATTATTAGTTCGACACGTTAACCACTAGGCCATGCAAAGTTATTAAGATAGAAAGTGCTTATTCAGACCATGTCAGATATTGCTTAAGATTTGTACGTATTTGCAATCTCAGGAACAGTGCTCGTCGATAATGTTATATGTTATAAGCTTAGATATATTTATAAATTCTCGATTATCTTTTTTTCAAATTCTATCTATCAACCTTAATTAAGTCTATGTTCATACTCTAGTAAATACCGATTATATAGGGGCGTCATTGAACGTGTGCTTAAGGTCATTGATTTGAAACCACTTGCTCCTCCCCGCTGTGGGCTCGAATCCCGACAGGGACTTTGGATTCTATCATGTGAGGAAGCTATCCAGTTAGCTTCCGGAACGCCGGTGGTTCTACTCAGGTACCCGTTCGTGCCAGAATAATGCACGGAAGAGCACCAGAGATATTTCTTTACCAATAAAACAGGAAAGTCGCCCTTTGATCTATAAAGTACTGGTGCGACATAAAACCCCAGAAAAGAAAAAAATCATAATTATGAGAAAAACATGGTCAACTTTTATGATCTTCAGCAGTTATATGTACTTGATTCCAAAAATCAAAATGCCTTGTTCAATTTTTACATTTCAAAGGTCGTCTATCACGGCCAAACAAACTTGCAAATCATTGAAAGACTTGATTCATAAAACATGTATTGTAATCAATCAGATAAATTTGCAAAGCACACGAAAGAAGACAATTACCACTGTAATGTTTAATCGATCAATTCAAAACCTTCGGGAAAAAAAGAACTTTTTAATTACGTATATTATCGGCAAAGTTTAACCTACCTATCGTTATGCAATCCAGATTGTAAATCCAAACAAGCTGTAAAACTGCAATTAAGGGATAACATTTCAATAACATGATAATTTATTATCTTCACATGAATAAGATTCTTTAAATGCAGTCTCTGTGTAACCATATTTTCCCGATAATTCAAGACTAGCGCATTCCAATTTACATTTCGTAATAGACAGTGTCGCGGTATGTTGTGTGCTTTGCACTGTTGATGTTTGTTATTATACATTTTAAAAGCTTTAAGGCATCAATAACCAATAGATGTGACACGAATTGGAACGTATTTCAATATATTGGTGTAGCATTACGTTCTCTTGGGAGACAGAAATCTAAATTATTATGGTACAGCTCATAATCAGATTCAGATGTCAAATAAAACATTATACCATAAACCATGCAAATTTTATAACGTTTACAATAAAGTTCATCATCATGATTAATCAATGACTTCGCTTGACAATATTTGTTAAAGGCACATTGTCCTTCTTTACAAATGACAAGCATGAGTTTTATAATGTTTAATTAATGGTTTCTGAGTATATAAGATGCTTATCACTTGAAGAAAGCAGCACTATAAATCCAAGAATTTGTTATCAACATAGCAAATATTACACAAAGTAGTATTTTGACTTCCATACAAAATACTAAATTATTATAACTGAAACCAATTGCCAAAAGGCAGAAAAAAGACAGAAATCAAGTATTTGCAATTGGCCAATGCGTAACATGAAGTACAAAAAATAAAGTTTTTGAAAAAAATAATATTAATAAAGACTTCTATACAAAATACTAAATCACTATATCTGAACTTGTTGCCAAAAAGGCAGAAGAAGAAAGACAGAAATCAGGTATTTGCAATTGGTCAATGAGTAACATAAAGTACAAAGAAAAAATAAAAATAATAATAATAATAAAGCATTTCCTGCTGCGTTATGGGCCTTTAAGCTAATTTCTTTCCGACTATAACGTTTCCTTGACAATAAGATAAAGATGATAAATCTGAATTACTCAGTCGTAGAAATAATAAATATTACAGTGCTTCGAATAATAGTATGAAAGATGTCCTTGATGTGTGAATAGTTGATGTTTTATATCAAAATAATGAAGTTGTCAAACAATATAAAATATGCATAAAAGCAATGTTATTCTTTTAGTTATAATCATATTTACTCCTACAAAACGCAACTACAATATCTTGCTTATTGGAAGGTGGTGTTGGCTCTATTATACGAGTATATGCAAGGGCTCTTTCACATCGCCCGATAGCACAGGCACATTGCCAATGGTTTGATCTTATTTGAATAATTGTTAGTATTATATATTTTACCATGGCAAGCTCTTTGAACTATTTTTGTGTTGAGTCAAAGGACAGTTTGGAACATTGTTATATTCGCGATTAAGTGGGCAATCGTATACTTCAATTTAGTGAAATAAATGAAAATGTCGTGAAAGAAAACACACGAGTTGATATTTTCGTAAAATTTGAAGCAATGTCACTGTCAGGTATTGTTCATATCGAAACTGCTGAAAAAAATATCTACCCGACGTAGCATTATTCAATAATTGAAAAATCAAGCATGTTCTTTTAAATCGAATATCTTTAGAAACTGTGTAAAGCTTTTTAAGCTTTCCTTTGGTCGAGGGCTCTCATTTAAACACATTTAAACAGACTACTAAAATGTGAAAAGGCCAGCATTAGGTAGGGGTGTAATTTATTTTTTGCAAATATGTAAATTATGTAGTGGAACGATGGATCATATTCGAAATAAGCAGTTTTTTTGTATGGGCATCAACAACATTTTAGTTGTTTTTATCCATTTAAAAACAAATGTGAAATAAGCATTGTCGGAGGGTATTCTTAGTTTCTGACAATGTATTTACCTAACAATATCTATTTTGTTTACATCTTAAATTTTTCAGCCTAAATTGATTGAGTGATGTAATCAAGTTTAGTAGATTCATAGTAAAAAAACTTCGGTTAAGATTGTAGCTTGTCAGTGGCCTGTTACTGCCTTCCTGACATTCACCCTTAACCCAGCCGCTGTTCAGTGCCTGGTATTTGCGTGTCAATGTGGAGTCATGCTTGATTAAATGATATGTAATCTATATTTTATGCAATGGTTTACAAACATTAATATTGTATTTTAAAATGAAGCATTGTAGAACATCCCCACGTATCCGAGCATTATTATTGATTATTGAATTTCCTTCATTTATTGCTTGTTGATTTCAGTTATTCTAATTAAATGTTTATGCTGCAATTGATTGTTGAAATTGATAAATTTGTATATTTGCTAATGATTGAAGATTATCGCCATATAATAACCATGGGACGCTGTAACACCACACTTTGGAGTGGTCAAAATTTGAACCCAAAGTGCGTAATGTTTTTTAGTGTCGCACCCTAAAGTGCGCTTGACCTCAAAGTGCAGTTTTACAGGACGCAATGCGTTTATCATATTTTATGACACATGGATAAATCAAAATGCTGTACAAATTAATTTTTAGTACGAAATTCATATTATAATCAACGTTGTTCAGTAAATACAATTAACGATACAAAAATTGGCCAGGTTTTGACCTTTCATTTATCCATATACATGGTTATGGCGCTCATTTGTGTTGAAGAAAGAGACATAAAACAAAAAATATGCAGTAAACACTCTTCGTTTTGTGACACTTGACAACTAAAGTTAGATAAGACTTCATCAATAAAATACACATTAATTAATTATTAATAATAAGTATTATTATTTTCATTGATAAAAGGGATGCATGAAGTTCAGTCGTGCTTGGTGCAGAATTTTACATCAGATGTTTATTAGCAACCTGAATTTGTTTCCTAAAAAAATTCTATTGTATTGTCGATTTAACGGTCATTTTAGTTTTTAAAAAACGACCAGTATACTCCATATAAAATGATAAAAATGCAAGAATTATCACGATCGAAACAAATTTGTATTCTTATTCACGCAGTTTTCATACTTTTATAACATAGTGAGAGAAAGAGACTTGTCAAAAAGTACCCTTTTAAATAATAATTAATATAATAATTCTAAAATTCTTTAAGAAAAAACATGAATTGTTAATAGAGGTAGGTAAATAGCGATGATTTCGCGTATTAGCTATTAGCATTCCAGAACAAAACAACATTTTCCATTTAATAAGAATGTTTGGAGGGATTTTCTACTCGAAACACATGCAAATATTCTACTGATAACACTTAATATGATAAAGGTTAGAAATTGGCACATCATATTGCAAGTGCATACTTCCGATCTGTTTACACAAACGATGATTCATGTTATCTGAAGATGATGACTTGGATTGTACTATAATTTGTAAGTTGATTTATAACTTCTTAAGTTTAAACGCATGAAAACTTTTTACGGGTGTAATAAATAAAGCTTTGTGTTACAATGTAAGATTTTATGTTAAGTAGTAAGATAATTATATGCAATGCAGACATTGGACGTTTTGTCTTTATTTTTCCCTGCGTGGTAAATATCAGGTGAAAGTTATTTTTAAACAGCTGACTGTCAACACTTTTGATTGGTCGACTTTAAAATTGGAAATGGGAATTAGTTAACAGATCCACGAGACAGTTTTAATCCAATGTCCAGAAAGTTTTTTAAAAATATTTTGATACATTTTTTAACATACAGAAATAATCTGAAACATGCAGATATTGTCGAATGCAATCTATTTTCGCGACTTTCTTCTACAAAATTTGATTTAATATTAATCGTATACGGCTAACTTAATTCTAAATAACCACGATTTTCTTTACTTGGTGAAAATGCGAAATACAATAACCAGAAGATCTAACAAAATGAATTATTTAAAAAAATATTTTTAATGCAGTATAATCTAATCTAGATCAATTGAGAGTATTCAATCATATTTTATGTAGTCAATTCAAAACGGAACGAAAATAATTTAATATTCTTTTTTATCGCATTAAACTAATAAGAAAATAGGCACACTTCTTCGTTAATACCGTTTAATTCTTAATAATGTGAATTATGCGAATTATTCAATCAAAAGACATTAGCAAATAAAATAGTACAAAACGTTTTTTTTTTTTTTTTTTTTCGTTTTTTTTCTTGTGAGAAAGCTATCAGGCAGACTTGTGCAAGGTCTATTTAGGTGCTCTCTTGAGCCTGTAATACGGCATAAAAGTGACACAAAGGTCTTTTGCTTACAGTAAAGCTATAACGTCGCCGCAAGACCTTTAGAGTGTCGGTTTGACATAACATTCAACAAAAAATGAATAAAATAAAACAACCGCAAAAATCATCAATTTTTGTATATTATGCATAAGGCTATGAAACCTGTGACATAGCATAGCTTTGCTTGTAAAATGAACAGCATATATTTTGTATTAATGCCGCTTTCAATGATTGTGTAATAGACTGAACCAGCAAACTAGTTTATTATTGTTAATATGACGTGTATGAAGTGTCAGCAAATTACTACTTATTAGCTTTAGCGCTAAGGCAGAAGACACGTTTGTTTGTTTGTTTTTACGCCTTTTCCCAACAGTATTTCAGTCATATAGGCGGGTAGTTTCCTAACCATCGTTCTTGGAGAGTTACACCAGTAGTAGACTACCTTCCTCCGTGCTAAACTACCAAAGCATCTCCCGGCCGGGGAACCCACGCCAGAGCGGTAACTGGACTAGAAGTCGTCGACTCTAACTCCTCGACCACGGAGGCGGCTCAGGGGACACGTAAATGACTTGTAAATCTCTTCTGTACACAATAAAACAAAAGAAAATCGTAATACTTAAACTGGTAAGATATTGTGCAATAATAAAAACTTAGCCAGATATTAATATTATAACAAAAACAGATGCTAATTTTGAAATTTCAGACAGAAATGTTTGATCTCCTGGACATCGGGTCTGTTACAAGCACATGTTTGGTTGCTTTGGTTACATGTTTCGTGATTTATTGGGCGATGCAGAAATGGAAGTATAAATATCCGCCCGGCCCTCTAGGATTACCTGTTATAGGCAATGCTCTACGTATGTTTATAATTATTATTACTTTTAATATTATTGTATTTATTTGTTTATTATATAACGAATTATTAAAACAATTTCATAATTACGTGTATATAAGATGTATGCGACAAAGAGGACAGCTAATGTCCTCAGCGGTAAAATACTGTTGTTCTTAATTGAAAATGTTTTACCTCTTGAAGTCTGAAAAAAATGTTTCATTTAGACTGCTGCTTATAAAAATAGATTAAACCAACATTTTTAATGGATTTTATTAAATATTAAACAAAAACATATCTACCAACCGCATTCGAGCAGCACTCTCCTTTAACTTCAGCTCCGGTGAATTTATTTCATTAAATAGTTATAACGTAAAGAAACCATATTATGTTATATCTGATATTCTGATGAATCGTCTTTTTTAGAAATTGACGTAAATAAATTGCACGAACAGGCGTTTAAGTGGTCTAAACAATATGGTCCTGTGATAACAATCGGAGTTGGTGAGTATAGTTATGATTTCCTACAATAGTTTAGAAATAATATCGTTATGAACGGTGTGAATTTGCTATTCAACACCGGTTTCGTGATTTGGTGCTTACAAGTTGACTATGAGGCCCGTTTATACTATTTACAGCTTTGTGTTCGTTGTTCATAGTAACAAAACCGTTTCAGGAATACATTTATACCTCAAAACCATCATAAGTACGATCACTTTTTCTTCATCTTTAGTATTTGGTTAAACAATTGGTTAATGTGATAAAGAAGTGACAATTATTCATTTTGTTTTTAAATTGTCATAAATATAGAAGTTAAAGCTTAAGAATGTCCTATTATTGCATTTTTACGACTGACGAGTTTGATTTTCCTTGCAAAAATCTTCACATCTACAACTGTTAAAATTGGCTTTAAGAATTGTAGATTTTTATAATCAAACAAGGCGAATTTGAAGACAAAAGAATAGATTTGTATTTGTTCCAGGCCCTATTCCATTTGTGTTCGTGAACACCATTGACACTGCTTTGGAGGTACTGGTGAAAAGGTCTACAGATTTTGCTGGACGAATGTTAACGAATTCGTGTAAGTCAAACTTCAGAATACATTTATTTGACTTATATTCCGTCTTGTATAATTATGCAAACGTTTTTATAAATCCCTCATGTTTGCAAATCGTATAAGTGATGATTGTTGTAACTTTAATAAAATTGAAATGGCCCTTTCAGGCAACGGCCCTTACGATAAAAACTCAACTTATGTTCCTCGAACTACTCATTTCAAGTCAAAATATTAATCATGTTCATTCAATGTACACCGAAAATACCACAACAGACAAGAAAATGAATAAAGAAAAACGTATAACGCTTTGGCCTAAGTCAAAAAGAAAATCGAAATCATTTAAGCTTTAAAGCAAAGACCAAAATTGGATTTATTGCCTTGTAAATTCAAGTGACATAGTGCCCATCCAAGTGTAAATGGTGAGTGCATTGGTAAAAGTAAAAATAGCTGTACATTTTGCAATAATTGTGTTCAAGTTAAGTCTGAGTTCTATAGAATGTTTAACTGTCAAAAGTATTGCAAGAATAAACAGACTAGTTCCTTTCTATTTTCAAAACATAAATGTTTAAAACTAATTCATTAACAGCAAAGCCTTCATTGCAGTTGACACGTTCACATACGGAGGAAAAGACATTGCTTTCAGTAGTTATGGGCCAACATGGAAACTTCAAAGAAAGATTGCATCAAAAGCTTTACGGCATGTGATATTCTATCTATTTTTGTATATAACATTAGATAGATTGACTTGAATCTTAAACATATCCGTTACAATGTTTGTAGTTACTAGCAATTTTATCGAAATGATTATTTCCAATCGGTTATTTTCTTCTGTAAGAAGAACATTTTTGCTGTTATTATGCATATAATAAAGGAAAGATCAAATAGGAACAGTGGCGTTCGCTAAACAATGTCTTCCAAAAATCAAGCAGCTACATAGGACCACTAAAGCACCAAGCAGGACAGCGATTTTAAAACAGAAGAACATAAGGGCTTGGCAAGTCGTGGCCGTTTAAATTACTTTATAAACCTAACAATTCAATCAGAAAATAAACATAGAAAATTAAAGCATGAAGACATGTATGTGATTAATTAAAAGAGTTGTTCAAAACGTTATGAAAGGGATAAAGGTGAAGGGACAATGGAGATGCGTTGATAGATGAAAACGGGGTGCTTAGAGGAGAAAGAAATATTTACTGTTGATGACTCATTTAAACAGCACATATGTACAAAACATAATGAACTGTATCAGTTCTTTGTAAATTATATGGTCCGGTCTTAAAGAAAGTCATTAACGATATTAAGGAAGCCTTTTGATCATACATATATCTATTAACAGCACCTATATGCAAGGGAATGCGTTACAAGATCGTGTCCATGAAGCTGTGTCAACAGCCATTATTGAGTTAGATAAAGTACGTGGAGAGTTTGATCCAGAACCCTACATCAACTTTCTGGTCGGCAACATTCTGACTGGACTTTGTTTTGGGGGAAAGTATGCTCATCGTTTTTTATTGGTCAGAATGTAATATTCATATAAATACGAGGAGTAAATAATTCTGCCTCGCTTAGCAAACTGTGACAAATTCAAATTAGGTTGCTCCATTGAAACATCAAACTGTTCTTCGTTTATCGACTTAACATTAACAATATATTTTCCGAACCATAACAACACATTCAGGACAAAGCTTTTTATTACAAACATATATTTTAGTCAATGTCATAGTAAGGCAAATTACATATTCAATTAAAAAATTGCATCTCTTTATATACAATATTTACAAACAGGTACAATTTCGATGATGAAGAAGTCAAATACATCCTCGTTAAGAAAGACCATCTTGCTGAGAAACTTGGGATAGGAACTTGGGAAGATTATATTCCTGGTTTGAAATATGTCTACAAGACAGACGCATTTAAGTTTGTTGAAAACTTTGTTGAAGAAGTACATGACGTTTACATAACTAACAAGCTAAAAGAGGCTGAGAAAACATTTGACAAAGGTAGGCTAGAAACTTTAAAACATACAAACATTAGCAATTAACTTCAAAAGGAATAATTTTCCTCCTTTTAGGCGACTTATGTATTGAGGAAGCTAGAAAAAGAAGTACATTTTGTTTTCAAATTCAGTGTCTTAGGACTTTGTTTTACTAGTTACTATATTTACCTCTTTTGAGTTTTAGTTTAAATTTACAGATAACCTTAGACACTTCGCAGACACTCTTATACTTGCAAGAATGGAAGCAGAAGCAGAGGAAGAAGGTGTAGATATAGAGACCACATTGTCCGATCAGCATCTTGTCCAAACAATCTCAGATATTTTCTTTGGTATGAAACATCAAATATCTTATTTTTATACTATGCATTTACAGATATAAGTTAGTAGAAAAAATGAATTAAATACTTTATAAAACAATACCTGATGAAGACTTTCGAGTCGAAACGTTGTGGTTTTCTTTTAAATAAAACAATACATTTTAAATTAGAAACTAGAGTTGATTTCTATATTCAAACTTACATCATACCTTTATAAAACACTATTGATATCACAAAAGAACAATGATATACTATCGGCTGACTTTGTTTGGTAAGATAAACATTTTTATTTAATTTCATAGCGGCTATAGACACATCTAGATTCACTTTGAAAGCAGCTATTCTTCACATGGTGGCTTTTCCCGACATACAAGACAAAGTACAAGATGAAATAGACAAAGTAGTGGGTAAGTTGGTTAGTTCTTCCAACATTTCATAAAAGTTTAACCAGAGAACTTGAATATTTATTTGTTATCAGAAGTATTTCAACGTTACAATATACACATTTCCTGCTTTTGAAATTGAGCTGAATTAGTTATAAATCTTTGAGCTTTTAAACAACTGAAACTATAAGATTTATATGACTTATATATAGTGTTAAAATTAAGTATAAAACAGTGTAAAATGTACATATTATTTTTTGTTGTTTATTTTCAATAAGTCACAATTGAATTAGTTCAACTAAAGGCCTTTTTAGGCCTAATAAATTACAAGTAAATTTTCACTTTGAGGAAACGGTAGCTTATTTTCGAGACATGCTAATTATCGATAGGATAAAGCAAAAATGCGATAGAAATTAAAGTGGATTAGGTGTTGGTTATTGATGCTTCACATGGCAAAATGTAAGGTTATCTTTATATCTACTGGTACACTTGCCATTAAAACTAGAATGAGCATCATATCATTTTAAAATAATTAAATGTTGTATAGCCCATACACTCATTCAGCTATGTTTTTAAGTATCATTTTGCTGAATTTTACAGAAGATGATATGAAACTTCAATTTTAACAGTTAATTTTTATAACCTAAGGAAAGGAAATATTACCGTGCATAAATGATCGTCCTCGTCTTGGTTACACGGAAGCTGTATTACACGAAAGCATGCGTCTAGGCACTGTGGCACCGCTGGGTGCCCAACATAAGACATTGTGTGACACTGAAGTTTGTAAGTATTTTGTCTTCGTTGGTTTATTATGTACAAGTTAAAATAGACAAGGTTAGCTTTTAAAAAAGCTAGTAGCGACTCGCTTCGTAATTTTTTTCCAGGGGTGCGTTTAAATGTAAAAATGATAGTTCTGTTAGCTGAAGAGACTTCAGCGAACATCAAAATAAAAGTGAAATAAAGTTATGGAAGCCAGTTCAGAGGAATATGAGTATATATGAAGATGCATGTAAACAGATAGAATGAAGTCCCTATGTCTATGCACATTTACTGTATGGCCTGTTGACCTTGACCAAATAAATCTTAGATAGGTAGAATTCATAAAGATGTCTCTTTATACGAAGTTAAGTTGTAATATGTTATTTAGTATTGGAATGAGTGACAGACACAAGTCCTAAAGTAAACACAAGTTGTCAGAAAAGCCGGGATCCTATTAAAAATATAGGGATCCCGGATTTTGACCAGTCTAAGATGTTTTTCAGATAAGCCGGGATCCTATTAAAACATATAGGGATCCTGGGAATTGACCAGTTCAAGAATATAGTTTTCAGAAAAGCCGGGATCGTATTAAAATATAAAGAGATCCCAGGAATTGGCCAGTTCAAGAATATAGTTTTCAGAAAAGCTTGGGATCACATTAAAACATAAAGGGATCCCGGGATTTGACCAATTCAAGAATGTAGTCTTTGATTTTTCCAATTAATTAGGCATATCATTATAAGTATTGGGATTTCCGCATTTTAAGTTTGTTAATAAATACTTCTAAATATATTTATATCCTAAGTTTGATTTATTTAACGTTTATTACATACAATAAAAAAACTTAACGTTTAATGTCCTTTCATTACGACAATAATCAACACAAAAATAGTTTATTAGTTTTTCCTCTATATCTTATACGATCCCGGATCCCGGCCAGTCCGGGCCTCCCGGACCCCGGCCAGTAAATATATACACTAAATACCGATAAAGGATAAAATGACCGGAAAAAAGGAAAAAGAAAAAAATGCACAGAACCAGATGTACACTTATGTTAATTAACCAAACGAAAACTTACTACAGAGGAACAGGTGAGATCGCTAAAACAAAAGTCAGTGTAAATATGATTTTTTGAAAAGAATTCATGAAAACAAACATTTTAATCATCATTATATCTTTGCGCTCAAAATAATACTTGCTGCTTTTTAAAAATGGCGTGAAAATTGAAGGTTTTTTGACGCTATGTAAGATTAAATTTGATTGGCTAAATAATTTTGGATCCTAGCCCTGATAGATAAATTTTGTAGAAAGCTGGAAGCCAAGCTTCGATTAAATTTTTGGATGGATTCGGAGTTTTAGGTTGTTTTTCAGTAAAATCCTAACGTAATACCGGCTCGCCGTGGCGAGCCGGCATAATCGTTTAATTAGCTCATCTGCTTACAGATTTTATAGCATATGTAAGATACATCTGCATGGCATTTGTTATATACTGAATTTACTTTAGTTTGATTGTGTAAGAACCTAGAAAATTTGTTTTTATAAACACATTTTTCAAATCCGTTTCTATAACCAACTAGTATATTGAGCAACTTGTTAACCAAGCTTTTTGCTGAAAAAAAAACCCATCTGCTTGTCCTTGACGGGATTTGAACCTACGCGGCTAGCGATCCGTCGTCCGAGGCGTTAATCATTTCGTCATGCCGCCACTTCTGGTATTAGTTTTGTAAAATTCGACTTCTATTGCATCACTGTGTACAAACTGTTACGTCGGAAGCTCGTGTAAATCAACTGCTCTACTATTTTGTTACGTGAAAAATGTTCCTAATAATAGTAAAAGTAATAAAAGTAAAAGATGACTTTATTACAAAGTATTGAAATCGATTAGTGCTTCATTCATTCATTCATTCATTCATTCATTCATTCATTCATTCATATATCTATTATTTGTTGTTTATTTATTTATTTATTTATTCATCTATTTATTCATTCATTAATTTATTTATTTATTCAGTTATTCATTCATTCATTCATGTTTATTTATTTATCTATATTTATTTATTTATTTATTTATTTAGTTAGTTAGTAAGTTGGGTAGCTAGCTAGCTAGCTAGCTAGATAGCTAGTTAGTTAGTTAGTTATTCATTTACTTTTTAATGATAATAAATTAATTGATTTAGTAATTAACTCATTCGTTAAGTCATAGTGATAGTTTTGTTGTTTATTCATCAATTAATTCATTAATGATCACATTCATTCATTCATTCATTCAATCAATATTTATTTATTTATTTATTTGTTTATTTAGTTGGTTTTCGGATTCCAAAGGGAACCATTGTTGCTATCAACCACTGGACCTTACACAATGATCCAGGCGCATGGGAAGAAGTCGAGCGATTTATTCCTGAGAGATATTTGGACGACAAGGGAAAACTAGGCCCTAAGCCTAAGAGCTGGTTGCCTTTTTCTGCTGGAAAAAGAGTTTGTCTCGGGGAATTTGTAGCAAAGCCAAAACTTCATCTGATTTTTGCGTGTCTGATGCAGCGTTACAGGTGGAGAATGGTGTCAGGAAAGTGCCCGGATTTAAATCAGATTGGTGGTATTAATGGACTTACATATAAAGGTTATAAAGTAATTGCAGAAAGAAGAGTCTAAGGAATTAGAAAAGGTTGATTGAATATCATTGAATAAGAAGGCTATAAGCAAAATGAAATATTGTTTCTTGATATTTCTGATTATTGTTTTAGTACTTTTATGATTATGTACATTCGAGTATCAGCGTGTCATAGGTATTTCACAAGAAACGTTACAAAATTCCGATAAGGGTAAATGCGTATTAGGATGTGGGAGGGATAAGGGAGAGGTTCATGGGCATTTTACTAGTTTACCAGAAGGGCTTGTCTGATATTTTTGCCCAATTTTCACAAAGAATCGTGACTTTTATCAAAAAGCTTGATATAATATTATGCTTTATTCAAATTTTTAAACATTATGGACAAACGCAGTGGATGCCAGGGTTTTATTTTATTTTTAATGTTTTATAGCAGTTGTGGATACTGTATAATGAGCTAAACGAAAGTTATGGGAAAAAATGTGATCAACGTCAGATAATGTTATCAATAGAAATATGTAAACGACATATATTTTTAACAAAGAAATGCATGACCGCCTCCGTGGTCGAGGGGTTAGAGTCGATGACTTCTAATCCAGTTACCTCTCTGGCGTGGGTTCGATCCCCGGGAGATGCTTTGGTAGTTTAGCGCGGAGGAAGGTAATCAAGTACTGGTGTAACTCTGGTTAGGAAACTACCCACCCATATGACTGAAATACTGTTGGAAAAAGGCGTAAAATGAAACAAACAAACAAACAATAGAGACAACTATAGTATCTCTTTAACTCCTTGCAAATTAGGGTGATGCTCGGGTCTACACTGAACGGTTGGACTCGGTGGTTATCTATCGTTTTGTCAATTTCTAAAAAAAATTGATATTAATCTATACCTATAACTTGTGGGCAAAAACTCAGTTCATTCGCTTACTCCTTTTTTTTCAGAATAATCATTTTTATTTTGCAAAATTACCTAAAAATTGAAGAGCGTTAAAGCACGTTTAACACACATTGGGCAAGGAATCACACTATATATGGATTTTCAAATTCATTCTGAATATACATATATCTTTTTCATATTTTTCTGTTTTAGTACACATGTTAATCTCTGTAAGATTTTCAGATTGTCCTCAGTTAAGGTTTAAAATTTTTTTTGGATAAAATCGCTTCACATTTTATAAAGAAAGAGTTACATTTAATTATTCACTCATTGACGCTTCTGTTAAGATCGTACTTTTGTTGTTATATCTGAACTTTCTTACGGCAAAATTCAGTAACTGTCATTGAAGTGTTATTACTTTTTGCTATTTTAAATTTGACTATATTTTTGTTATCGATCATTTATTGAATTTATTATGCAAATATTTTAAAAAATCACCTTTCAGCCAATTCTATGCGCTTCCGATACGTGTGCTACATAATGACTTTAAAAAAATGTTGAGTATGCTATATAATAAAACCAGCGTGTGCTACATAATAACCTGCAAATAAAAATCGCTAAAGCTATAAATAGATTTTGCGGACGATGTGTGCTACATTATGATCTTCTATACAGAGAATGGGTCAGATCGGGGCGTGAATTACTTGGGGTTGGGACTGTACATACTTTTTTTATATATTAATAATACAAAATGTATACTGTTTACAATATTGTTCAGATAGTTGCGTTAATTTACCATTTTGTCCATGATACAAAGTCGATAGGAGTAAAAATAGAAAGTTCCGCAAACATTATGTTGGTAACAAAATTCGATATCGTATACGCCCCTGAAGTCATATAACAATGAAAAGATCGATGGTTGAGTGCGTCAATGTATTTAAGTACCCTGGAATACAACCTCGTAAAAACGTAAGTAGATGACATAAAGACAGTTCGCTTGCTGTGGGATTATTTGTCCAGGTAAGGATTCGTTTATATTTTGTATTTATCTTTTTTCCCGTAAAATTCTATTGCAAATATTAAGTTCTTTTTCTTTGTTTTTATCGTACATTTTAGCGCGTTTACCTGTTTAGCCAATATAATTTATATCGTAGGAAAATAAACGTTTCTATGACGATTTATAAATAACAAAAAAACTTAAGAACTACAGTCTACCAACAGAATAACATGTATGATAATTGTAGCGAACAAAAGCAGCTGCAAATGAATAAATTCAGGGTGATATCTGTGGTCATAGACTACGCAGTTATTTGTAGTTATAAGATATACTCGTACATGCACATGTTAAATAAACATTTGTACACGTGTAACAAATAAAAGACATGAAACATAAACGTAATTTATGTTAAAAATACCAATGTAGAGATACCTAACCTGTCTAATTCTAATTAGTGGATTATAATTATAATTTTACCACAACATATACGTTTACAAAAGAGCTATTGCTATTCAAATGAAATGTTTAATTAGGGATCTATAACTTTTAGAATTAAAAGAGGCACAATAGATCGAAATACTGAATACTGAATATAACAAAGTTATATATATATATATTAACAGGTGTATAAATACAGATATTTACAAAAAGCTCATACATAGCCATGATTCAGGAAATGCTGTTGGCCGGGTCTGTGTGGACAACATGTCTTGTTGCTATAGTTACTGGTCTTGCTGCGTATTGGTTGATTCAGAAATGGAGGTACAAATACCCGCCTGGACCTTTTGCTTTGCCTCTTATTGGAAATATGTTGCGTAAGTAACTGGTATGAATTTTGGTCAATTTAAAAAAAC